TCACACTCATAATCAGTGGTCCAAATTATGTATATGTACCTAGTTCCATTCAATTATAACAATAGAGAATGAAAATGAATTTGCAGCTGACAAGGTCCTATATTGTCAGGTTCCTATGAAAGATTTTTCAGAAGGTTTTAGGCATCTGCAATCTACAAAAACTTGTTTTCTGGGTAAATTGGGTAGATTCTGAATCAATTTAATTCCAGTGCCAGTGGGTGGATCCTTTTGACCTACTTGTTAATTCCGGCACCACGCAAATCCACGATTTTTTGAGGATCATATTCTAATTTCAGCACCCCAAATTATGTGTTTATCAAGTTTAATTCACTTGTAACAATAGCTAATGAAAACAGACTTTGGCATCAGAAAACATCAGGAAGAATGAAATGGCTCATATTGCTGTATCTTGATGCAAACATCTTACTAGACCTGCTTTTCTTCAATTGTGACAAAAACATTCACTATTAAATGCACTGTTTAAGGATGAAGTCACAAAAACTCATTTATTTCTCAATTTGATGCTAAGACATAGGGGAGGTCCCAAAAAAATCATTTACTTGAAATTCAGCACAGGGCAAATGCAAGATTTTTTTAGGATTATGTTCACAATCAGCACTCCAAATTACATAAGTCAACAAAGTTCCATCCACATGTAACATCTGGCTAAAATGCAATTTTGACTCCACAAACTCCTGGGGAAATATTTCCATTTTCATCTCTTGCTATTACAAGCAAATGAAACTTAGTACACTTGGATAATTTGGGCCTATGAATAGAATATGACCATAAAAAATTGTCAAGCACTGTGAAGCTAAATTTTTCATGCATGCATTTTTAATATATTATCAACAACCTTAGATTTATTGTTGTATATTACTACTCACAAAGCTTCCCGATTTAACTTTCTCTTGTCTGGACATCTTAGCTTCTTAATTGTGGAATGTTACAAATCACAAAGAGTCAGGTCCCTAAAAGAATACACAAAAAGATAATACTATCATGAGAACTTTGATGTTCAAATTTAAACTATTCATATCAGACAACTTATAAAGCTAAGTATATTGGTAAACTATGCTGAATTTAGTTGTTATGCTTATACGTTTTTGATATCCCATCCACGCTAACGGTTCCTTAGGTGCTCACCTTTATCTGTCGCGATATTCCAAAACTACTTGTTGATTCTTCATGAAACATGTTACCCACTCTAACTGGCATTTCTTATATCACATGGAATGTATTTGTTATCTTTTAACAGAAATTATTGAAGTAAGCGTAAATTATTATAAAGGAATGCGCCTAAGGCTTTTATCTAGAAAAATTAATATTTTCATAACCTAATTTCTCATTTTCTGAAATTCTCTCAAAATATAGAAAAATACTAGGTCACTGATATATTCGTGGTATGATTGGAATAATAATTTCATAAACAACCTTTACAATTACGTTGAGATTATAAACTGTTCTAATAGATCTTTTTTGTTTTCAGTTTTCTTGTATTCTTCGCTTCGTTGTGTCACATTTAGCAACGCCTTGACAGTTTGACAGGAGACATTTGACAAATGAGAGAGATACTTTTGACGTGGAACTAAGGCTTAGTTTTTAGTGCTGTCAAAGCAAGGTTACCATATTCTAGGTTATTGTACCGGAGATGATTAATATTTACTCAGCTATATAAATATCCCAGAAAATATAAATCACAGCTGATTTGGCCGCGCTTTTATTTTGTCTGTACTTCTGATATTTAAGTTTTCAGCAGTAAAACATAAAACATAACCGAAATAATATATACTAAACTGTATCCATCGAAGAAACAAGGTAAAATCAAACATATACACCCGTATTGCACGTGATCAAGAACTTAGGAGACGCTACAGGGCCGTATCAAATCTATCTATCAAAAAATGTCGTACAAGATATGTGTTGCTGTAAATTCTATCAAAAGCATAGTAAATTATCAGGAATATACCACGCCTTTCTAATCATATTTCGACATTAGGAATCAGGGCAAAAAATTCTGTATTCACCATTTCAGCAAAATGTTACTAAAACGCACACGAAAAAACTTGTGGACCATCTCAATTGAAATTGTTCATATTTTATTATTAACTTACATATATACCCAATAATATTTACAAATCAACCTTCTATTCACAATGCAGAGCAAATTTTTTTGAGCAAATAGAAACTACAGACGTAGTAGTAGTAGTACAAAAGTTTATTACAGACTCCATAAAGTTTGTTAGTTTGATTGCTAGTAAAATTTACATGAGAAATAGGAAGAAGGTCAAAATGGCACTATTATGCTTTGGAACTCCTAAATTAACCCTAATTTTGTGTAATTATAAATTTGGAATTTCCACATTAATAACTAGAAACTTACACTTTGATTGCAGTCTATAATGAACTTACCTGTCTTGCCAAAAAGCCCGTTAAACTGCCAGTCTTAATGGTATCAATCGATTTATATGCTGTATTCCGAGGAGCTTGAATCATCAGAATTGTTGATGTCAATTATAAGGGGTTCAACTTGGGTGTCAATGATATTGTCCATATCCCACATTTTGGTTTCAACCTTCTCTTGGACATGGTCAATACATGTTCTCCATTTTGCTGGCGTAATTCTATCGACAGCAACATCAAACAGTTTTTTAAGGTCAGAAAACTTAAAAGTGCTGTTATTTGACGCCACGTATTGCTTGATGTCGGCCCAAATCAACTCGATAGGATTCAGTTCGCAGTGATAGGGAGGCAGCCTGAGAATCGTTTTATTTTGGTTTTTGGCCATTTCGTCAACAATTTTTAAATCATATTTATACTTATGTCTATAAGTGACTATATTTATCAGCTCAGCTTTGACCATTGTTTGGTCGAAGTCGATCTTCTTTGAGACAAGCCACTGTTGAATGTCTGCCTTTTTGGTGGCCATTGTTGGAATTTTTTCCAATTTTCTGGAGTGGTACGGGGCATTATCCATCACAATAATTGCGTTATCATCAAGTGTCGGCAACATTTTTTTGAACCAATTTTCAAATGAGTTACCATCCATTTCGTCGTGATAGTCTCCAGTTTTTTTGGATTCAAATGCCCACAATGCTTCAGGAACAAATCCATCTACGCTACCTATGTGGCAAATGATCAGGCGTTTTCCCTTGCCTGAAAGTAATTAGTTATTTTACTTCTCAGCGAGCGCACTAAATGTCGAAATTAAGCAACTTACTCTTTTTGGGTTAGTGTAGGATAGAGTCTTAGATTAGTTTTTGGGTGAAGGAAATACTCAGAAACTTGGATGAGATAGCAAAACTGAGTTCGGAGCTTCCAAATCATTGATTCGATCAGAAAATGGATTATCTGCATCCTAAAAAGTTCATATACTTCGAAACTTACCTGCAGGATTTTTCAATCCCGTCGAAAGGCCATCTAAAAAAGCCTGCCTTGAGGACCTCACATATCTGTCTACCCAAACCTTTCCCTGCGTATGCCCCGCGTTCACCCATGTTTCGTCTAAATAATAAATTTTTCTTCCTTCAGCGCGGAATTGCCTAATTTTTCTAAGGTATTCTCTCCTCCAGATAACAATTTCCTCCTTTTCTATCAATAAACTATTCCTTCCTCTTTTCAAAAATCGAAAGTCTAGTTCTTTCAACAGCTTATGGAACGTAGATCTTTTAAAATTTGGCAGGTCCTCATCATCATTGACTTGCTTCAATATTTTATCTATTGTAGGTATTTCATTCCTGAAGAAAAAGTGATGTACTTTTCTTCTAATGGCACTTTTGTCAAAGTCATCTATTTTTTCGATGATTTTTTTTCTCGCTGGATATGTTTTTGGCTCAGATAGTGAGTGATTTTGTCTATATTCCTTCAAGATTTTGTAAACACTTGATCGACCTACTCCAGAAATTTCAGCAACCTTACATACGATATTTTCTATAGCCAATCCACTATTCTCTTGCATCTGGTTCTTGTAGATATTTAGAATAATTTGTTTTTCACCTGCGCTAAGATGAAGCTTTTTAGCCCTTTTTCTGGGTGGCGTTAAGCTGATTTCAATCACTTCATCAGCTGTATCTGTGTCAGACATTTTAGACTAATATTAAATTTCCGCAAGTCAAGACGTGCATAAAACGTTCGCGCTCATAAACGGGTATCCGTAACTGATTACAATCCTGTGCGTGGTGACGAACCATCAACGTGACGCTGAGAGTTCCCTCTACTATGCAGCGTTGCCAGGCTTAATGTCACAATGATCATGTTTTATTGGGAAAATTGTCAGAAATCGCCGAATGTTGAACAGAAACATTACAAGAAGTCTAACCTTGAAATGTGAGGCTACAAATCGATATTCTTATAGGGGGGAAGGGTAGGGAGCTGTTATGGTTCCTATTAACCTTGGCGAAAGTTGGAAACGGTAATATCATATATGGCATACATTCGGTTGAAGGTGTGTGCACGGAAAATAGATTGCGGATAGGATTTTAATAGATAAATCTGCACAAAAAAACACAAAAGGAGATTTTTGTATTTCCCTGAAGAATATCTCAAGGTTATTTCAGATGTACTCATCGAAACTTTATGGAAGGATTATCGAAACCTTATTTTCAATTGCGATAGGGCCACATACCTCGACATCGCATTAATGTGAAAAATAAGACAATAGAAAAAAATTCCCTCACTGATGCTATCTCTTAGGAAAAATTTAACTATAAAGATTGCACAAAAATTTTCTTCACCTTTTTGAGCTTGTTTTCGCATCTCCGTATATGCCGTTCATAATTTGCTGCAGATCAAATTGGAATATACCTTTGTGATGCCATTTATTGTTATATAATGTCCTTTACAACAGTTATTGCACGTATTGCACCAACAGATTAATTTGTGATCCATGCGAATGTGATCAACCACTCTGGCGAAAACTCGCCGAGCGTGGCAACCGTGCGACTTTGTCTGGAGGCTCGTCGCTACAAGCCAATCAGGAAGAGGCCGACAGAGCGCCATGGCTACCGATCACGCGTTGAACACGAATCAACCACTGTTTACGATTACTTTGTAGCTTCGTTAGATACACTTTAGGTAAGAAACTTTGGTGGACAGAAACCACAGAAGATATTGGGTAGCCCTTGTAAAATCGCTGTGGGTGCTTCGACATGTGGCGCGAGTAGACGAGACCAAAGGTTTAAATAATACTTCGAGCTGTTAATCTATATAGATCTTTAGCCATGACCAAACATGATTTTTCCGTGGGTTTTGTGCTGATGTTGCTGATTTGTGATTCGATTTTTTCACTGGCGGTTTATCAGTAAAAACGAAGATGAAAAGAAAGTGACGTTTTTGGGTATGTTTTATGTGTTTTGTGTGTGATGTAGGTTAGTGATTGAAATTAAACTGTTTTGTTAACGACAGGTAAAAACTTGACATTATATTCAGTATAGTTTTTCGCTTCGTTTATAGTAGATACTCCATTAGCAGTGCAAAAATCTCTTGTGTATAAATAAACCATATTGCAGCTCGGTGAAGGTATGTACCTACTCGATTCTTGCCAAGAAGTGCAAAAAATATACAATTATATTGTTAACTCAGGGACCGTGAATGTTGCAATGTGTTTAATAAATGTTTGTTTGTCTATGGAATTCGACATTAAGGCTATTTTGGGTAAAATTTGAAAAGAACTCCAGTCTAGTTTGGTATCAGTATGTTAATGTAGAGCAAACTTTCATTATGATTCTCTTCTTAGCACATTTATAACAATATATGTTGTATCTGCTGTACAAGACATTTCTTTTTGCTGTATAAACACATTTTTAATTTTCAGAGGTTCACAGCCTTTGCACTTAGTTTATCTGCTAATGCAAATATACAAGGCAACTATATAATTATATAGAGTTATTTTATTCTCCTAGAGAACGTGTCATTATCACTTTATATCCATAAAAAGTTCAAAATTAGTTTTACTGACGAAGCTGTTGAACTTGTGTATATTATTATTTTTAGTTAACTACAGCTAATAAGCTGCAATGCAGTTTTGGGTATATTAATATCATGACAATATTTAACAGCCTTGGTGATTGGTGGACATTCCTTAAGTTCATTCTTAAATGTTTAGTCAGTTTCAAGCTTTCCCCTTCAATAATTTTTTTAAATTAATAACTATGTATGGGCTATGTTTTGTTTTAAATGTGACTCAAAACTTGCATATAGATATTTGGGGATTTTCAGATGATTGAAATATTTAATACTCAATAGTTTTATTTTGGTTGAATCATTTTGGAAGCATTGATGAAATTTTACTTGTTCATAATTATTTTTTTACATAATCCATACCAACTAATTGTTACATAATATGAATAAAGAAGATAAAACTCTTAACAAGATCAATATGAGCTGGTTATATTTTTTATTGAAATAGGTAATTTTTGTCTGAAATTTGTGTATGAAATTCTAAGCTTTATTATTTTGACCTATATTCTAGTAGATAATTAAAATAGTTCCTGTCTTAACTAAACAACAATTCAGTTCATCAGTGCATGGGTGTGTCCCAACTTTTTAATATTCATATGCACCATGCATTATGTTAATGGAATTTTAAGAATGGCTCATAATTAGGTCATAAGACTCATTTTTATTCAAATTATTTCTTCTTGTGTTGGTAGTATTTTAATTTAATGTGGGTTATTCCTGGGTACTTTCAACACTTTTAGGTATACTAAAGTTGATCATACATAGCTTTATAAATTTATGATGCAGGAATAGTTTTTATGAATACACATGAGAGAACAGATCCCTCCCTTTTCAATGATATAAGACTGTATGTGATTCCTAAATTTAGTTTGCAACAAAAATGTCAAATAATATTTTCGCCGATACAAAATAATATTAAATGACCTATCATGCTTTCCCTTTCCCAGTAACAAAAATGGCTTCAATTAGGTTGAATTAGCACTGCCCATGCAAGGCCATTATCAATTCATAAAGCATGCTCAGCACAAACTAGACACTCTCAGAAAAAAGTCAGTCAAACAGGTCCATACATAGACATTCTTTCCTTGCCCCTTGCCCAGTCCAATGTGGCAGGATGGTCAGATCATATGAAACACTATGCTGTGGCACTGCAATAATATGTAGAATACCATTCCTGAACAACAGAACACTCACTAAGGCGGGCGGCACGCCTCCGGGAGCAGCAGCTGTGACCAGTAGGTTGGGAATGCATAAATGTACTAACATCAAAAAGTTGGGATAAACCCTGCCTACAACCCCCACCCCAAGTTTGTTACCTGTAAAATGATCATGATCCTCTGAAACGTCAAAAAATGAAGTTTGAGCGATTTTTATTCTTTTTCGTTTTTGGCATTTTTTCTCTACGAAAATTTTGCCATATTCTGTAAAAATTTCAACGAAATCCGAGCGATACTTCTCAAGTTATAGGCGGTTATAAGATTAGCGGACAGACAGACTGACGGAAATGAGTATCATGGTTTTTCGTCATGTAGATGTCATATAACACCCAAAAAAACGTCGCATTTTCAAAAATTTTCGCGATTAGAAATCTTTTCCGCCACTAGGCGTGGGAAGTAAAAATATATGTTCAAAGACAATAATTGTGTTTTAAAAGATGTTTTTAATTTATTTCTTTAATCTGGTCAACAAATGAAACTTTATATAAATGATGGATAAACACCTTCACTGAAATTAGTTGTCAGTGTAGCTTTAAACTTGAAAATTTGTTTTACATTTTACCAATATGCAACTCCCATGGCTCATTAAGTACAGCCACTGGATGTGTTCCAGGTATGGAATTTATTTCACCTCTAAAAGTACTCTTACTTTCCACGGTAATGGCGTAATCGCGAAAATTTTGGAAAGACCATGAAACTCATTTCCACCTGCTTGACAGTCTGTCTGTTTGTCCTTGGCCCATTATAACCTGGAAAGTACCACTCAGATTTTGATGAAATTTTGAGACAAGGTTATGACTAAGCCAAGGACAAAGCTTGATAGTTTTTGAAAATTGAAGAAATTAAAAAATAAAAATCGCTCGGCCTTGTTTTTTGACGTTTCAGAGGCTTCTGCTCATTTTCAGAAAAAAAATTGTAGGCGTTAAAAATTGGAGGTTGGGCTTGTAGGGGGTTGGGGGAGAGTTAGTGTATGCATACGCTTCCAACCCCGAGAATTTTTCGCATGTATTAGGCATACAGGGTGCTAATTAAGTATGTACCATAAATTTTAAGAAAAAAAGTTCATATAAGCGTAGGTCCGCAAATTCTTTGTTCTCAAGATGCAGGGTGTTAAAGTTTAAAAAAATGGTTTTTCGTAAATATCTTAAATATCCTTCACGTAATTTTATTGTAATTGGTCGGTGATATTTATAACATTAAGGATCTAATTTAACCCTAATTGATTAAATGTATCAAGTCCAGTGGCATCTCGAGCGGGATCTGAACGAATATTTGTGACAAAAAATGTACGCTACTGACTTTTGTGCGATTTTTATGTTCTTTGAATTAAGCAAAGGGGAATACAGCTTTTTTTCTCTTTTTCGTATCTTGCTCAGGTTTCGAAAAAAAGTCTACTTCTTATGGAATGTTTTTTTTATTAGTTTTTATTGCTAATTATGGTAATGTTATTTAATATTTGTTGTTGTTACATAATTAGTTTAATAATAGTTTTATAAAAAAAATAATTTCCAAATGAAACTTTTCCCGATATTCCTTGTGTGGTCCAGTGATATGTAATTAGGTGGACTTTTTTTCTCGAAAACCAAGCATGATACAAAAAATTCAAAAGACAAATAAGTTGTGTTTCTATTTGCTTAATTGCTCCTTTCATCATAAGCCTGTTTACCACTCTTATTATTACAAATTATTATGCCCGACTGAGAGATACAGAAATACTCGGCCTTTCATTACCGATATAGTTCGATGATTTATATGATAAATTTCAGATTTTTCAGATATAATTGGTTTTGATAATAAAGTTGGTAAGATTTGAATCAGAGTGCAAAAATGAAAGTGTGTCACAAAGAATGGGTGGAATATAGAAATGTGTTGTCTTTAAGCCGATTTTTAAATGTTCAGGTAGAAAGGTAAGCTGCAGATATTAGGCAGAGGTATATACATAATCACATTACACCCATGTCATTATCCATAACCCTCATTCAACAACTGTTAACTTTCAGATAGTAGATTGACAGGTAACAATTGAGAAACAGACCCTTGCTTTGCTTGAAGCTCTTGAACCTTTGGTTTTGAGACCTAGTTTCTTTTAAAGAAAGGCACACGTGACCTATCATCTTACCGTTTGTGTATTTATCTGCAAGGTTTATGAGTGAGGGAAAAGTTCCACGGTAGATACGTGCTTTTAAGCCCTAAACGCTTTTTATGGAGTATTAGAAAAATTATACAGGGTGTTTCGTGGGGCCTTTGGACTTTGCGACGTAACATTTCCATTATCGTGTCCTGTTGTTAGAAGCAAATGCAAATGAAACTAGCTATACTTACTTAATCTGGGACGCGGAATATGAGCATGGCTCTCAAAAAAGTGTTATCGGGTCGAATTTGAAGTATAAAATGGTTTGGTTGGGGCCCCGTGAGTTCGAATTGATGTCAGATTCATAATCGAAGCACCCGATATAGCCGAGTAATCATTCTTTGTCCATTCCAACAAACCTAAGTGGGTGGTAGCTCGAAATTGACATCAGATTCGTAATTTGCGCAGCCGATTTAGCCAAGGTACGAATTATCGTTCAGATACTGATGAAAAGTCGTTTTTGAAAATACTGTCAGAGAAAATCTCAAAATATATGTTTTAATGTACTTTGTCTTCTTTCATATTTTGCATTTTTGAAAAGAAAAGTAGAAATAAGTTTTTCGTTTAATGAAAAGTGGATTCACCTTGATTTATAGGTAATATTGGAATATAAATATTCTATCGAACAATCATATCAACTTAAAGTAAGAAAGAACGTTGAGGATTTCGCACAGCTTTCACCTGATAGTGAAGGTGTTTCGGCTTCGCGAATTGGCCTTGATTTTGTAATATTGTACCTGTAGGTGAATGGTTCCAATATATGTATACTGAATAGGTAGTCACGTTTGTTTACTTGCAATTTTGTTTTTTTTGTCATGAAAATGAGTCACTTATTTGAATGCAAGTACACGTATATTTGGATAGGTTTGAAAAATGCAGACAACAGAATCTTTATAGACAATGTCTAAAGTCCAGTCTTAGGTTTTAATTCTTAAGTCTCACATATTATGTCTTATTCCTTTGATTCAAAGTATTAAATCTGATTTTTAGATATGAATTCATTTCAAATTCAAAATTCAAATTCAAAATACATTTATTTGCCAAAAAACAAAAACAAAAAAAAACATTATATTTAGAAAATACACACAATATTTTTGGCAAAAAGGAAAAATCCTCGACCAAATGACCGTTAACACCCAGCCTTACATAAGTAGGGTGGGTGTGAAAATGCCCTGTCTTAGGCCCGTATCGTCAGTCGTCCCTACAATTTTAGGGCGCGTTTATGGCCTCCTTGATTGTGATAGTTTTATACTTCTCCGTGTCAACGCTCTATTTTGAGGTTATGTCTCAAACATCTATTTGTATCAAATTGTGCTTGCTTTTGAGTTATATCATGTTTTATCAGCCTGAAACTTCCTACAATTTAAAAGGAAAACATATCTTAACAATAGGAGAGCGCTGACGCTGACACGGGACGAGTGTAATCTAGGAATTTTTTAAGGAGAGAAAAGAGTATGACAATCAAGGAGGCGATAAACGCGCCCTACAATTGTAGGGACGACTGACGATACGGACCTTAGGTCTTAAAATTTAGACATCATGTCTTCGGTCTTAAATACTAGAAACTAGATCAATCAAGTTGTGTATTCCATTTTTTCGCCTTTTGACGATTGGACGAAAATACGATTCCGTATAATTCGATAAAAACGACGTAGAATATTGATTCTGAAATTAATATTCATCATCAATAACCCGAAGCTGTGTATTTGGTACGCCTCTGTGCGTAGTAATGAATTTTATTGAAGTGTTTGAAAATTCCAGTAGTTACCTTTCTAAGCTCTAATTGTGATATTTGGTTCTGTTTTTTATTACAAATAAGATCAGTATAGTGCGCGCGTCAGTCGATTTTGTTTTTTATAATTTGTTTTGTCGTGACGAAGCAACAATTTAAAAAAAATCCTAATGTCAGTTTTAATCTTATTAATTGTATTAGTTTATATTTTTAAATCCTAGACAAACTTTGTTTTTTCGTCAAGAAAGCATTGAAGTATTGTTTTTTTTTAATAAAGAGAAAAATACTCATATGTATACTAAGTGACATATATATCCGATCACCCAGTTTAAGTGGTTTTATTTTAATAAAAGTTGGTGAATGTATTACTCTTACTGCAAATAACAAGTGAAAAAATTTCCAACCTTATCAGTTGGACATTCCGGTTTTTATACTGTTTTTTTTTTAATTCACTAACGCTCTAAAAATGAATATTTCAGCCGCAGTAAAGAATCAACGTTGGCGGATTTTGGTTCTTGACATCCTTTACGATCGGTTACGATGCCTAGAGTACGGAGACCTGTACGATTTCGTCAACTTAGTGAGTTTGATAGGGGCCGTATAGTGGGACTTCGGGAAGCTGGACTTTCTTTTTGGGCAATTGCAGTTAGAGTGCAAAGAAGTGTAGACACTGTGGTTAGGTGTTGTCAGGCATGGCTTCGAGAAGGCCGTACGCAAAGAGCAAGGGGCACTGGACGCCGCCGTAGAACAACAGACCGTGAAGATCGCCGCCTAAGATTATTGGCCTTAAGGGACCGTTCCTCCACTACCAGGTACATTGCAAATGAATGGTTTGCAGAACACGGAAGACCTATTGGCATGCGAAGTGTTTACCGACGAATGAGAAGTTTTGGCTTGTTTTCATACCGGCCACACTGGATCCTCCCTTTAACTCGAGAACACCGACGTAATCGCCTTGAGTGGTGCAGACAACGGTCACTCTGGGATCAGGAATGGAACAGCATTGTCTTTAGTGACGAGTCTCGATTTTGTTTAGGCATGCACGATGGTCGTGCCAGGGTTAGAAGGCGACGTGGTGAAAGGAGGAATCCACAGTTTTTTGTTGAAAGACATGTTCATCACACTGTTGGAGTTATGGTTTGGGGTGCTATAGCTTATGGTTCCAGGTCACCTTTAATCTTCATCAGAGGTAACATGAACGCGCAGCGCTATATCTACGAAGTTCTAGAACCCCATCTTTTACCCTTTCTTGACACCCTGGCAGATCCAACTTTCCAACAAGATAATGCCCGACCACATGTTGCAATAGTCACAATAGACTTCTTTCAACATAATGATGTCACATTGTTACCATGGCCACCAAGATCTCCCGACTTATCCCCAATTGAGCACGTGTGGGATATGATGGGTAGGAGATTGCTCAATTTGCAACGTCCTCCTTAGACTCTAGAAGCACTTCGAGAGGAGTTGGTGGTTGCCTGGAATGACATACCACAGGAGGACATTGACCACCTGATCAGAAGCATGCCTAGGCGCGTTGGAGAATGCGTAGCACATCAGGGTGCATCCACACATTATTAAAGGTCAAAGGGCTTTAAAGCAGTGCAATCATTTTGAAATTTTTATCATTTACTTATTATGCTTCATTAAGTACTTATACAAAATTTTATTAAAATAAAACCATTTAAACTGGGTGTTCGGATTTATATGTCACTTAGTATATTTTAGCGAATGGTTGGATCTGTGATCGGTTAACGAATGTAATATTTATTATCTAAAACTATTGGAAATAAAATGCGTATTCAAAATTCATCTAATTGTCAGAATATTACAGAAAACGAGTCCATATACTTTTCGAGTTAATTTTAGATACAATTAGTCAAAATGTAGGTTTTGGCAGTGTTGTTATCTTACGTGCTCTTTTCCAGATATCGATACCGTACCAGTGATCTAGGCAAACGTATTTTGTGTTTGCTTACGAAGCTTCAGTTTTTCCGTAATGGAAAAACAACGAAGCGATGTTATTTCCTCCATCAGAGGCTGCCTGATATCCACCAAAGGAAAAATTCCTTTAAGACAACTGGAAAGTAAGTATTTGTGGACATACGGTTATGGACAAGTAAATAGACAATTATGAATATTTACCTAAATACCTTTAGAAAACGAATTCATACTTCATTGCTCCATAAACACATGCGTTATTAGTAGAAAAACTAAATTCCTTGATTTTACATTATTTGCAATGAACACAATACAAGTCTGAATATAAGCACTTTTTTATGAGGGACAAAAATATGTAGACAAATTCTTTTCAACATTAGTTTAGTGTTCATCAATTATTGTGGAATAAGTTGAGTGATTTAGTGATTTTAAGACCATGCCATGTGCTCCAGAAATTTGTTTCGATGTGGAAACTAAGATCATTGAGTTATACAAAGATGGTCAACGTCAAGTCGACATTGCCAAAAATTTAAAGCTGAAGCGTAAAGCAGTTTGGGAAATATTGAACAAATATAAACAAAAAGCTGTCTTGGAAACCTCTAAGAGAAGTGGTCGGCCTAGAAAACTAAATGCTAGATCAGTTAGATTAATAAAAGTAATTTCGTCCAAAGATCCGTTTAAAACCCCAAGACAAATAAAAGCCGAAATCGAGACAAAAGGAATTCACACTTCAATTCTCGCAAAGAAATTCTTTCTGGATGAAAAAATACCAGTTCTTAAATGGCCTTCATAGTCTCCCGATAAAAACCCCATTGAAAATCTATGGGAATACTTAGATAAGCAAATACGAGATAAAAATTATTCAAACAAGGATGAACTTTTTGCCGCTTTAGAGCAAAAGTGGAGACAGATTGATGAATCTTATATCATGAAATTTCTACAATCTATGCCTAGACGATGCCAGGCGGTGATTGATAATAATGGTTATGCTACAAAATATTAACACAAACATGGTTGGTTTTCTATAATTCAATGAACTTTGCTTCTTTTTTCTGTAATTGTTTTGCTTTGTCTATATATTTGTCCTTCATAGTGCCAGTTTTTTCAATTAATTTTTTATTGAAGGGAGTCTAATGAATTTATTTATGTTAAGTGAGTATTATGCTATAATGAATTATGTATACAGGATGGCGTATTAATAAAACAAGTTAAAAAAGAAATACAGCACAATATTAATCTGTCTATATACTTTTGTCCATTACTGTATATATCGTGTATAATCGGCCGATATCTCCGTTATTTTAAAAGATATCTAAAACGATTAGCTACAAAAATTGTAGGCAAATATATGATTCTTACTTGTAAAATATACAGCTCTTTACAGGGCGATTCATAAGGACGTGCCAATATAAAGGTACATATATGTTTTAAATGGAATATCCTTTATATTTTAGTGTAATTTGAAATGCCTCTTTAAAGAAAAAACAAAGCTATATGGTTTGTATCGCCGCCACTGGAGCTACGGAATATTTTACAAAAAAAACACTCAACATTGACAGCTTGTAAGTCACTTTTGCAGATAGAGTAGCAAACTTTTGGTCACATCCCCATTTATCGTCATTGCCTGCCGTTGTACTGAAGATATGTGCCCTGGAACTTGCTCCAGTTATTTCGCATCTCTTCCAGATATGTTACGAATCTGGCACTTTCTCAGAAAGCTGAAAATTTGATCATACCCTGCCCAGCCCAAAAAAGGATCTAAGACCGACCCTTACAACTACATGCCTATAGCTCTGCTTTCTGTTAGGTAAGGTGATGAAGAGATGCATAAATAGGGAGCTTCTGAAGTGCTTTCATTAGTAACAGGGACTATGGTGTCCAAAAACATTTATCCGCGGGGGACCTCCTAGCTTACGTCAGGCAACTGTGGAGCAAACTCATCCAATCATAGTGATGCTCATGTTGCTCTTGGTATCACGAAAGCGTTCGCTACAAGATGTCCGTCGTAATTGACGCCTAACTCTGGCCTCCCATCCTAACCGTGGCGAACTTCGTACATCCAGGGCTGGTCGATATGACCTCTGCTTTGTCCCTAGGGTATCCAGATTGTGGGAGCCTACCTGAGGAGGCTTTTGCCTGATCTACTAACCTTAAGCTGGTTCAAAAAACGGCTTAACACAGTTTCTTTAAGCTCTCATACCAGCCCCGGTGCCCTTGTATTTAGGCTTCTGCCTGCGCGGCTGCGTCTGTATAATTTTTTTTAAAGGAGGTGCCTCATCTCTACAAGGTGTCAATAAATATAATCTTAAAACAGCGACAAAATTATAATACATATTTATCTCTAAAATATCAACTGAACAGCAAAGTAAAAAAAATGAAAGTATATTCTTTTCCAGAGGACTACAGAACATTGATAGGTGAACGAATTCCATACCAGAAAGTAGGTTTCAAGAGTTTAACAGATTTCATAGATTCAGTGCCGACTTTAGTTCTTTCAGAGCAGAATGGGGAATTGTATGTTGATGCTAAAATTAATTCAAAATCGGCTCACATATCCGAAATGGTGTGTAAACAGAAGACTGGAAAGAATAAAGTGTGAGTATTTTTAAGTCATTCTTGACTACATTTTTTAAATAGCTTCGCATGGACTATAATTTCAAACACAATGTCGTATTGGGAGGTTGAACTTCTCAGATTTTTGTACCTTAATGATTAGAGCAATTGTTTTTTCGCTAAATGATTTAAATACATCTTATTAATTTTTTATTATGTCAGGATCATCTTTTTACTTCCTACGCCACTGTCACTTATTTTCGTCGGTCTATCTGTCTGTCTGTCCGCTAATCCTTAGCCCATTTATACCTTGAGATGTATTGGTTGTCGGAAAAGTCATGACGTATATGCAACAAAGTATGCAATTGCATGGTTGGAAGTACGTGAGTCAATGACATTTGTATGTTGATTGTGTAGTTTGACAGTTGACACTTCAAGCTTCATTTGCACCAAAAAATTAAGTGATTTATTTGAGTCTCGTCGATTTTAGAAGACGTTGAAGATGGACGACCAAACTGTGCATTTTCGTCACATTTTGCTGTATTACTTCCGCAAAGGCAAAAACGCAAGACAAGCGTGTGAAAAGTTGAGAAAGGTTTATGGAGAACATGCACTACAAGAACGGCAATGCCAGAGATGGTTTAAAAAATTCCGAGATGGGGATTTTGATATCCATGACGCACCTCGATCAGGGCGGCCTACTGAGTTGGATAGTGACGAATTAAAGGCATTGGTAGGAGCAAACCCACATTACACCACACGGGAAATTGCAGAAACCTTAAAAATTCATCATTCAACCGTTCACGACCATTTGAAGAAACTGGGATACGTAAGCAAACTCGATCGTTGGGTACCTCACGAACTGAGAGAGGTTCATTTGACGGCGCGTGTAGACATCTGCGATATGCTCCTTAAACGTGAGGAAAACGATCCTTTCTTAAAGCGCTTGATAACGGGAGATGAAAAGTGGATTGTTTACAACAATGTGGTTCGCAAACGGTCTTGGTCCCGAAGTGTAGATACGCGTAACACGATCGCGAAAGCAGAGAGTCATCAGGAAAAGGTGATGCTCTCTGTTTGGTGGGATTTTAAAAAGATCGTGTTTTTCGAACTCCTGCCAAAGAACCAAACCATCGATACAACTGTGTATTGTCGGCAATTGGACAGTTTGCAACAATCCATCATGCAAAAACGTCCGGAGCTCATTCATCGCAAAGGAGTTGTGTTCCACCATGACAACGCGAGACCGCACACAAGTTTGCTCACTCGTCAAAAGTTATTGGAGTTAGGATGGGATGTGTTACCACATCCAGCATACTCGCCTGATCTTGCCCCATCTGATTTTCATTTGTTTCGGTCGCTTCAAAATTCCTTGCGAGAAATACGCTTTACTTCAGATGAGGCTGTACATCAGCACCTTGTTCAATTTTTCGCCGGTAAAGACAAATCCTTCTACGAGCGAGGAATTATGAAGCTGCCTGAAAGATGGCGAAAGGTCATCGATCAAAATGGGCAATACATTATTGATTGAAGTTTGTGCTGTATATGAATAAAATGGCCTTAAAATAAACAAAAAAAAAGCGTCATGACTTTTCCGACAACCCAATACTTCTCGGATTTTGATGAAATTTCTACACAAGGTTACTACAACACCAAGGACGAAAAAGCTTTGTAGTTTTTGAAAATAGGTTCAGTGATGGCGGCCCTACAAGCAAAGAAAAAAATAAAAGTCGCTCAAGCTTCGTTTTTTGACATTTCATACGATCCTGGTTTTCAGACAAAAAATTGCAGGGGTAAAAATTTGGATGTTACGGGTTTTTCCTAAGGTGAACTAACTTGTGCCGAATATAATTATTTATAGATTGATGACAGTGTTGCGTAGGAAGTGCAAAGTCAACCTACTTGTCGCCATTTTTAATTAGTTATTTTCAGGTTTAGGAATAGTGTTCCGCCCCCACGATTCAGTTCTCTGCCTCCGAGAAACTGGCGGCCGAAATACGTCCAAAAGAACACCAGTTACCAAACCACATCTCGACCAAAGGCTGTGTCTCACAATCAATTCGTCGATCGGAGTAGCTACAGTGCTCCGTCTGTCCCGTCGAAAATTGTCATTCCTGAATCGTCTAGCTTTGGTATGCTTTTTTATTAGAATTCTATAAAATGTATATTTTTTATGTAGGTACTTTGGTCGAACTTTGCAGCCTTTGTCGTGTACCAGGCATACCTTTGGCTTAGGCAGGTGTCTTGTTCCAAATGTACCGGGGTCGATGAAAATGTCGCAGTGAAAATGACACGTTCTCAAACTAGACAAAATCTTGATCAAGAATCCTAAATGGTGACTCGAACTTTAATGGCTTATTTTCTTCCTTAACAAAATTGCATTTTTTGTAGCTGAAATAAATTCTTTATAAATATTTTCATATGATGCAGTTTGTTCTCCTTTTTTTGCACGCGTATGTGAAATTCGTACAATGAGAGAAAACTCATTTAAATCTGGTGTATTTTCTACGGAAATAATCAACCAAAGGATTTGATTCAAATATTCCCGATATCGATAAAACGTTAATGTTTTTATATTTATTCATCACATTAGTTATTAAATTTAAAAACGAGACAATCTTGGAGTTATGTATTAACAGTTATATAAATGATATTTCGGCACAATTTCTAAATAGACCAAAATATGGCAATTGATTACACTAAAACGTCCAAACAAATAACTAATTTCTTATTGCACCCCAAGACTGCCTCGTTTTTAGATAGAGTGCTACCGTTCATTTCATGTCAAACTGTCATCGCCGCAGAATAAAAGTTATTTTCCTTACTACTGACGTATGCCTAACCTTCATGGCAGGAGTAGGTCATATTCTAAAGACATAGAGTGGAGAAACTAAGTACCTCTCCCTAGAACTTGTTGCTTCAGAGCTTTTCAACTTGAAATTTTACGTTTGAACTGTGAAGGGCAAGTTTTGCCACTTCTTCCTAAAAGAAATTAGACACAGTTTTTGGACGCATAATATCAATATTCCGTCGAAATGTATAGATATATATTTTTTTGATAGTACCACATTAATAAAAATCATATCCAGATTTAGAGAAATATCCCGAGACTCGTAGTCTTTCTAACAACATTCATTAAAAATTATATCTGTAGCTCAGAGCTGAATATTCGAAGGTCCAGTTTGATGCAAATTGGAGTTAAAATGTATTATCATTAAACAGGTTATCGATTTTATAACTTTAAATATATAAATATTTATACTGTATTGAATTTTTTACTTCTTTTGATCATTTCTCGAAACTTTGATTTTTGGGCTTAGGTCTCTTTACCTCTGAATTACAGATTAACATCCTTTCTAGACAACCCTCGTACCATCTTCTCTAGAAGTATTACAGTGAAATTCATTTACTTTTTCGGTCTTGGCCTTCAGTATGTACGCTTTTCTCTCTCGTGCATATTGAAAGCCAAGACCAAAAAAGTAATTAATTTCACTTTATAACGCCACTGTTTTTAATAACCCTGCATGTCGCAGCATTCCAATAATTAGGAGCCATCGCCACGGATTAAAACCTATGTTTTAAAATAGGTAAGACTGTAAAGAAAACGGATCTGAGCAATAGGTTGCTTCCGAAACCTGAGTCCACTTCCTCGGCGCAAAACAACTATACCAACCGACATGCTCCGGCCCAAAACGGTACCAGTAAAAAGGATAACCACGAAGTATCCAACCACAACTCTAATACAAATAGGGTGCTTAGACGGGTAGAATTCAACATTCCGTCCTCAAGTCAAAACGAATCAACCAGTACGAGCGCTAGGGCGCAATCTCAGACTAAACCTGAAATAAACTCGACGCCGAATGGCTTTACAAGCACCAGGATGAACATTTGTCAGAAGATGTCTGAGATCAACTTGGATAGGGATAGTGGGAACAGCAGTCCGATCAGCGAGTTCGGTCAACATATCGCGAATGGGGGGAATACTTCCCCTCTGAAAATGGCGGGAGCTTTTAGCCCGAACATTGCTCTGGTGGATAGGATTATTGCGCCTAAGGTGAGTAAACAATAAATTTAATACTACACAGCAACTTAATTCCTGACTATACCAGATAATTGCGCATCTTATCACGCAGAGCACTGATACAATTTAATGTTACCCGCCTTGCGGCTTCAACATACAAATACAAACGTATAATATAAATAAAGTATGAATAAAACAGAAAATACACAAAAAAGTCATGTCTTCGTAGCAGAATACCGGGTTCATAGTACTACTATACTTGCCTACTCGTTCCAAATATCCACTGCGTAAATGTTAATTTTAGCATTTGCTCTGCGTTGTGGCCTCAAGTTTCTGGAACTGCTCATCACTTTCCCTCTCTGCCAAACGCACATTCACCTATTTCGGTCCTCATTGTAAATGTTTGCAAGTAGGCCGGAAAATTACCATGTCCGGTGACAAGCTGGCAAGTCCTAAAGCTTAGGTCCAGCCTGCCTTCTCCGACCTATTTGCGTACCTCATATACGTCTCTTCCTTTCTCACTAGTATCCCACTTTTGCTGCCATTCTCTCATTACTTGATCTTTCATTCTAATTGTCGCTTCCCTCTTGTCATACGCCGACGCAATCTCCCATTAGATCTGCCGTTTTTCTCGTCCTAATTCCTGTATCCTGCCTTCTTCTAACCCATATATCTCTTTTTTTCGTACCTAGTTCCCTCATAGCTATACTCAATCATTTATTTCACTTTCCCCTGATCTTACCGTTCATCCGTCGTCCATTTATGTATCTGACGACGACCTGACTATCTGTTCTTACTGTCAGCGGCGACCATTTATGCTCATTTGCCTTTTGAAGGCATTTCCATATCGCTACCATCTCTCCGTGTGCAGTATTGGACGACACGCCCTCTACCCCTTCCATCCATATTTCATTGTTATTAACTATACCTCCCAAACCACTCTTAACATTCTTTCATACTAACATCTACACTCGCGATCCATCCACTTTCAAATTCTTCCTCTCTGTCTTATCATTCATTGCACATATTTTCCAAGGTGGGTGAGGCTTATCTTCACCCAAACCTTGCTCTCAGCAATTTAATTCCTTCTAGCTCGCCTCTCCATCCACCTCGTGTTCGCTTCCAGCTCTAACGGTTTCATTCCATTTATTACCTCCATTGCTTTCTGTCGCTGACGTTCTATACATTGGCCCTATCATAAGACCAAACATCCTGCCGGTCTGTCTTTCTCCGCATATTTGATATGGGTACAAAATTACGCTTTTTATTAATTTCATGCAGTAAAGTTAGAATATCCTTGTGTTCACCTCCCTCTCAATTGTTTGACGTGCTCAATCTAATTTTGTTTCTTATCCACGTGTACCCCCAAGTTGTTTTCCCCGTCTTTCATTTCTACTCTCACCTCTCATTCTTATTTTCTTCTTCCTAGTTCTGCGTCCCATTTCCACAAACATACATTCTGTCCTGCTTTCGTTGTATGCTAGTCCATATTTGTTCTCCCATTCAATGGGTTCCCTTTCAATATCCATCCATTTTCTTTCACTTTTGCTTGGACTGAAAAGAAGTACGGACAATTAAAGTTGGTCACGTTCTTTTGTTGCGATTTTTTTTTGTGTTCATATTAAGTTAAAGTATGTCATGATCCCATTATTTAAAAAATACTCTTTATCAATGTGTTTTCTACTAAACGTTTTGGAGTCCATGACAAATAATGCCATCCTGTTGATTAGGGATAAAATTTTTTTATTGTTTTAAACGAGATAATACGGAAGTACGATTAAAAAAATATATTCGACCACGCCCTCCACTCGCTCCGCCCACTTACCGCTGACAAGGTGTCAAGCAACTCGTATCTAGCCTGGTTGCCAGATTGTTGAAACTAAGCAAATTACAGAAATTAGCTCATTTTTCGAAAGTTGGGTATGTTATGGACTAGTGTTTTTTAAATCGGCGATAAAAAGCGTATGCGCAAGCGTTCTCAATGTTACATTAACAACTTGTAACACTTAGAAAAGACGGAGAGATGCGGAAATGTCGACTTTTCAATAATAAATACAAATAGTTTATATTCGAAACTGCTCATATAATGTACTTGTGGTTCAAGCCATTGCTATTGACTATTATGGAGCAGATGGTTATAAAAAAAGTACTACTATCTCCAGATTCAAATGTTTCCAGCATTTTTGCACATAGTTGCTCTTGTCATTATCTGTAAGTCAGATGATGAATGTGACACACAAACGTGTACAAAGTTTCCTAAATTCTCACCGAATACTTTTTCCATTTTGTCGTCACATTTTTTTAGTTGATAGACCACGGCGAAGATTATGGAAAGTAATCGTACGGTAAGCAACAATCGGGAACGATGCTTTGTCTAACTATTAATTCATTTTCATCAACAGTTGAATGTTTATAATTGGGCTAAGCAAAGCACTTAGTTTATAAAAATATAAACGTAACCTAGCTGTGTTGCAGTTATTTGTCATAGTACAAAACTTATGCTGTGTCACACGTAGATGTCACTAATGATGTCTAGACTTTTCAAGAGTCTAGACTCTAGAGCTTTCAAAGATGATTTTCCAAAGTTCAAAATACTTCAAAATGAGAGTGCGTAAATCTAATCTAGATTCAGTAGATTCATGGGAAGTATTTGAGTGAATCTACTTGTCTTCGTTTTTGGCAGGTAACTGTGCAACCGACAAGCACTGGAAACCCCATGACAGACTTGAGGAACTTTGCGGAATTTCACAAAATGGGCGAGGTAGAATCAACCAGCAAACGAGTTAAGACTAAACAAAATCACTTTTGGTCAAGCAAAATAAAGGTAAGACATTAAGGTTTGAGTCACTGGTTGTCGTGACAGTTTTTGATACTTACATGTGGACATTTCACGGTTTATATTATTTTTAGATTGGCAAGCACACGTATGCGAGTTATCCGGAAGAGTTTGCTGATGCCGCGTCTGCAGAAAAGCACTGCGCTAAAGAAGCACTCAAAGATCTGGAAAGTAAATACGGCAGACGTAAATCTTTGCTTTTGTCTGGTCAAAAGGAGATTTTGGAAAGGATACCGCCTATGCTAGAGAAACACAATAATGGTAATTGTACTGAAATACTTTGGACAGCAATTCACAACCTGTGTTACCAGGAGATAATTTCATATATCATGAGGATGATTTTTACAGGTATTTGGGTGTGGCAACTTCAAGAAGACTATACGGACAAATACAATGAGCAGTTGCCCTCTGATTGGTTGAAAATCATCGATAGTAGCCCTGGTATCCAGGTGGAAAAATTCCAAAGCAGCTATATCATCAAACATTGCAGACCTGAGGATGTAAGTGATTGATATAATTATTCAGCCTTTTGTCGACAGATTGGTCCTGATTCAAAATCAGTTTGAATGGTGTGACGAATATTTTCTGTGGTCTCAAATCAAGAACTGAACATTCCTAGAACTTCAAAAAATGTCTAATTCTCAATTTTTGTCTCAAGAACTAAAAGTTTTATTCCAGCATGCATTTTTATAATACTTTCAGAATGTTCAATCAAGCACGGATTTCGGGATGTTACTAATGCAAATATTGTTGAATGTTATCTTGTTTATAAAATTACAAGAATTTTTTCATCGGCGTCAAACCTCATTGCATGTTTTGTGGGTGCCTGATTATATCATACTCGTAAATCACATTTTAAACTGATTTGAAACGTGCTGAAAAATAATACGATAAAGGGTGACCTAGCAGATAATTCAGGATCTTAAATAAAACCAACTATTTTGGAAAATATATCTGTTTATATTATCAGGATATACATGTACGGAGTTACGTTTTATAAAGATCCCCCTCAACTGTTTTTGCAGGAAACCGTTCATTCTTTGACGAAAATTATGATTAACCAGAATTATGGCCCAATTTCACCAATAACTTGAATGAAATTTGACTTGATGGCGAATGGTTTGAATGTAATTTATTCTTGAGTAATCCACACGAAAATGTTTGCGAGCCGGCAGATATCACCTTGCAAGAAGTCACGCGATAACAGGAAAACATATATGTGACAATTCCAAAGTTATGCTAAGGTGCAGGTAACGTTCGTCGTGTTGTACAATAGCGGCGGATCTATATAATGATTATTGGAAAAATAAAGAAATGCAGGAAATTCACTAATATATTTTTTGTATCCCCACCCCCTCTCTTTAATTGTCATAAGGCAGTTGGTCTTGAAAGCACAATTTTCAATCGTCGACAGACCTCGCTCTCAACACTGATGCAGAGGGGGGAACTGGCGGAGAGTCCTTGCCTCACAAGACAACTGGAAAAAGAAAAATACGCAGGAAATTCACTGATATACTTTTTATGTCTAAATGGTTGAAAAATGGCGCCAAATTTAAATCGCGAAGCACCTATTAGAGCACCCTTTACAAGAGGAAATTGTAAATAATTTCTTCCAGACCGAATTTTTCATTATTTTAGGACCATACTGTCATGACATGGAATTGGGAAAGATTCTAACAAATAATCATCGCACATGTTGCTTTTGCTTTGTGTTCTAACGCTGGCTAACCTTAACCTCTCTTTCCCCCCTCTAACCGAACAGATATTGCAGAAGGGCGGTATGCGAGGCACTTTCATGCACATAAGCAACGTTTCTGTACCATCCAATACGGTGCAACTTAGTGCTGATGGGTCAGTGCAAGGGGAAGTCACTTGCGTCATGGCAGCCAATGAGGTGTGGTGCAGGCAATGTAATACTGAGGAAAGTGTAAGTATATATAAGTAATAATCTCTTCAGAATTTTATGTGTGGGGTTATCATTGATGAGGGAATGGAATTTCTTATATAAAGTGGCTATTTCATGAGTATCCATTACGTTATGAAGTTTACTGAGTTGAACAGCTGATCAGCAAGTGAGCGACATTGTGGTATTAGACTGTACAGATCTTCGAGGACCCTGGCTTCAACTTTTTTAGTAATTTCATCACTTGTTACTGTTTTCTGTCTTCCACTACTGGGATCGTCTTTTATGAATTCACGTCCCTCATCTGAACTGTTTCGGCCTAAATTTTAGTGTTGTAATATGATGGTGAATCATAACTATAGACGGCAACCATTCTCTCAAGAATTATTTTTAGCTGATGGCCCTCTCTTGTCAGAAACTTTGAGACATTGCGGTACTCTGGTTTTAAGTTAATCATTTTCCCTCACAATTCACTTTATAAATTAATTTCAGGTAATAATTATCAAAATGAAAAATTTTGCAAGTTTACAATCTTCATATATTTATAATTTTATCTATAGAATCAACACATAGAAGCAATGGGTAGGATGGAGTTATATTACGCTCGTAATCACGCGTCTCTGAAACCAGATAACATTACGAAAAATTGCTATTACGCAGCAGAATACGAAGGAACCTGGTTTAGAGTTCGAGTTTTGGAAACCAACGAGACTGAAGTTATGTGCTTCTTGATCGATTTCGGAGAAGAAATTGCGATACCAAGGAAGAACATTTACCAGCTGAAGAGAGAGTTCGCGACTTCACAGGCACAGGTACGATTTTCGAATATATTTAATGTCTAAAATCGGGTTCTAAAAGCCTTAGTCGCATTTTTCGTGAACGCTATATTATTGTTTGAACATTTACAATTTTTTCTAGGCGTTTGTATGTCGTCTCATCGGACTGGAAGTATTATATGAGTTTTCACTAAATTCCGAAATACTTCATGATATGCTTTTATATAAGCAAGTACAGTTGGAGCTAGCACCAGATACGGGTCAGTATTTTTTTTTAAAGTTTGTCATTTCTCATCTGGATTTGGTGAACGATTGCGATATTTGAACGTTCTTATAACTGCGCTTACTAGGCTATAGGATACTCGTATACTACCATACTTAGGTAAAAGGCAGTTAAGTTGATTTAGGACCGATTTCACCAACATTAATATTATGGACCAATGGGAAAATACCTTATCGAAATGCAATTTGACGGAAGCTGTCAAAGGTCTCTGAATATCAGTGATTTCTACTGAAATATTGAATAAAATCGTGAAAATTCGACTGTATTATAAACAAGACCACTTTTTGATTCCAACATGATGCTTTTGTACAGAAAAAACAGGACAACTTTCGTATATTTTGATATATGTTATAGGTTTACATTTAACAATCCGTTATCCCCCTCAGCGAATGGGAATGCGGCAAATAATAGGTCGATTTTCTAGCTGTTAAATTTGGCAGCAGATTTGGACGTTTGTTAATGCATGGCACTCTCGAATTTAGCGACTTCAATATACTGAAGGTTATCATTACATACCTGTTGGATAGTGTGGATTTGTCTGTATTTTGCAAGAAAATAGAATATAAAATACATTCCATCCAATTCCTCATCTTCCTTTACGTCATAATAGTAATCATTTATTCATTTATGGGTTAATGAATTTCTTCAAAGCAATAAAAACATTATGTCCTCTCCATTCTAAAACACAGATAATATGTGTAAGACGTGTCAATCCCTACATCTCCCTGATGCATAATGCAATTACTATTGACATAGACAAAAAAATATGAAAAATGTTTCACAGATAATGGCTTTTAAGTCCAAAAATCAAAAAAACTAGTAATGTTTATTGTTTGTCTATTTTTCTTTTTTGACTGGCGGGGATATCTATCTGACACTCGCAGGGTTGCCAAGTCTAACGACGATCACGTCCCGTGGTGGAGGGTGCGAAATGAATCTTTTACATTTGCTGGTTTTGAATTTTTTTCGTGAAAATTTACTAGGTATTATGATTATAAGCATCTTTGGTAGATTGTTCGATCCGGAATGGGAAAGATCTCCTATTTATGAAAATATTTTTGGCATCATCTAACCGTTGCAATCAGTGCACAAACACTGTGACATATGATTTATAGCATAACCCGCTGCCCTATCAATACAAATTTAACATACAGGTCGCCTAGCCGTGGGGATGCAGTGGTCGGGATGAATATCACGGCAGCAACTGATGATTTGGACATGTCTGGTAACAACGTATGAAGTGAAACTCGCTAACTTCACAAATTTGAGGATTTTGTACAATTTCTTTGAAAATGATGAAAGATATGTCTGATTTGTCAGGGTAATGTCGCAGCCAAATGGCAGTCACTCTTTCTGACACAGTCCGGATCGAAAGATGACGATACTCGTGAAATTTATTGATACTTCTAAATATAGGATCGTATCGAACGTCCCTACTGTCAAGATGTCAAGGTACCGACGGAGCTATATTGCGGCGTCATGGAAATAATTTTAAATTTTCGTTTGCATTATTAAACCTTCAGAGTATATGTTTTGTGACTGGTACCAAGAGTTGACAGATCCCACACATGTGTCACTTCTTGAAATGCAATAATCAGCTGTATTCAAATAATGTCTAATATAAATATAACCTAGAATGTGTACTTGTGAAAAAAGAAAAATATGGCAAATTTGTAGTTTTTTTTGCCGGTTTTAGGTATATATTTGGGAGTTTCTTAATCGCTGTGAATATAGTGTGGATGTTTCTTCAGTTTCTGAACAACGAAAAATATTCAACTTTATGGATGTATGGATATCAAAAAAACTTGAATGGTTTTGTGGGAATATCAACCTAAGGTGCCATAATGGTTCTGATGAACGGCAAGTAAATGAATGAATGTTTGGAAACAAGCAATATCTTTTGGTAGAGCCTGTCATCAAGTAGGTGCTTAATGACTATCTGCAAGAGGTTTATAGGAAAAACCACCCAGTATCACATATCAATTGAAGAAAATAATATTAACATGAACAAAAAATCAACAATAGTAATTAAAACATGAATTTAATTCAAAAATCAAACATTTCTTAAAATTTTGACTGAATTATATGTAATTTCTTAATATTCAATAAGCTGGTGATGTTTCAATGACAAGTTGTCATCTCATACTTTGACAGTATTTTGTTTTCAACATTTCATAGCTATTGGTTGCTAAAATTTGTTGATTGGAACTTGAAGCTCATTCGCTGTATCTGATGGTCTGTTACCCTATAGGCGGAGAATAACGGACTGTTGTTGGTGAAGTTGGCTCTGTCTTTTTTTAATTTTTGACGCCAGTACATTTCTTTCATTATTTCAATTACAAAATATATCATTGATCACGTTATTTAACAAAAATAGTTAGTTTTTTATTTTGTCAAACATCTCATATTAAATACATTTCCTAAGCACAAAAGCAGTAAAGCAGTAAATCATTTTATCAATGTAAAAGAGCAGCAGTCTTCAAATTATACTGCTTTTATTCCTGTATGATACGAGTACTACCTTTTTATCCTTTTTTAATCTATTATGATGCTTGCTTATTGAGTTTTTTATGTAATAATGCTATTATTTATGAATAACTCTTTATTGTTTTAAATAATTACTGTTGTTCCGAAAAAATAATTTTGAAAAAGAATCTTCGTTTAACTCAACATATAACAAAATATGCTTATTTATATACAGCAGACGCTCGATAATGCAAACTAATTTAATCCAAGTGTGGTTCACATTATCGAAATGTTTACATTAGCGAACGTGATTTATATAATATTTGATTTATTAAAAGAAACGTTTAATACATACTATTTATAACAAAATAAACAAATATTCTAACAGCGATAAGTATTTTTTTAATTAGAAGAAAAATAATTAACAATTTTTGTCTGCGTAAATTTGCGCTTAGCATTGTCTTCCAATGCCTGCGCCCGTAATTTACGAAGAACTAAAATATCCGTGTATGAAACTTCTTTTCCTTCAGCCCAATCTAAAGCTTGGTTAAAAACTTGTATAGGTAGCGCGTCAGTCACTACACTTCTGACTTCAATGGGATCGTTCTCATCATCCTCACTGTCCATATCCTCCTCCTTATCAGCATCATTCGTCTGCTTATCTTCGTTCCATAAATTAATATCAGCAGGAGTACAAACAATGTTGGGATTCACTGTTTTCAATAAACCAACAACATCCAATGACACACTAATAACATTATCATTATTGGATCGCAAACGTTCTCGAATTACGCTTAAGCTTCTTCATCATCTTCATTATTGGTACAAAAGAGATTGTTCCAACATTTTTGAATAGTTTGCTGGTTAAGTTCATTCCAGGCCATATGTAAATCTAAAACAGCTTCTCGTAATGTTACTTTTTTTAAAGCCTCAGATAAGTTTTCAGGATTCTTTGATAAGACAGACGAAAGTAGAAACTTCCTATAGTATAGTTTGGTGAGTTTTATTATATTCTGGTCCATCGGTTGAATTAACGGTGTTACGTTGTATTGTATTGTACATGACGAAAATTGACCCATCCCTGCTCCTCAGTTGTTGCTCGGGAGGATGACTTGGTGCATTATCCAATAGTAACAACGCTTTTATTGGAAGCTTCTGTTGTTTTAGGAAACCTTTTACCTACAAATTGAAAACACATCTTCAAATTATGAATAGAGCATTTTTGATAATTGATTGTCATACCTGAGGGACAAAGCACCTGTGGAACCATTTCAGGAATATACTGCTAGTCATCCAAGCGGTTTTTGAACAGTCATAATCAACAGGGATATTAACATTTTTAAATGAGCGCGGATTTTTTGCTTTCCCAATTACCAGTGGCTTTATTTTGTGTGAACCATTAGCATTAGTGCAGGCTAGAAATGTTATTCGTTGTTTCTCCGGCTTTCTTCCCGGGGCAGATTTTTCAAATGATGCAGCATAGGTTTTCTCTGGTAACATTTTCCAATAAAGGCCACTTTCATCTGCGTTGTAAATTTGTTTCATTCTTAAATCTAGCTCGGTAATTGTTTTCATCAATTTTTCTTTGAATGGTTGCACTAATTTTGGTTGTGCTGATAATGTTTCACCAGATATAGACAGCAGTCGAATTCCATATCTTGTTTTGAATCGTTGTAGCCAGCCATCACTAGCTACGAAATTTTCAGTTTCTTTCAGTTTTTCATTTAACAGTCTCGCTCTCTGTTTAAGTACTTTGCCACTAACTGGGACATGATTTTCCCGTTGTTTTAAAAACCACTTATACAGGGAATTTTCCATTTTAGGTGCCTTCGCATTTTTTAAAGTTTTTCTTTTTCCCGGACCTCCAAATGTATTGCACGTTCTTTGTAAAATTTGAGTTTTCATACGCTTAATTTTACAGATTGTTGCTTTCGATACTCCTTATTTTTTTGCTAACTGTGTCACTCCCGCACCTAGGGCAACTTCGTCTATGATTTTCACTTTCTCATTCAACTTTAAACACTTTCTTTTATAGGATGTGGATGCCATAGTCGTATAATATATTAACGCGTGCAATGGATTCACTTAAGTTCAAAAATGAAATACATACGTACGTATAAACGTATCCTAAACGATCATACGACTGACCGAGTTTGTCGTATTTTATCGCAGAGGTGATTCCCCTACACTCTACATAAATCATCGAGGCTTCAGCATTTTACCGTCGCACTGTTTCCGTGCACCGAGAGTTGTTTACGTTATCGAGCGTACACATTGTTTACGTTATCGCGCGTTCCGTTTGATACTATAGAACGAAGTTTGTGTTTACATTAGCGCAAGTTTTCATTATCCCGTGTTTACGTTATCGAGCGTCTGCTGCAATTCATATAATTATTAACCTGAATTATTAGATGTTGGAATGATTTACTTTTTTGCTATTTATGTGAATTTCTATATGAACAAATAATATGAAAATAAAATTCTGCATTACTAGGTTTACCTTTAAAAAAATAAAATGAATAGATTATGAAAACTACGAAAAAGGCAGTGTTTGCAGAGTACAAAAGCAGTAAATCACGCGTTTCTCATCTTTCTGTTTTTTAGTTTAGAACAATTAAAGACGGAATGTCATTTATTTTCGGCCTTAACAACAATTACGATCCGAAATCGCATTTAAATGACTCTCTATAAAGACATGTAACTTGCCGTTATTCATTCACCTTTGTTGTGTCGTAATAATACTAGCTTTTCAGTTCAGAAAAATCGAGAATTTTGAACACAATTTTCTCAGATTTCTATTTTCACACTTCAGTACCTTTTACCTAAGTACGGCAGCATAGTTGAGGACTTTTTGTTTCTTATGATATTACCATATTTTTATTACATTATTTAATTCAGGTATGTTTTATTTCACTTCCCGCTCCCACTCCCCTAGTTGAGGACTTTTTGTTTCTTATGATATTACGATATTTTCACTACATTATTTAATTCAGGTATGTTTTATTTCATTTCCCGCGCCTACTAACGAGGAAGTATTGTAACCGCGACATTTTCCGTTGATGAGACATGTTTTTCTGATGTTATATTATGACATGTACATCACGAAAAACCATGTCACTCATTTCCTTCGGTCTCTGTCTGAAAGTCAGTCTGTCTGTCCGCTAATCCGTGGGCCGTCTATAACTTGGAAAGTACCTCTGGGATTTTGATGAAATCTTCACACGTTACTACTATGTTTTTGAAAATCGGTCCAGTGGCGGCGGAGAAAAAGGTCAAAAACGAAAAAAATAAAAATCGCTCAAACTTCGTTTTTTTGACGATTCAGATTATGCTAATAATTTAAGAATAATTTTTTAGGGGTAACAAATTGGGAGGTGGAGGAGGGTTATCTCATTTTTTTTTATTTCAGTATGTTATTTATTATATACTGGGTCCTACACAAATGTCGGACGGTTTTTAAAAAATATCAAAATCGGTCATTTTTACTCAAAGACAAATTTATTGACGGATTCGGGTTCACAATGAAATAGCGTTTGTCTCAATTAAGTGTGGAAAATCACATCAGTCATGTGGTGACCGTTTTTGACGATGCATTGCTGGAGGCGTTCTTAAAAGTTCGCGTAGACTCTCTCCAATATATTTCTCTCAACTTGGGCGACTTCCACGCGAATTGCCTCCTTCAACTCGTCCGGAGTTCAGGGCTTGTGCTCGTATACCCGAGACTTGATCGCAGATGGATAAATTTGGGGACCGAGGAGGCCAAACCAGGAAATAAGGCGACCATGGAATAACGTTCATCGATTCTCTGGCTGAGTGGGCGGTCGCCCTAGGCTGTTGGAACCACACACGTCGGAATGGAACACGTCGTCGTCCTAACTTAACTGAAAAGCAGTTAGTGTTCATTCCGAGTTCACGGTAACAGCATTGCCATTACCGTCTTCAAAGAAGTAAGGGCCGATGATGCAAGTTTGCGATACAGCCCACCAAACGACCAAACCGTCACTTTTGGGGTGTGCAGCGGTCTTTCATGTAACTGTCGCAGATTTTCATTAGCCCAATAACTGCAATTCTGCTGGTTAACCATGCCAATCAGATGAAAATGAGCTTCATCACTCACGTACTAAGTTCATTCGTTGTACGTAATCTCCAGGATGTAACTGTTGTATAATGATCAATTTGTAGGGGTGGAAGTGGAGCTCCATATGCAACATATGCCTTACCGAAGTTCGGCAGCATGTTGCCGAGCAGATCGAGCCGGACTGCGAACACCTTCCACATTTTCAGGAGTTCCAACCGTTCGTGGAGCTCCTGGTGGTATTTTGTTGATCAGTACAACACGTGTCTGAAGTGCATGAACCCAACGAAGGATGGTGTTTCGAGAAGGAACAGTTCAATTAATATGAATACTGAAGTGGCGACGAAACTTATGCTGTACAGCCGTGATAGACACAGTATGTCTGACAAAACTGTCGTACGCGAAAATGCGGTGCTCAACTGTCCACTGCTCCACAATGTCTACTGGTAAAGTACTAGGAACGCCCGAGTCGAGTTTCACTCCCCACCAGTCTCGCCCGAATAGGCGGAGAGTACTAGCCGTTTCAAAAAGATACGTCCTTTGTGCCGGACCCTGTATAATAATAATAATAATAATAATAATAATAATAATATGTATTTCCCCGTACATTTTTCCTTAAAATAGAATGATAGCGAAATACTTCCGATACGCGTGACTGTTTCTGCTGTCTTGGATCACCGGCGAGCGTGTCGGTCGTGGTAAGTGTTCTGACATTACTGCCGCGCTGTCGTCAGGTATCGGGAAAAGGCGACGTTGCCAGATGGGCTTCTGGTAGGGCAGGTAAAGGATGTCTATGGAGTAATTGTGCAGGCCTGTTTGACTGACTTGATCGGTTTAATTACTCTGTTATGCATTTTCGTAACTAACTTTTTTCTCGGAGGGTGTAACTTGTGCTGAACACTATCCTTTATGAAGTGATAACGGCGTTGTGTGGGAAGTGCAGAGTCAACCTACTTTATGCAACTTTTTAACCATACGGTTGTTGAAATCTTTGGTTTTTTTTTCAGCTGTTGAGAATGACCTTTGTCTACCTGTTTATATGTACGATGTCGACGGTAAATCGATTAACGAACAGTTGATTACTCTCTTAACGATTGAAAGCGCCACACCTGCAATTTCCAAGGTACGTGTTTTTGATAATTTGATATATACGTAATTAGCGAATGTCACGATTTACTTTCTTCCACGGGTTTGAGGATCCATTGCGCGCTGCGTTTACAATGACTTTCGTTTCTTCAAATGTTTGACTAATCGGCTTTCCAGGACGGCGTCGCGACCCAGGTGTACGTCTCAAATATCGAAAGCAATGGTGATGTGTACGTGCAAGTGCATTCTCATGGTTTTGACGTGTTGCTGAACCGTCTTGAAGAGCTAGAAGCTGAGGTAAGGGCCAATCCGCCCACCCACTTGGTCTCACCCGTCACGAAGGCGTATAGCAATGGTGTTACCTTCCTGGCGCAGTACAAGACAGACAGACACTGGTAAGCGATAATAATTAAACGTGAACTACCCGACTAGGTAGGTAGGCACCGCATTCCATAATATGCGCTGTAAGAGCTATACAGGGTCTTCTTACTCAAATGGCATATGGACAAGACCTTTTCATATCTGATAAAGAAGTTCTAAATTCAATTTTGACGGATATACTGGTTGATTTATCTAAACACGCCAAAGCTTTATTACAACATATTGTATCATTTTTCTGAGTTCTTTTGGGTGTGAATTAAAACACTCGATCCACAAAAAGAAATGCACTAATTTATTTACAACATAACTAACTTTAACTTAACTAGAGTAGAACACTTATTCATGTACACCATTATTTATGTCTTTATTTACGAAGCCCTCCGCTTATACAGGGTGTTGAGTAATTCATTTTAATAGCTTGTAGAACTCGTCAAAAGAAATTGATATACCAAAAATCACCTATATAAAAGTTGCATAATAAGAGAGTTCGTTTAAACTATTAAAAATTAATTGAAAAAAATCATGATCAAGTTAAATGGATACCGTTTTTACAAAAACTGTTCAAAATTATCCCCATTTGTTCGATTAACGCAAAATCTTGCTCGGCGAATCCACGGCTCTTTACAAGCTTCGAAAATAGAATTCTGGTATCCACGAATTAAATTACAAGTTCAGTGCACTGTTGAAGTTCTTCCAGTGTATTTACTGCTCCATCATGATACACCAACTCTTTCAAATAGCCCCGCAGAAAAAATCGCAAGGCGTTAAATCCGGGTAGCGAGCAGGCCAAGAAATGGGTCAATTAATTGCGCCCTATCCATCTATTCGGAAAATCATTATCTTTCATGAACTTCTTGTCTAAAATGTGGTGGAGCCCCATCATGTAGGAACCACGTACTCTGTCTCATATTTAGAGGAATATCTTCTAATAATTGTGGCAGACTGTGTCGAAGATCTAAATAAATTTCACCGGCCAGTCGAGGTGGAAGAAAGTAGGGTCCAATAAGCATTTAATATTTAACATTTAATTAAAATCTATGTTGAAAATGAATTCTTTTTACCACATGCGGATTTTCTACTGCTCAAACATGATTGTTGTGGAAATTGTTCACTCCATTTCGTGTAAATGTGGCCTCGTCTGTATTAAAAATTAATTTCGAAAAATTTTCATTTTTGCTGAACTTTTCTAGAAACCAGGCAACTCTTCTAGAATGATCTTCAGGTTGTAACGCTTAAACCTGTTGATAATGGTAGAGATAATAATGTTCTTGTCGTATTGTCTTCCACACTTTACTATGAGAAACTTCAACTTCAGCTGCTATGGCTCTAGTACGCATTGTAGGGTCGTCTTCGACCATTTCTAAAATGCCGTCCTCCATTTGTAACATTTTACGTTGAGCAGGTCTTCCAGCGTGAACTCCTCGTTGTTCTTTTAACACATTGACTGCGAACTGGGATGAGGATACCCACCTCAGAAACTGAAATACTTTTTTTGGAAGCCGGCAGAGAGCGTCGAAAGACGCCGTTCGCTTTCCACCACAGGAGCGGAGGGCGTCTTATGACGCTGTTCGCACTGAACGTGTTAAATATCATGTGTCACGAAGTCTAATAACTAAATTTACAAACATCCATGGGGCCGGATGATTTCTTAAAGGAAACCATTCCGCATACAACATGCATGCTGCGGCTGCCTTTTGTTGGCACTCTCCGTATGTTAGTATTATGTTCACTAGTTCATTGTTTTCGTAAACATGGGATATTTTTTTCGCACAAAATAATCAGATAAATGAAAGCATACACACTATTAAAAGACTGATACAACTGGTTGAACCAAAGACTCGTACTGAAAACCACACAACAACACAAAAAGTTTGCCAAATTTAGATAAACAATAAGAGTAGTAAAAAAACGCTAAATTTTACACGGCAGTGGTCGAGAATACTAAAAAAATCTGAGTAATAACATTCTTATTTTTTAAAAATTTTAATATTTTACTATTTCTTTTATTATGCAACTTTTATATAGGTAATTTTTGGTATATAGACCTAAAAGCAGTTAAAATAAATGACTCAACTTTGAAAACATGCTGTGTATGCCGCTTCGAATGGGTTTCGACAGTTTTCTGCACGGGTCGCGCCTATAGAAATTTCGCGGCCAGCCTCGTCGCTCGTATCGATGCCGAAGAAGACTCCAAAGCGAGGTTCCCAACAGATGGCGCTAATAGTACCATTGTCGTTACAATGTTTAGGCACTGTTGAACCGATGTTCTTGAAATTTTGCACGATAACAAAGCTACCTAGGAGTAACGTAAAATTAGATGGACGGTTTTAAAATCCTGGGCCGGATTCTTTTCAACTTTTTTGTAATTTGTCAAAATCAACTCGTTTTAAACCAGACAATGAGGTATTTGACTATGTACAAAAAAGCCAATGAATGTTCTTAATTGATTAGCAAAATATTTTGGTTTTCTAGTTAATTTTTATCCAGATATTTTTATTAGTTTATGTAACACAGATCACAACATTTTAAGCGCTATCAACTAGATTTCAACAACATTTTACAAAATAATGCTAAAAGTTGAACTGAAGATGCTTTGAGAACTCTAAATTCTATTGTCGGATTTTATTGAGTGCAACGCCCTGTTATACTCTTTAGTTTCTTATTACTTCGTTGAAAAAAGAGCAACAAATGGTATAAATAAATGGCTAAATTAATTTTATACTCCCTATTCACTTTTTTTGGTATTTTTTTTAATGATTTAATTCTACCACCTGATATTCTACAACGAGTTCTTCTCAAACGGAAAAACGGCATTTAATATTCAATTGAACAATGTTGGATTTACATAGTCTCCCTCGTCCGATTTGGCGGTGAATACGCAATATGTGGATAAGTCGTGATGATAAAGGAAAATTTTACGATATTTTACATTTTTCCGAAAAACTAAATTTTGTTCTCAGAAACTAAAAAAAGAAAATATACGTCTGCGCTTGAGCAAGTACGAAAGTGTGTTTCAAAAGCATAACAATGGACTAAAACACATTGCAAAACTTTAATCGAAAGTATGAAAAAATCGAAAGCGAGAGGGTCATGTTTCGAAAAGTAGCTTTGGTCAAGAGATCTTAAAAAATCGAAACTTTGACGAAAACTAATGAAGAGATGAAAATACCTTTAAAACAGAGTCCGAAGTGTAGGCTTCCTTATGCAAAAATTGCTAGCTCTGTATCCTCGTTATTGTCGGAGGAGATATATCCTGAATATCGAAAAGCGCGTTAAGACCCAAAAGAGCCAATTTGCCAACATTTGAAAATTTTGTATTCGAAAAACAGAAAAAAGTTTCCCTCGGTAATTCATAGTACACTCTAGTTGTACAAAATGCGCTGCGCGAAATTTCGTTTCTCTTTGGGATAGAGGTATCGGCGTTTTAACGAAATTTTGCCGTTTTTCTCGTTTCTTCTTTGAAAATTCCTAGAAAAAACTAAGATGTGGATGAAAAAAGGGCTGCACTATGAAACCCGCTCCTCATTTAGCTATCGAATGAGACCGATCTCGAGTTGATATTTTGATAAATGGCGAAATGCAGGTTTTCATTGTCTTCATACTATGCGAAAAATTACCATTTCCGTACCTCGGCCTCGTCCTTTGCCCTGTGTTTTTTTTAACCGTGTGCCTAGTTTTAGGTTTGCTAGGAAACTGTTATCGTGCAAAATTTCAACTAAATCGGTCAAATAGTCGTATTTTGGCGTTGCCATAAAATGAATTTAGAACTTTTTTATTTTCAGATATGAAAAGGTATACTACCCAACATTTCAGTATGTCCATAGATGTATGGGACATCCTGAAGACTATAATTGCATTTGATATTGATGAATGTACTTATAAATAATGTTTGAAAATATTTTTTCAATAGGTACCGAATACAGGTCATAGATTGGTCACCCAAGGAAGATCTGGCGCAGATCTACTTCTTGGACTATGGCAACACTGACGTAATCAACGTTAACGAAGAAATTATGTATCCATTGCATAAATTGGATGATGTGCTGAATCAGTATCCTCCTCAAGCTGTCAGGGTGAGTTCTCGAAATAATAAAGTGTATTTATTTCGCTTTTTTTGTAAGGTTATTTTTTAATATTCTATTAAAATTGTATTAAAATCCAATGGTTTGGAGGAATTATAATACAAATATGTATTACGCAAACATTGTAGTGTACCTCAACATTTAGTGAGTGGAGTAACCATTTCATTGTTTCAGCTGAAACTATTTGCCACAGTTGCTTTCAAGACCATCTGTAATCTATAATGACTACAATTTTGTTTGTTTTTTTGTAGATTAATTAGCATTAATGCCACAAGATTAATATTACACAAATAGATAAATATTCTTAATTGTCTAAAGAATTCAATCATTCTTGATAGTATATCACACTATATTTGATGTCTGCAAGTGTACATATTTTTACACAATAATTCAGTAGTATGAATTCTGTATTACCATCAAATATTTTTCCGACTATGCTTCGAAGATTTTCAAACTGAAACATTCAGTTTATTAAATTCGTACAATCCCTTTTGAAATACTGCTTGGTTTGTTTCTTATAGAGGGTGTCTTCAAAGTTCAGTCATTCATTTTAAATGCTTGTAGGACTCGTCAAAAGGATATACCAAAAATCACCTATATAAAAGTTGCAAAATAAAAGAAATAGTAAAAGATTTAAGAGGTTAAAACATAATGTTATTACACAGATTTTTTGATATTCTCGACCACTTCCGTGTAAAATCTTAACATTTTTTACCACCTTTATCGTTTATCTAAATTTGCCAAACTTCTTGTGTTATTTTATGGTTTACAGTACGAGTCTTTGGTTCATCAGTTGTAACTGTCTTTTAATAGTGCGTATACTTTCATTTGTCTGATTATTTTGTGCGAAAAAATGACCCATCTTTACGAAAACAATGAACTAGTGGACATAATACTAACATACGGAGAGTCCCAACAAAATGCAGTCACAGCATGCAGGTTGTATGCGGAAATGTTTCCTTTAAGAAATCATCTGGCCTCACGGATGTTTATAAATTCAGTTATTAGACTGCGTGACACAGATATTTAAAAGAACCACGAGGAGGTCACGCTGAAAGACCTGCTCAATCTGAAGTGTTACAAATTGAGGAAGACATTTTAGAAATGGTTGAAGACGACCCAACAATGAGTATTAGAGCCATAGCAGCTGAAGTTGAAGTTTCGCATAGTAAAGTGTGGAAAAGAATACGACAAGAACAGTATTATCCTTATTGTTATCAACGGGTACATGCGTTACAACCTGAAGATCATCCTAGAATAGTTGCATTTTGCCAGTGACTTTTAGAACAGTTCGGCAGAAATTTTACGAAATTAATTTTTGTACAGACGAGGCCACATTTACACGAAGTGGAGTTGCACAATTTCCACAACAACCATGTTTGGGCAGTAGAAAATTCGCATGCTGTAAAAAGAACTCATTTTCAACATATGTAGATTTTCATTGGCGTGGTAAATGGCATGCTTATTGGACGCTACTTTCTTCCACCTCGACTGATCGGTGAAATTTATTTAGATTTTCTTCGACACAATCTGCCACAATTATTAGAAGATGTTCCTCTAAATGTGAGACAGCAAATATGGTTCCTAAATGATGGACCTCCACCACATTTTAGACGAGAAGTTCATGAACATCTAAATAATCAGTTTCCGAATAGAAGAATAGGACGCAATGCCTTGCGATTTTTTCTGTGAGGCTATTTGAAAGAGTTGGTGTATCATGATGGGACAGTAAATACTCTGGAAGAACTTCAAGAGCGCACTGAAAATGCTTGTGATTTAATTCGTGGACACTAGGATTTTATTTTCGAAGCTTGTAAAGAGTCGTAGATTCGCCGAGCAAGACTTTGAGTTAATCGAACAAATGGGGGCAATTTTGAACAGTTTTTTGTTAACTTGATAATGATTTTTTTAAAATAATTTTAATAATGTAAACTAACTCTCTTATGGTGCAACTTTTATATAGGTGATTTTTGGTATATCAACTTCTTTTGACTCAACTTTTAAAACACCCTTTATTACTACTGCAATTATGTAAATCAAAATCCATACTTCTTCTAGTAGAGTAACTATGGTATTCACTGTTCAATTCACTAAAATTTTGTAAATGCCTCGGTAGAATGATTTTTTTAACATGAATATGAAAATGATAATAAAGCAGGTTATGCATTTTTCTATACTTAACAATTGTAGTTTTGTCAGCATTAAATGTATTCTAGTATACTTGTTTCTCTTATTTAAATTTTTTTGCAGGTGAGGATGGATCTTGAAACAATTCCAGATGATTTTGTCGACCTGGCAACAAAAGCCATGCCCAATGACCAACCAGTTCTAATCAGGCTTACTGGAAAAGAAGAAGATAACCTGCCTTTGGCTGAATTCTTCAGAAGGGATCCTGACGGAGGCCTCTTCTGTGTCAATATGTCAATATCCATGGAGGCAAAACTCAAGTAATATTATTTTTATCACTTTAAAAAATTTAGTTCTAAATGTTAATAATTGTTTCAGGAAAGAAAACCAAAGTCCGAGAAAGAAATTGCACATTGATGGCAGTAAGTTTATAGAAACTTTTAAATACGTTCATGGTAGATTTTTTTTGTTCCTTTTTGACTGTGGTACATATACATTGAAAAAATATGTTTTATTCTGGTCGAAGTTTGAATAAAAATACGACACATCCACATGTTTGACAAACTTTGACGAGCCATTACAAATTTAGTTTGTGGGTGTGCCGTTTGTTTTGATTTGTATAGGCTTGCGAGAGGCTGGATGTTAATTTTTTGAGCATAAATCAATCGTCCACACCTTTTTGACAACTGTCGTCTTTCCTATCTGAAGTGTCGGATTCTTCAGAAATGCCGCATACTAATTACATACACTGTATAGCCTTGCGCCAAGTTTTCATGCTAAATATGTTTAGTCATCTTATCTTCAGCGTCGTGCACATACATAATTATGATAGATACACAATCATTCTTAATGACAAAGCTAACTTTAAACTATAATACAAAGGGTACTATAAAAGTTTTGCAATACAGCTTTGATTATTGACTTCGTTCAAAGTAATTTCCACCACATTCAATACACTTCACCATCTGCCAAAACTAGTCCTTAAATCAGCTCTGCCAAGTTTCACCCGGGAGTGCGGAACACTCGTTGTCCCAAGCGCTCAGAAGGTCCTCATCGCTAGAAAACCGTTTTACTTTTAGCTTCATTTTCACATGCGGAAACAGTGCAAAGTCGCAGGGAGCAAGATCTGGATTGTAACGAGGGTGCTCAATAAGTTTCAGTCTAGTAGTAGTCAAATACTCGGTGCAGGCTTTGGCGCGGTGAACTGGAGCGTTGTCATGGTGGAGGTATCAAGTGTTCATTCTTTACTTTGGCCGTGAGTTTTTCATAGACTTTAGGCATGCACTGTTCCATGTACCACTTAGCTGTGACTATCTTCTATGTGTAAACAATCCCGCGCGATTTGAAAAATCCTGTCACGATGCTGTTGACATACCGAGATTGACCCTCCTCAAACATTTTCAGCATCTTTCTGCACCAACTCGTACGAAGAATCTTCTGCTCTTACGTCAGACTATGCGGTACCCATAGAGGACAAAATTTCCTTACGTGTAAGTGGTCATGCAGAATTGAATGAATTGCTGGTGCATGAAGGTGTAAGGTCTCCTCTGTGTTGGTATGTCACTCTCCTGTCTTCGACAAGCATTTTCCTCACAGCAGTGATGTTTTGGAATTCTCTGTACCACCTGAATATAGTCTTACGATGAGGACAATCGTTCTTTAATGCAAGCGTCATTTCTTCTAAGCACTGGTCTATACATGAACCACGCGTAAAGTTACACCGTAAAACTGCCCTTACCTCACTAAGTGACCACGATGCCATAGTCAGCACTTTTCTCTGTCAATACGAATGAACAACTAAATCAACAGACGTGATGCTGGCGGCTACTATGCACTCATGGACATGTCTCAACATGCAGCCTCCTGCTTCCGTTTGTTAAGTCATATTGCAAAACTTTTATAGTACCATTTGTATAATTACATAAGTGGATCTTAAGAAGGTGAATTGTAGAACTCACCCAAGGTATATATAGTATGGTTTACGTATTAAAAGGTTCACGGCGGAATATGTTTAAATAGTTAATTCCTTTGATAGCATCATGGAGACTTGAACATTTACAGACCATTATAATTTATTGAGTCTTTCACAAGTGTTGTTTTAGTTAGTACTATTTTGAGTTCTTGTTTTCGTCTAATATTATAACTTAACTATATTTAGTGTTTCAAATTTAGATTTATTATTAAAAATAAGAGTTGCTGTTTCTAAAATTCCATTATTGCTTTTAATTATATATCTAACAGTTTATGTTTGTAGAAAAAGCACTTTTTTGCTATATCTCAATCTACTTTCAAATAAGGCAAAGTAACTGCTTAAGGGCGTCTTCTCTCTACGTTGTAACTTGTTATAATCAAAGAAAATTGCTGCTACATAGTTGAGCAAGCAATTTGTCTACATAGTTAGTAAAATCTAATTTATGATCAATGCCCAGTCCCAAAAATTTGTTGGCGGCTGTTTTGTGTTCAATTCATTATTTAAATTTATACAATCAAGGGAGCATTTAAATATCCTACATCTCAACAAGATCTCAAATTACTAGTATCTAAATCAACACTTGTGAACAATAATTTATAATGGTCTGAAAATTTACATGACCCCCCTGAAACACAAACCTATTATTACTTACTTTATTTTATTCATACTTCCAAAAACTTTTAGCAAATGTTCCTTCCGGTGGCAAATTGAGCTGTCCCGCATTACCAGAGATGGGCACATACATGATGGTGCACGTCCCTTTTGCTGTAAATCCCTACAATTTTTTCGTACAGCCCTTCGAATCGCAAGACAAGTTGAATAAAATGATGGAAAAACTGCAGGAAAGGTACAAGGATGTGGTTTACAGTCCGTTGCAGATTGATCAGATCATTCCTGGAAATATCTATGCTTCGAAGTTTGATGATGGACATTGGTACAGGTAAGAAAACTAATGAACAAAGCTCTTTTGATATTGAATCAGTAAGATCAAAGCTACTATCGTTGATTAACATATCCCACCAAAAGGTAGCCATACATTTGGAAGCGGTGCCTGCACGAAAACTACTTATGCTTACAGTTACGTATCGAAAACCGTTTTTAAGTGCCGACGTTGCTAATTCTCGGATTCTTATCTGGATTTCCGTTTCCGTGATTGAGAAACTCTGAGAATACAAACTCTTGGGAATAATGGCGAGGAAGGTTGGGGTTATCTTTCCTTGAATCATTGATTTAATTTTTTAAAATAAACAGTGTTCTTTAAAAGGAAGATGTAGTCCATTTTTATCACTTCCTATGGAATTGTTCAATACAGCGTAGATCATCTTGAAGAATATGTTGATCAATGCTACTTTTTGCCGGTCAAATATAATGTGACTATTTGTTAATCTATTATTCTTTAAAACATTACAGAAATGTTTCCTTTTTAGGACGACTGCTATAAAAGTAATCAATTCAGGCTCTATATCAGTATTTTACTGCGATTTCGGTTATTACTCAACCTTGACTGTACAACAGTTGATTCCACTTGATGTAGAATTCATGGAATTGCCCTATCAAGCATTGAAAGCAAAACACGGCGGTAAGTAACAAATATTGAAATATTTCAGATGTTTACTAAGATGCCTTTAGGCACATGTTACAAGGTCAGTACTTTCTGTGGTCTATATCATTAGTACTTACTGATGATTCCGTCAGTGACAGTGGATTTGTACGTAACCTTATACATCAACAGCCTGCCAGGACGGATCGACTGTAACCGACTCAAAGTCTAAGGAGAAAGTGCTTATCGTGGACAACCCATCCCCATCCACAGAAAAAAAAAACGATCTAAGACCGGCCCTTACAACTGCAGGCATATTTCTAAGGTGATGGAGAGGTGCAGGAAATCGGGAGCTTCTTTATTACCTCGAACGTCACTGCTTGATTAGCGACAGGCAGTACGGTTTCCGGCACCACCGATCCACAGGGGAACTGATCCAGTCTTATGGTGGGACACAACGTCAACGCGGGTGTTCACCGGGGTTCTGCCTCGGTTCCGACATCGTTTCTCTTACAAGAAGTGATAGGCATAAGGTTTGTCGTCAGAGAGGAAGTCGTGTTAGCTTTCTTTTCTCCAGCTTACAGATGTAGAGTGTTGTCATCAGATTGGAATGATCATACAGTAAAAAAAGGTCATTGATATGTGAGAGGAACAATGTCGGAGCGAAGAACGATCCCTAGAGAACACCCGCGTTGAAATTGTGGGATGAAGAAGAGAACCCATCAATTATGGATGCATGTCACAGCTGACCGAACTCTCATGATATTAAGAGGAACGACGTGAGCCTCACCCTAGGACTGGATGAGTTTACTCCACAGTTGCGTGACGTAAGTCAGGAGGTCTCGCGTATATTTATCTAACTACCAGTCGCACGTTTTTTTAATTTTATCACTTTAAAACTTAACGTGCTTGGATTGCATATATATGATGTTGTTAACAGTACGAAAAATGGAAAATAGGCACTGAGACGCTTAGAACTACCACTCTTCCGTTGATATTGAGATACCGCTTTTTCGCAGGTATTAAACCAAAACAATCTAAATGGACTATGGACGACTGTGATTATTTCAAGCAACTAGTCGAGAAGAAAACCTTCTACTCCGTATTGTTGAGCAAAGAAAAAGATGAGTTATACGACTCTGATTTCGTACTAAGTTTAATGTTGGTAGACACGTCTTCTACTGAGGATAAACTTATTACTAAGGAACTGATTGATAAAGGCGTTGCTGTTAAAGGTTGAGATTATTTTTATTTATTTGTAAGGGAGGGACACATGTTTCGTTTACTATAAAGTTTTTTGTTCAACTTTATTATTTGTTTTTTTTTTGTATTCAGTGTTAGTTGAATATATAGACGTTAAGGATATCTTGCTATTTGCTTCTCGATATTGTAGATCTACCGTGGAAATATTTAATCAATAGCTCAGAATGTGGAGCTTCAACTGGGTGTCCACAGACTCATTTTCACTCATTACTTTCTCAGCTACTCACTTTTATTCGTATTTATTTTCTGAAATGCTGATTTTTCTGATTGTTGCTAAGATGCTTGGGTCCCATAAAGTCTTTCAATAAATCGAACAATCGATATTTGCTGTACCCTTGGATCTGGAAGCACTTTCGGAAGTGCTGCTGCCCCATCTCCCCCGCTTCAATTTTCAATTGCCCGCAACATAGCACATGACCAGGAAAAAGCTTCCAAGCTATTCATTTTTCATAGGATTCCATCGTCTGGACAAACCAAATTCACATACTCGTATATGTTTGGATTTCCGTTTTTCTGCTTATTGTGAACAATACGTCGTACAATAAAGAGAAATATGAACATATATGTGGTTTGATTGGCCAGAGAATGGAGTCCTATGCTTATAAAAACCACGGGATAAGTTTCAGTACTCATTTTTTCAAAATACCAATTTTTTTTGTAGGGTTCTGGCCTGTGGTCACCCTGCAGCCTCAATCATAAAGGACGAATAAAATCCGTCTTCAATACCGAGCCCAAGGTTATGCCTTGCGGTTATACACTTTTTATTGCACGCTTTTTAGTAAATTGCATTTATACATAGACAACTGTACATAGTCCGGGCAATTTCTTCGCATCTGATGTCGAAAATATTCTAATTAGGATTTTTTTTCATAATCTCAATAAAAAAGTCCCTTTTGATTAATCTGCATGTTGTCAGGCTCAAATTTGCGTTAAACATTTTTTGAATTCTCCTTTTGAATTAGCTCCAAAAATTTTTTTCTTTTCAGTCAGTGTTTTAAGGTTTTTTGGGATGCCCTCAACAAATAAGATGCTTTAGAAATCCTATCCAAAGTTGATAGTTTCCAAAATATAAACAAAGCAATATTGGAAAAATTGCGAAATATGCCATATCCTACCACAAAAATCATAATTGAAAAAGAAAATTTTCAATGTTACCTATATTCCTACATAGTCTTCAAACATTCATTAACAAAATCTCTAAGCATTTCAGAATCTATTGTAATTGTAAACCTTTGTTTTTTAATTACTAGCCAAGCGCGCGTTCAGCGTATCCTCTGGTTGACTAAAAAATAAATTTTTACTATAAAAATCCATCCTAAAATGCTTTGTGATTTTGATATTGGACGTTTGAAGAATATTCAGGTAACGTTAAAATTTTTGGTTTTTTATTTGTTTTCCGCGATCAAAAATTGCATATTACGCACTTTTTCCAATCTTGTGTCGCTTATACCTTGAAAACTATCAACTTTAGGGAAATGTACTAAAGTATCATTTTTCAGAATGTACCAAAATACTTTGATCGGAGCGAAAAACGAAATGAAATTTGTTTAAAGATTATTGACGCAAATTTGGGCCTGGCAACATGAAGTCTCTCTAAAAGGGGCCCTTTTAACCCTACGTTAGGCGCGTGGTATTTTGTAATGAGTTTAATCGCGTGGTCTACATATGTAGACCATTTTCTAATGTCATTATGTGACACCTTATGTCACATGATTTCAAAACAATGTTGAAAATACATGTATTCATAGATATATAGTTCAAAGTAAATTAAATTTTTAAAAGCATTTACATTTTTAGTTACTTGAGAAAAAAAAACAAAAAATATGTTTTTTATCCCTTTATTTGCTTCTGGTTAGCTTTGAACAACAACACAAAATCTTAACGCGCTAAAATTCAACCAAAAGTAATTTTCTGATATTAGCAGATAGCAACTTACATTAAAATACTATTAACAAAAAAAAAACTCTGACATTCATTAGAAAAGTAAGGACAAAGTAAGAATAAACATGACAACGACCAACGTAGTTTTCTGGTTTTGGCGGTAGAGGAAGAGGGGCTACAATAGCTTCAAGACCAAGAAGAGCACGTGCTCGTCTTCTTAGTTCTACCGGTAAAGAGGTGATAATTGACCTCGCCTCTATCTGCGGCAATTCCCAAGCAAATTCCTCAATAAATGCACTTCTAAGGACTTTGTTTTCTAAGGGATGATTTGCTTTATACACGCAAACGGCGTTTATGCCCGATATATTCAATAGATCGAAGAATATTACCATAGGCCAACGGCATGTGTTTCTTGCGACACTATAATTCACACATAATTGATCCACCAAATCAACACCAATTTTAGTTTTATTGTATCGAGTTATTATATCTGTTTTTTTTGCATCCCCTGTTTCCGGATCAATGGCTTTATCATGATGCATGGAGGACACCAAAATAACAGATTTATTTTTCTTTGGGCAGTAGGATACCATCGTAATATCTTTTTGAAAACCAAAGAATGATGTTTTCTCTTCTCTTTGTTTATTAGGTAAGAACTCCACAGGGATCTCACGCTTATTCTTCCGCATTGTACCAATGTATGTTAATTTTTTTGCTGTAGCAATTTTCTTGTCAACGGAATGCTGCTGAACCAATTATCTCCGGTAAGATTGCGATTAGTTCCCTCTATTGGTTGAACTAATCGTAATACAATATCTTCGGCAGAATTGTTCAACTTATACGGGCCAGCAGGTTGAGTACCAACGTATGGTTCGAGATAGATTGAAAGTGTACAAAGTTTTAGCATCAACCAGAGCGAACATCTTTACTCCGTACTTCGCTGGTTTATTGGGTATATACTGCTTGAATGAGCAGCGCCCTCTAAAGGCCAACAATTGTTCGTCAACAGTCAAGTATCCACTAGGAATGAAATTGTTTTGAAAATTAGCCAAGAAAATTTAGAAAACATTCCTAATGGGTGCTAATTTGTCCAGTTCTCTTCTTTCAGCTCTCGTTGTAATATCGTCGAATCTCAAACAACGGAGGAGAAATCGAAATCGTTTTTCGCTCATCGCGAGATAACAGGATTCAACTCCCTTAGAATTATCCCATATTTTACGAGCATTTTTTCTTGAACTTCTCAGTGTTCCTATCAAAAACAAAATCCCTATCAAAGCTCTTATCTCTGTTTCGTTAGTTAATCTAGCGTCTCGATCCCTGTCAAATCTATGTTTTATGTTCTCAATGTATATGTTTGTTGAACAAACTAGAAATCGTATAATGGCGTCGGACACAAAAAGTTTTATGCAGTCAATTGCAAGCATTGCATTGCGGGCATCACCTTTAGATCCAGGTAAATGTGTGATAATATTATGAGCACGCGTTCTCACTTGTACATTACCACATTCTTTCCTCCAGTTAGTCGTTTTATCCTTCCCTATGTAAAATTTGCTACCGCCATTATCAGTTTGTTCACCGTCGCTCTCTGATGGACTTTCATTTACATCTGATGAGAATTCTATTCCTGAGTCCGTCTCATGATCACTTCTTTCCACTATATTTTCATTTTTCTCTTCTTCATCTTCCTCATTTTCATCTAATGGACTCTCCTCCCCACTTGATAACTCTTCATACCATCAAAGCCAAACATCTGGATCCCTACTTCTTTCTACACACCTTCTCTTAGAATCAGACATTTTTTTTCTGAAACAAATTATAACTATACCATTATTTTGCCAAAATAATACATACACTTGTAAAAATACAAACTAAAATCTATTTTTGACAAATAAAAATATAATTCTAAGTAGTAAATGAAAGAATATCTCTTACCTAATTTATAACAAATTGTTATTTAAACAATGCAACTGCGTGTTTGACGAATAACGTCGCACTGTTACGCGCGGGGTCTACAATCGTAGACCAATCGTATTCAGACGTGCGTAAGAATTACCAGCTGACTATTTCACTGCGACTTGTCTACTGAACGTATAGACTTGAGTGTCGACCACAGGTATTCAGCGGCGCGCATGCGAAATGACTTATTTCCCAAAAATAGCGTCGTTCAAATAGGCGTGGTCTACAGTCGTAGACCGCGCGACTAACGTAGGGTTAAATAAAATTATGCGAAAAATCCCAGTAAATATTTTTCCCATCAGATACGAGGATACTGCCTGGATTTTTTGCGCAATAAAATGACTTGGGCATCTTAGATGTGGCTTTTTTATTCGTCGTCAATATGCAACAAAAACATTTCATTAAATATTTATTTCTTGTACTAATTTTATATTAAACTTACGTTACCGAAATTGAAGTATTGTAACATATCGCTGCCTTAGAGTTATACTGTTGTATGTACGTAAATGTTTGTTTGGAGTTATGGAATGTTATTGTAATAATAGATTATTAAGTTTAACTTTTTTTCTATACGAATTTTGTGAAAAATATTATAGAAAAGTTGTTTGATTGGTTTGTTTTTGTTTTGTACAAATCACATAAAACTTTGTTAGTTTACAAAACGTATTAATTTAAAGCAAAATATTACATACAACTTTGTAACACATTCAGGATAGGTAGGATAAAGCAACATACTAAATATACAGAAATATGTTGAACTGAGACTTTCGAAGCTTTTAGTATTTCATTCATCAACCTGGTTGTTTGTAGCGGTCTTATTGAAACGTTTTTCCAATTTATTGCGTTACTTTAAACTCTACCTTGGTAAAAGAATTTGTCAATTTTAAAGTTTTCACTTTTGAAAAAGGTATCACTTTATAATTAAACGAAGAGGAACATAATTTATAATCTTAAAATTCTTCTGAGGGCATCTGTATAATCTTATAAGGCTTAGCAACATTAACCTTTAGAAGAATTCTCGAGTGAGACTGGTGAAAAGTATTCGATTGTGCTTAAAAACCTCTCAATGTAGTATGGAATAAATTTTCTGAACACATGAATGACTCGGAGTTTTCATAGTTTAGTTTGTATTGAAGGGTCGATTAGTAAGAAATATGGTATAGCCTAAGATGTAAGACTATTTCGATTTTGTGGCACGCAACTATCACTCCAAAGTTTTGTTTTCTGCAAAAACCACTTCTGAAATGTTAATTTAAGCACTAGCTATTTCATTGCCACGTCTACCCATTAACGATTCATTCCACGTAGCACAGTAGACTTGATTTGTACTCGATAATATTGCCGTTAAATTATAAACATTAAGTTTGCTTTTGTAATAGAAATTGCTAATTTCTGCTTGGGGACACTGCAGAACATTTTCTAGATCAAATACAAAAAATGGACTATTTTGGTCTTCTGTCTTTTTCTTTATCATTTCTCATTGCAGTTTTTCCTTTTAAATGGTTTTCATATTCGTTAGCCTTTTCTACACTCAATAATAATAATAATAAGCCTTTATTGCCCCTCAGCTGATCGCCAGTAACAGAGCAATTTATAAAAATAAAAGTTAGCTTAAAGGTATTAACTATATGTATATACATATATACAAAATGGTAAGTCTTAACTTAGAAAACTTCTGTTATTCTTTATCTCATTATAATTGCAACCAAAAATGTCACAGTCGTTAGCAATTTTATTCGCATTGTTACTCATCATATTAACTGGTGCTTTTGATATTAAGTTAGTCTGTGCTCTTTAATAAAAAAAGGAACACTAGCTTGTGAAGCTAACCGGGGCACCAGAAATTGCAACTGCGAGATAATTTGGGGACAGTCTACTTGACCATGCAACCATTTATATAAAATCAGTACAGAAAATTGATTCCGTCGCTGCTCTGAAGATTGAAACTCAAACTTTTGTAAAACGTCTTTGTAATCGGAACCTCTTGCAGGGACTCCATCAGTTTTGAAACTGAGAAACTTCAAAAAATTTTTCTGAATTTTATCAACAGCGTCAACATATTGTTTATAAATAGGGCTACCTATAGGAGATCCATATTCAAGTTTTGACCTTATCAGGCTGAAAAATAAAGAAGAATGTACAGATATTGTCGAAGTTCCTACAGTTTCTGATTATGAAGCCACGTAAATCATTGACAAAAGGAATGAACGGTAGGGGTCCTAAGTTAGAGCCTTGAGGAACACCGCTGGTAGAAATGTAAACATGCGAATAGTATCCATTGTAAAAAACATAGTGTTTCCTTTCAGAAAGGTAGGAAGTCAAAATTGCAATATAAGTACTATTAAAACCTAAGTATCGTTGCTTACTAATCAATATATTATGGTTAACCTTATCAAAGGCTTTGAAAAAATCCGTGTATACCACGTCAATCTGGCCTCTGTTATCCAATCTTTGGCATAAGTATTGACTGAACTCCATTAGATTGGTTAAAGTTGAGCGTTGCCTCATAAAACCACGTTGATGGATCGAAATATGGTCTTTCACGGGCAGATGTATTCGGTTATACAATATGATCTCCAAGAGTTTCGTAAAATCGTTTAAGATAGACACTGCTCTATAATCAGAAATTCAGTTATAATTCTTTGTTTTTGGAATTGGGCACACCTTTGCAGCTTTCCATTTATCTGGGAAAAGAGATGTGTTCAAAATTAAGTTAAACAGAATCTACAATAGAAATACCAATATTCTAATCCTTGACAAAGAATGATGGAATTTGGCCAGGTCCTGCAGTTAGCTTGTCTTTTAGCTTCCGATTGGCAGCAAACATTTCATAATTTATTCACAACTAATATCTATTGAAGCATTATGATCAAAATTTAAGCTATCATTGGCATCAATATTATCCGGTAACAAGTAAACACTAGAGAAAAAATCGGCAAAAGCATCAACTGTACCTTGGGGATCGTTAATGCACTCATCATTGTAGGTCATATTGTTAGGTATTCTAGTTGTGTTGTTTTTACTATGGACAAAGGCCCAGAAAGATTTAGGTTCATCCTTCAAATGATCTTGCATTTATTGAAAATATATATCATACGCCTCTCTAGTTATATGTTTAAACACTCCTCGAAGCCTACTGAACTCTTGATAATGGGTAAGAAATCTAGTTTGCTTGAACTTTCTATGAGCTTTATCTTTTTGTTTTCAATTTTAATAATTTCGCTTGTATACCAAGAAGGATACTTGCGCTTTAAGTTTTTGTACAGCGGAACGTGTGCGTCCAGTACCTCATTAAGCTTATTATAAAAACAAGTGACCGCATCGCTAGCATCACTAATATTTGTTCGAATGTTCCAATCTACATCCAACAGACTATTATATAATAAGATAAAATTTGCACGTCTGAAATTGTAACGCTTTTGATGATTATTGATTGGAAAATGCTTATTACTTTTATACAACATGTTTACCGATATTGATAAGGATGGATGATACCTATCTCCATTAACTAGGGGATTATCATCATTAGATACAACACAATCAAAATTACTTACTACTAGGTCTAAAATTCTATTATTATAATTACGAATCTCATTACATAGTTCATTGTTTCATATTACCAAAATTAACCCAATTTACAATCGAACAGACTTTAGCATCATTTAAGTTATTCTCTACAAAATTAGGACAATTGAAATCACCCAAGAATATAACATGTTTTGAGAATAACACTTCCCAAGTCTCCAACATGTCAAAAAAAACTTTCAAACCTTTCAACAGGTATATGCGGTGGAATATAAATAACTGCAAAACAAATATTATAAGCAGATACACACTTCTGCAAACTAAAAAATCAATTTCTGGAAAACTTGCATCAAACTGAGAAGTATCGATTCCAACAGAATTGAGTGATGATTCAATTGGCAATAATACACCTCCACCTGTTGTTAAATTCAGTTCATTATATTTTCTATCTTTTCGGTGTATATCATAAATGCGCGGAAACAATTCGAATGAGTTCACTTCATTTTTTAACCATGTTTCACTTAGAGCAACACTAAACTCACAATCACTAACCGCTGAGAATAATGTATCTATCTTGGTCTTGACACCTCTGACATTTTGGTAATAAATAGATATAGACACATTATCTTCGCTGCTGGGGGGGCTGTAGTTTACCGGAATAATCCTGGGTACGTCGTTAGTAAATTTGATTCTGCAATTAGTATCCCCTGCTTCACACCGTCGTGTTAGATCATTTCTGATACTCCTGAGGTATTCTAGCTGTCTTTTTGTACGATCCTGTGATATGTTTACATGCTTATAGTTATCAATTGATTTCAGTTTTTTAGAATTTTAATAGGACTAACCTTTGTGCCAGAGAATGAACCTAGCCTCATGGGATTTATATTTTGAAGCCTAATTTCCGGTGCAACTTTTTGTAATACATCAATAGCCACAGCTTTATCATCTTCAATTTGCTCGTTGATAGACTTTCTTTGATCGGGTTCGTCAACGTTAAACAGAATCACATTGTTTTTGCGCTTATCACGCTCGGAGATCTCAGAAATAATGTCCTCCATATTAAAATCGGAAGAAACTGGATTACTTAGAATATTCTCCATTGTCCTTAATTTTGCCTTTTTACAGACGTCACACCTATCTTTTTTTGGAACATTGAAGTATAAATTGTACTCTGTAGAAAATATTTTTTTGTAAAAAGACTCTTTTACAGCGTTCTTATAAGCAGCGGTACAACTTTGAACATAGAGCCTGTACATTTGCTTTATACTGAGGGTAGTATCTAGGTACTCCCTTTGTGTGTTAGCTCTGCAATAATGCGATCTTGGAGAAAGATTCCAGTTTCAGTACAACAAAGTTGTATGTAGCGTTAATGAAAAATCGGCTTCGTTACTGCTGTCACAACGTATGTATGTATTTACCACTTTGTAATTCTGATAATATAAATTTAAGAATGTGAGATAGAACATTGAAACTATGTATCGTCAAAGTCCAATGTACATACATACAACTATATAATGCTGTAAACTAAAAATCAAGAAAAATGCGACATGCAACAGTGTAACTCTAGGGTGACGATATACAGGGTGATAGGTTTATAAGACTGGTATGGTTGAAAGCTCAAAAAATCATACTACTTGATGTGAGCAATAAATTTTTAGAGTTTTCCTACATTTAGGGATAGTTTTGTATCGCCCTGTATAAAAGGCCGCAACATTGCGGATCGTTAAATTCATTCCTGGGAAATTTTATACATAATATACATCCAGTCTAATGAATATGATTAAAATTAGTTTTCATAAAACGTTATTTATATCATCCAGTGAGAGACTAAAATGCCTAGTTTTATTTTACATAAAATAACAGTTTTGTTATTGTATAGTTTGTTTCTATTGAAATATCTCTATTGTTTTTATCGACAGACCTTTGACATTATTTGAATATTGCTAAATACTTGTTGGAAAAAAAGTGAGGCTAGACAATATTTGTAGTGTCAGACGTCTATCACTTACACGTTTAATACTTTTGTGTTAAAATGAAAATTAAACATAGCAAAAATTGAAGTGTTTTTACTTTTCAAGCCTTACCTATTAACATATTCCACCAGAACAACCAAATTGAAAGCCATGCCTGCGCGATAATAAGGACAAGTAGTGTTCTTGCCAAGATCCTTGCTGACAACAAACTACATATATTATGGATACACCCATAGGCAGTATGGTTTCCGGCACCAGCGATCCACAGCTTACGTCACGCAATTGTGGAGTCAACTCGTCCAGTCTTATGGTGAAGCTCATATCGTTGTACTTTATTTCATGAAAGCGTTCGATCAGCTGTGGCATGCTGTCTTCTTATGCAAACTCCCATCCCATGGCCTCCCAGAGCAGCTGTGCAGATGGGAGCTGTCTTTCTCTCCGCCGATGCTTCCAAAACAGTACTGAATCCTGACGAACAAAAAGCGTCCTAGCGCTCATCCGGTTTCGATGAATGGCCGAGTTCTGCCAAAGAGCCATTCATTTCGGTTGGTCGGAGTCCAGGTCACCGAGGACTTGATCTGCCACAAACACATCTCGTCAAGAGCGGCAGCTGATGGGAAAAAGCTAGGCTACTTGCTTAGGGTTAAACAGTACTTTTCTCATTACCTTCTCGCTGTACAAGGCTCAGATAAGACCTAGCCTCGAGTATCGCTAACATGTTTGGGGTGCTGCTGCCCCGACTACATTATCCATACTCGATGTTCAATGACCCTTTCGCAACGGCGGGCCGTCGGCGATCTAACTCTCTTGTATCGCTACACGGCGGGCTTTTTTCCTCAGAGCTCTCCTCCATGATGCCGCCGCGCGGTCTGCCTGCCAGACAGATCTACCTGACCTCGGCCTCTCATACAGTATCGAACTTCGTACATCCAGAACTGGCCGATACGACCGCTCTTTTGTGTGAACAATCTACAAGATGGGGCGTTCCCAGATCTAGTAACTTTAGGCAGTTCAAAAATAGGATTAAAGTTTCTTTGGGATTCTGATAGTAACCGCGGTGCCCTGGCTACGTTCTGCCTGTGCGACTGCTTCGGTGTAAAAAAACACATGCGTATCCGTGCTATTAAAAAAGAAAAAGTGTGGAATTCTGATAATCACGCTAATGGGGAATGAAAGTTACTATGGGGAGAAACTATTATTCTTCAAGTTAGAGATGCGAACATGTGTTTTGTATATTTGATTTTATTAAATTGTGTATAACACTATAATTCTTACTCATTTTTTATACTGTTTAGGCATCTTGTTTACAGCAAATGAAAATATATTTTCAACATTACAAACTCTACAAAATAAATCTATCAGAATCATTTTAAATAAAAACAAATACGATAGGATTAAGTCTATGTTAGAAGAAGTTCAGTGGTTGAATGTGAAAAATTTCATGTTATTTACTTCTCATTTTCATAATCAAATTAAAAAATCATTTATTACCACCACACCAAAACAAAAAAAGCTGTGCGGGTTCGAATCCTGTCCCAAGAGAACGAACGCAGAGCTACCACCCGGTTGATCTCGTAGGCGGGGCCACAATGTGTGCATGCACACTTGTTCCCTCACCAGAGTCCGTGTGGCGTTCCCCTTACCCTATAGCCCAAGGGTACCCCATGGGTGTTTAGGCCTTCGTGGTAGTTGGAATATAAAAAATCATTTAGAAAACTTCACAAAATTAAATAGTCGTTACAGTGTCACCTTTTCTGGGGTGACACCCACTCGGTGACTCAACTTTTTCAGAGTTGAACTCCAGTCAAGATCGAAGTGTCTTCAAGACCTAGCTTCATTGTTTGAGATCGTACAAGCAAATACTTGGCGAATACTGAATTGAAATTAGTTACATCCATATTTACTGATTTCTATGATGAGGTCTCAGAAACAGATTTACTTTTGGATATACCAAGACTGCAAAGACACTTAATAGCTGTTAATGTGTTACAGTTTCTGATTTATTGCTTTTGACTTTCGATTTGGTGACTTCACCAACTTCCGCACCGGGTGCCACCTAAGGTAGCGACGCCACTGAGGCATTATCATAATTATGTAACTAGAGGCAGTATAGATTTTCATCTGCAAAATTGTAATAATAACATAAGTAGCAAATCTGTATTTCAAAATGGAGTATTTGAATTTAATAAATTGAACAATGGTATTAAACAGTGTTCGAATTTAAAAATGTTTAAGGTGAAATTAAAAAATCATTTTCTGAATACTCAAAATGCATAGTGATGTAATTTTAATAGACAAGAATTTAATACAGAAAATGGATTGAAGAAAAACGTGTAAGCGAATTATACAAAATTGACATTTTAGCATTATTGCTAAATAAATCTTCAACAAACAAAATATGTTGAATGGGAACTTACAAATAAATTTTGAAAATTCCACCCCTAAGGAGTGAAGTGGGGGTTAATACTCTTGAGGCTGAAGGAGCTAGAATATTTAAAATTAGGGCTGCCAATGTACGTGTTTTGTGTAAAACAAAAATATGAATGAGTTCCAGGCTGAATATACTTAAAAAAGAAGTCTATTCTGAAGGAAATACTGTAAATCGATTTTGGCTGTGACGATGGAAATTGTAAGTGAACATCCAAGTACGAGGGATGTCTTTTAAGTTTTGCATATAGAAACATAGTAGACCGCGCGGATCGAACGTCAGTACCGAATCTTAACCTCACTCTTTAGTAAACTTAAATTCAAAGTTTCACAACAAAACGTGCAGTGTTCTCTCTACAGTGAATTTTTAAGTGTCACCAAGTCTTTAGAAAAATGGAACTCAACCGAGAACATTTTCGTGCCATAATTTATTACATCTTTCAGAGACAATTATCGCAACAAGAATGCCTTGCCGAGTTACTTTCCGTTTTCGGCAACGAAGCGCCACATCAGTCGACAATTTCCCGTTGGTATGGAGAATTTAAACGTGGACGGGTGAGTCTTAGCGACGATCCCAGGGTGGGTGCACCAAAAACGGCAGTCACCCAGGAAAACGTCGATGCTGTGCGCAAACTCATCGTCAATTAGGAGTAAGAAAATTAGTTTGGCCATACTTATTGGAAATCGATTTTGAAGTTGGACGATGAAATCAAACAAAAAATAAAAGTTTGAATATTGTATTAAGACGTTATAAATACAGTTCAAAATAAGATAAACTATAGTTTCAATAGATGTTACATTGGGTGTATAACAGCACTTAGTTCAAAATGACGAAAAAAATTCCTCTGATACAAATTACATATTATCTAGTGTACTATCAAAATAAACCATGATATAGTGGCAGTACCCACCAGAAATCTGATATTTCAGTCTTTAGCAAATGTTTGATACCAAAGTACAATTCACGCAAGTACATTACAAATATTGGTACAGAGGAATTTTTACAAATGTACAAAATGCTTTGATTACTGATAAATATTGATGTTTGATGCCTTTGATATAATACTGAAGAGGCATATTGTTATAGTAGCTGTCCCTCAATGCGTTGTAAGTGCATTTAACCCTATATATATATATATATATATATATATATATATATATAAGAGAAGTCTAATTTTTTATGACAATTTTTGATTTCAAGTGTCTTAATAATCAATAGTTAACCCAGAAATTTGAATGCCATGCAGCATTAATAACAATTAATTAGAATTTAGGGCTTAACATTTTTGTTCTATCCAGCCCTGCCAAAATCAATCAGACATCTATAAGATTGTTGGATTATGTCAGTCTTCAGTCCATTTTCTTGATATTCATCAACATTAATTCCAAACTTAAGTAAAACAAAGTTATCAATCTCATACAGTCATCTGTACAATTCAATTAAAATCAGATCAACTAACAATGCTAAAAAGTATTTCAGTCACAGAACACTAACGTTCCATATTAACAATTTACAAACATGGTATAATTACACTCAAACCTACACTTAATAAGCTAACCAAGGATGATGCTTTAAGGACTCCTTTGACCTGTCCCCATAGTCATATAGGAGCTCTTCTCCCTCTTCAATAGTATCTTTGGCTATCAGTACCAATCTTGGTTTGTTGTCTACAGATATGGTTCTAGTTAGTAAGTTGCCATTTCTTGAATGGTTCACTAGTCTGCCTAGCTTCCCACTCTCAGCTGTGGCATCCACACTGAAAGAGAAATGACGTCAAGTAGATGGTCTTTGCACTTCCCAGACAACCTTGTTATCAGTTCATAAACGATTATGTTCAGCACAAGTTAATCCCTCTGCACTAGCTTCAAACATGTATAACAAGAAAACTGAATGAATTTAGACAGCCAAAGAAATCCCTATACCCTCCATTTAATAATGCAAACATTCTTCTCTGCTCTAAGTATCGACCATCTGGCAACAGTGCAGAACCACACTAGTATAGTAACTGGAGATACAGTTAGATTCAATCAGAAGCGACCGCGTGGTGTCTATACATATTTCTCTAAGATTTAATTTAACCCTGCGGCGGGCGCGCCTTTGAAAATCCCATGAGCGGTCGCACCGCGGTACTCTATACCGCAGGTAAAATAATTCTAGCCTCACTAGTAAAATGGATTTAAATTGAAAAATACATACAATACTAAACAATTATAGTCGTAGTAAATGCTTTATTTATTAAATAAGTATTGTAACTCAAAATAAATACAAAAACATCAAGAGATTCTAAGTAATAAAAAACAAAAATACATTTCTACAAGTAAACGTTTTACAAAAAGGAATATATGTATATATATATATACGAGTATATATAGTTTTTAAAAACTAGTCTTCCTCCATTGGGGGATAAAGACAACTATTACATTGCACCAATTTTTCACAGTGTGATTTACAAACAAATCTTTTGCATTGACTACAAGTAACTGTTGTTTTGTTATTTTTGTCTGCACTGCATATATGACAACGACCAATCCGATTTTCAGTCAGTGCGACAGGGACATTAACAGGAGTGTTGTAGCGAGATAGGAATTCCCTGATGTCCTTAGGAAGTGTTTCTATCTTAGCGCGTTCCTTTATATTATTTTCCATAAGGGATGAACCTAGAGAGGTCAAATACTTCCTTCTTCTTGGCGGCGTATCTGCTGGTCTATTATTATTGATTATAATTTCGGAGTTTATTCCTGCAATATCTAAAATTCTAAAGAATATTGCTAGAGGCCACCTTCTTGTGATTCTTTGTGTTGTAAACGAAGAGCATTTTTGGTCGACTGTATCGACGCCAGATTTTGTTCTGTTATAATGTAATATTATTTCTGGTTTTTGTGTTTCCTCATCAGTTTCATCGTTGTTATGCATGGTGGACAGCAAAATTACAGCTTCATTTTTTTTAGAAACATGGGATACTAAAGTGACATCAGGTTGGAATCCAAACATAGACGATCCAACTGTCCGCAACGTGCTCGGTAGGAATTCAGGCGGAAATTCCCTTTTGTTTTTTTTTAGTGTACCAGTCAAAGTTAGACCATTTTTTAAAAGATATTCTGCCAATTCATAACTAGTGTAATAATTATCTGTAGTTAAATTTCTTTTAGTGTTTTTTATTGGCTCCACTAATCTCTGCACAATATGGTTTGTTTGAATTTTTGAAGGGTCCCTCACGTTGTAATCCACAATATATTTCAAATTTCCAAGTGTAATACGTTTTACTGCCACAAAGAGCATATAAGAGCTTTCACTCTCAAAATCGACATCATCCTCATAATCAGACCAGTTCTCCGCTAGGTAACGTAACTCTTTCTCAGTAAGTGGTTTCCTGAAGGCTCTTCTATCCCTAAAAAAATACCGAGCTTAAATTTTTTTGTTCAAAAATAATTACAAAACTTTGAAAACTAATGCCAGATTGTTTAGACTATTTACAATAAAGTTTTCTGTGCAATATATATATCAAAAATACAAAAGGTATCATTTCAAACTTTACTTACATGACCGGTCGCGTTGCGGCACGGAATACCGCAGATCAGCTCTCGTTACTTTGACGCTCCGAAACAAACTGACAGACTTACACCAATAAACTTGCAAGCCAGGCGCTCCTAAAAATAGACATGATTGCATACCTACACGGCCAGGGCGTAGGACAAATATACCGATAGAAAAATGTATTAAAAATTTAAATTGCGGCATGGAGTACCGCTGCGCGACCGGCGAAGGGTTAATGATGTACTGATTGGTGCAGAAAATAAATGGGATTTGAACTGTATAAATATATTACCGGCATGAAAAATGATAACGCTTCCTCACCCCTACAACTGCTGATTTTCAACCGCAAGGTTTCTGAAAATGATCAAAAAAATGTGAAACATCAAATAACCAAGTTTGAGCGATTTTATTTTTTTCATGTTTTTGCCCCTAGCTCCCCCATCACTCGACCAAATTTCAAAAACTGCACAGCTTTTGCATCCTTGGCATAGTAGTAACACTGTTTGAACTCTCATAAAAATCCGAGTGGCACTTCAGTGAATAAAGTGATTTTGTTTTTGATCTATCTGTCAGAGTAGATCATAGAACCTTTACTGTTGGTTAATACCTGCAAGTGTGGTTGTCCAGACATTGAGCAGTTACAGGGAAAGAAGAAAGGAAGGAGTATCAATCTTAGGATTTCTTTTAATTCTGTGTACAAATTCTTACCAATACTGTTGATTGTTGTGCTTGAAATAATACATGTAACAACCAGCATTATTATCCTGCGCATATTTTTCCTCCCTTATCTTTGCTTCAGTCATATCTATAAGGTCGCCTTTGTACTCTACTACAAAATCTCCTCTTTGAAACTTTTTTGCTGCAACTACACCTCTTCCTTTGCTTTCAAAAGTTTTCACCTATACAAAAAGAAATATAAATATACTAAGTGACATATAAATCCGAACACCCAGTTTAAATGGTTTTATTTTAATAAAATTTTGTATAAGTACTTAATGAAGCATAATAAGTAAATGTGGCATCTTTTAAGCTCTCCGTGAAACCTGGTGTCAAGAATACATTATTTAATAGCGACATATGGCCTGAAAATGTGATTGTCAAGCCATTCAATTTCCCTAGAAGAAATCAACCATTACCATCAGCACAAGGTAGACGCTTTTTTAAAAGGCAGGCCCAGCCACGGCGCAGGAATTAACCCTATCAATGATATTAGGATTTATTACCAGAACATTAGAGGCATCAGAACTAAATTGAATGAATTTTCAAACAATGTGTCCATGGCATCATATGATATAATTATACTTAGTGAAACCTGGTTAACACCAGAGTTTAATGACTCGGAACTAGGGCTACAGAACTACTCAATTTATAGATGTGACAGAGACAACATAGCAACAGGCAAATCCAGAGGAGGAGGTGTTTTAATTGCGATCACAAAAAGTTTAAAATCGCACCAAGTCGAATTGAGGAATTTGACATCTGGGCATGAAGAGGTGTGGGTCTCTGTATCTATTGGTAAAATTAAGTCCACCTACTTCTGTGCAGTATATTTTCCTCCCCTTAGCAATTTGGTGGAATATGAAAATCACTGCAACAATATTGAAAACTTCAGTGATAGCTCTGATGTCATGTACATCATGGGAGATTACAACCTGCCCCATCTTCAGATGTTGGATGAAACCAACCTCCATGATAATGGTATTGGTAGACGGAATGCCTCCGGTGATCTTCTTGTTAGCTCCATGCTGTTTTCTAACTGCACTCAAATAAACTCGATAAAAAATTGTAACAATGTTTTACTAGATCTTGTATTTACCAATAACTCTAATTTTACTAAAGTAAATTGTGCTAATGATATACTTCTGCCATGTGACAAACATCACCCAGCATTTGTTGTAAGTATACAAAATATTAGCTCTTATAAACCTTTGCAATTTGAAGAACAAATCTATGATTTTAAAAATGCAGATTTTAATGTAATCAACAATTTATTAATTAATTTTAACTGGGATGCCTTATTGGTTGATCAATTGGATAATGATGTTGAATGTTTTTATGCTGTTCTCTATGATTGTATTGATACTTATGTGCCAAGATTGCTAATAAAAAGTAATTTTAAATTTCCTGCATGGTTTAGTCCTGAACTCAAAAGTATGATTTATGAAAAAAAAGAGCTGCATGCAAAATATAAGAGAACTAATTCTAATATTGATTATGGTTTATTCTGTCATTTACGCAGATTGTGCAAAGAAAAGGTTCACCAAGATTATAGTCTTTATATAAAAAATATTGAGAATAATCTAAAAGGTAATATTAATGTTTTCTGGAAGTTCATTAAGTCTAAAAATAATCAAAATAGTATTCCATCAATTGTTAAGTATAATGAGGAAACTTTTGATAGCGGCAAAGAAATTGCAAATGCTTTTGCTAAACATTTTTCTAGTGTATATGAAACACCAAGTCCTTCACAGAGCCTTAGCACTGTTGTAAAAAGGTTCAGCTCGCCAAACTTAAATTTGAGCAGTGTATATATAAAAATTTCTGATATTTGTGAAAAGCTGGCTAGCCTGGACTTGTCAAAGGGACCGGGTCCTGATAGTGTGAGTGCATTGTTTCTTAAGAACTGTGCTTTCTCACTGTCTAGGCCTTTATGGATTTTATTTAATAAATCTTTAGCCCTGGGAGTTTTTCCAAAGAAATGGAAAACCTCCTACATTATTCCAATTTTTAAAAATTGTGGAAATCGAGAGAATGTTGAAAATTACAGGCCCATTACATTGATATCGTTAATTCCAAAGGTTTTTGAATCATTTGTAGCAGATTTTTTGAAGGAAAAATTTAAAAATGTTATAATTGCACAGCAGCATGGTTTCTGTGAAGGAAAATCTATAACTTCTAACCTTTTAGTTTATCATTCACATATAGTTGAGGCATTGGAAAATGGGCAATCTGTTGACTCAATTTATACAGATTTTGGGAAAGCATTCGACAAGTTGAATATAGATATTCTCATTGAAAAGCTCTCTTGTTACGGATTGCATGGAAGTTTATTGAACTGGTTAAGATCTTACCTTTCTGAAAGAGAGCAATTTGTAAAAATTAAAAACTGTCTCTCAAATCCAATTGCTGTCTTGTCTGGTGTACCACAAGGTGCGCACTTGGCACCCATTTTATTTATAATTTTTGTCAATGACAGCCCAATGTTTTAAATTCTGTTCTTTTCTTATCTATGCTGACGATGTCAAGATCTATTTACCTCTTTCTGATAATAACTCAACATTAAAGATTCAGAGTGACCTTGATCAATTTGTTAAATGGAGTGAAGAAAATAGAATGATCCTTAACACAGACAAATGTAAATACATTCAATTTTCAAAGTCTAACAATAATATAGTCAGCAGTTATCACATAAATAATACCCAACTTCAAAATGTGAATGTTGTTAAAGACCTGGGTGTTATATTTGATAGCAAAGTAACATTTTATCAGAACATAGAGGTTATAAGAAATAAAGCTTTAAAAATGTTGGGCTTCATAAAAAGAAATACATCTGAATTTACTAACATTGGAGCTATAGTAACTCTCTATACTTCACTGGTGCGATCTCATCTAGAAAATTGCAGCAGCGTGTGGTCTCCATATTATGTAACTTATCAGGACATGCTTGACGGGGTTCAGAGAAAATTTCTACGATATATAGCTTACAAAAAACACATTTCTATTGAGAATTTAGACTATAATGCTCTTGAAAAGGAGTTAAGGATTGGATCCCTAAGAGCCAGGAGAGATTCAGCAGATATTATTTTTGCTTATAAATTAATTCATGGTGTTTACCACTGCCCAGACCTGCTTCTAAAGCTAAATTTTTATGTTTCTCCTAGGCATTTAAGAGGACGCAGATCCTTTGAACCTTGTCGGCATAGAACTTTGTATGGCTCGAATAGTAGCATGGATAGGATAATGAGAAATTGTAATGACTGTGATATAGACCTTTTTAATACTTCACTATGCTCTCTCAAAAAGTTCCTTAAAGATAGAAATCTTAGCTAAAGTTTTAAAATGTCTCAATTGCTGGTGATGTTTGCTGTGTTGTTTAGTTGTTCAGTTTTTTTAGTTTTTTTTTTAGTATTTGTTTGTAACTATTTTTATGCACGTTTTAATATTTTAATATTTTAATTTAGTAAATAGTCAAACTTTATGTTCATATGTTAGATTCTTTATTTAAGATGTGTGTGAATTTTATTAGGTTAAGATTGTACTTTTACAACCTGTAACCGAATGGGTTTATCCCGTAAATTTGTAAATAAATAAATAAATAAATAAATAAATAAATAAGTGAAATAGCGATAACAAAATATAATCACATGATAAAAATTTCAAAATGATTGCACTGCTTTAAAGCCCTTTGACCTTTAATAATGTGTGGATGCACCCTGATGTGCTACACATTCTCCAACGTGCCTAGGCATGCTTCTGATCAGGTGGTCAATGTCCTCCTGTGGTATCTCATTCCAGGCAACCACCAACTCCTCTCGAAGTGCTTCTAGAGTCTGAGGAGGACGTTGCAAATTGAGCAATCCCAATCATGGTAACAATGTGACATCATTATGTTGAAAGAAGTCTATTGTGACTCTTGCAACATGTGGTCGGGCATTATCTTGTTGGAAAGTTGGATCTGCCAGGGTGTCAAGATAGGGTTCTAGAACTTCGTGGAAATAACGCTGCGCGTTCATGTTACCTCTGATGAAGATTAAAGGTGACCTAGAACCATAAGCTATAGCACCCCAAACCATAACTCCAACAGTGTGATGAACTTGTCTTTCAACAAAAAACTGTGGATTCCTCCTTTCACCACGTCGCCTTCTAACCCTGGCACGACCATCGTGCATGCCTAAACAAAATCGAGACTCGTCACTAAAGACGATCCCAGAGTGACCGTTGTCTGCACCACTCAAGGCGATTACGTCGGGGTTCTCGAGTTAATGGGAGGACCCAGTGTGGCCGGTATGAAAACAAGCCAAAACTTCTCATTCGTCAGTAAACACTTCGCATGCCAATAGGTCTTCCGTGTTCTGCAAACCATTCATTTGCAATGAACCTGGTAGTGGAGATACGGTCCCTTATGGCCAATAATATTAGGCGGCGATCTTCACGGTCTGTTGTTCTACGGCGGCGTCCAGTGCCCATTGCTCTTTGCGTATGGCCTTCTCGAAGCCATGCCTGACAACACCTAACCACAGTGTCCACATTTCTTTGCACTCTAACTGCAATTGCCCGGAAAGAAAGTCCAGCTTCCCGAAGTCCCACTATACGGCCCCTATCAAACTCACTAAGTTGAAGAAATCGTACAGGTCTCCATACTCTAGGCATCGTAACCGATCGTAAAGGATGTCAAGAACCAAAATCCGCCAACGTTGATTCTTTACTGCGGCTGAAATATTCATTTTTAGAGCATTAGTGAATTAAAAAAAAGCAGTATAAAAACCAGAATGTCCAACTGATAAGGCTGAAAATGTTTTCACTTGTTATTTACAGTGAGATAAATACATTCACCAACTTTTATTAAAATAAAACCATTTAGACTGGGTGTTCGGATTTACATAGTCATGCCATAAGTTCTGTCCCTCGTTTTCAAACAAGTGTAGACCTGTTAATACTTGTCCGATTGTTTACATTGTGGTGTCAGTTGATTAAGCGCTTTTCGGGTAATTACATATACCTCAGTTTGTATTGATCTCTCGAAGCATAACGATGGAGTGGGGCAAGGCAGAGAACCGTATTGCAGTGCTAGTCAGATTTTTGAACTCTTACGCGGCCTTCAAATATCGCGTAAATTTGTGTCTAGGACCATTCAGCGGTACAATGAGACGTCCTCTGTTGATGACAGGCCAAGAAGCGGAAGACCTCGTCAAGTAAGGACTCCAGCAGCCATCAAAGCCGTAAAAGCCAGGATTCAAAGGAATCCACTCCGGAAGCAGAAGATCCTATCCAGGGAAATGAAGATTCCTGTCCGGACGATGTCGCGCATCATTAAACAAGACCTAGGGCTAGGGGCTTACCGGAGACGTACGGGCCAGCGACTTACGGCCACCTTGCGACACATCAGGTCGACAAGATCCAAGAAGCTCTTGGAGAGGTACGCAGCTGGGGGATTCCGAAAGATTTTGTTCACGGATGAGAAAATCTTCACCATAGAAGAAAAATTCAACCGACAAAATGACAAAGTGTATGCAAGGAGTTCACAGGAAGCTTCGGAGATCATTCCGAGAGTTGAGAGAGGCCACCACCCTGCGTCAGTCATGGTTTGGTGGGGGGTGTCCTACGAAGGGGTCACTCAGCTCCATTTCTGTAAACAGGGCGTGAAAACAAAAGCGGCAAACTATCAGAGCGACATACTGGATCCTATCGTCAAGCCTTTAAGTGGTACATTGTTTGCCAACCAACACTGGGTCTACCAGCAGGATTCCGCCCCCGCTCACAAGGCTAAGAGTACGCAGCGCTGGCTGGAAAGCAATGTGCCAGAGTTCATTGCTGCGGAAGATTGGCCCTCAGGGAGTCCGGACCTCAATCCTTTAGACTACAAGTTGTGGGACCTGCTAGAGCAGTTGGCCTGCTCCAAAGCCCACCGTAATATCGAGTCCCTGAAAGCGGATTTGATCCGATCAGCGGCAGCTATTCCTTTGGAAGCTGTGCGTGCAGTGATAGATGAGTGGCCCGCGAGATTGAAGCAGTGTGTGAAGGCCAAGGGGGGACATTTTGAATAAAACTTTTTGATTATGAATTCTAAAAATGTTGTCGAATAAATAATATCTTTCATATAAATATATCTTATCTTGTTTCATTTTTATCATGAGATTATCATGGGACAGAACTTATGGCACGACTACGTATATGTCACTTAGTATACATAAAGGACAATTCTTATTTTGGGTCTTGAACCGTAATATATGTGATGTGTACTACAATTACCTCAAGTCCATTTTCTATATCATTTTTGACAGCTTCCTCTAGGCTTTTTTGTTTTTCCTCAAGGACAGTCTTTGAGACCTTACGTACAGATCTCCTCACAGGAAAATATTCTGTTAATTTGTGGTTATCACTGTTCTTTGTCTCAATGTGGTTGTTATTCAGTCTGAAAATATGACTCTTTCAAATACTTGGTATCATTTTATTAATAATAAACTATTATTTTATATTATACCTAGTTTTTTTATAAGTTGTTTAATATTGTCTTACATTTAGCCAATTTTATAAAATAACCAGACATTGAAATATTATCTTGCTGAAAGTAGGTCAGCTGAACATATTAGCATTTAAAATTTTTCATAATTATGTTTGCTCACATGATATTTACATTATTTTTATAATTAGGGAAAATATATTTGTTAAATAAATAGTATAGCATTCTTCTGTTAGCACTTTGGTGATAATGAATATCCAGTAATACTAGACATTATAACAAATAAAAAAAATGTTTGCCTACTTTTTTCTGGACTTTGCAACAGGTTGTTTAAGAGGCTTCTTAACTTCATTGGCATTGTCACTTCTTAGTTGAATTCTGTGGGGTGTAGAAGGTGACGGTACTAAAGCATCTTGGCAGGTCATTTTTCGATTCCTTGTTTGTATTGGAGTATGCACTAATGGTGCGACTTCAACAGCATCTATGGAAGAAATGAAGTCTCTCTTTTTATTCAAATATACATAGTAATAATATGTGAAGCTGTGGACTGCAAGGCTTGTGAGAAAAACAGATATTTGACGTACGGAAACAAATCACACGTCGTGAAAATGCAGTCGAAATAGTTTTAATGCAAAAAATAAGTACGATTTAGATTTTGTTGCTCAACTTACCTCTCACCATTTTTAACAAATTGAAAACACTGTAGAAAACAAAAGACAAAAATATGTAGGGAGTCAAATCGCTAACAGCAATCAACAATAATTAGCATCATTTTGGATAATTAAAACATGTTTGGGGTAAAATATAGAAGACGGATGAAATTTCTAGCAATTTATCTAGAAACGTACGCGAGCTTCAACAAACTTAACCTAAATTTAACGGACAATAAGAATGACAGATGAAGTTGACAAGGAACTTCATTTCCGCTTGCAACGTTGACAAGCTGCTTCAGTAAATTTTTGCAGATCAATCATGATCATTGATAGATTGATATCTCTCATCTCCATTTTTAACTGACAATAGGACAATACTGTCATTTTGTTATTTAGGTCATGGACAAATAAATATTTTGATTTGTTTGTAATGTTAATTTTACCAAAATGCTAATTAATCCTACAATGTTGGAACAATTATTCTGCCGAAAATACTCCACGGACATACTAAAATTTGTTCCGAAACATAAACCAGCGCTTGACAGAGATGTGGATGTCTTAAAAGAATTCATTCAAAAATCTAATAAGATAGCCGTTCTAACTGGAGCTGGAATCTCAACGGAATCTGGTAGGAATTCAATTTTCTTGATTTCTTGCCATACTCAAAATATATTTAATAGGTATTCCAGATTATCGTTCAGAAGAGGTAGGTCTGTACGCTCGCACAAATCACAAACCAGTTCAGTACATGGAGTTCCTAAAATCCGCCCAGGTTCGTCGTAGATACTGGGCAAGAAACTATGTTGGATGGTACACATTTTCTCAAAGGCAACCCAATCAAGTCCATTACTCTATTAGGAATTTAGAACATGTTCACAATAAGGTGTCTAGTGTTATAACACAAAATGTAGATGGGCTGCATTTCAAGGCAGGTAGTAGTAATGTTATAGAACTACATGGCACAGCTTTTAGGGTGATATGTTTGCAGTGTAGGGCTGAATATGATAGATTCTATATTCAAGATAATTTGAGAGACATGAATCCTCATATGGTAGAGGTCATTAACATGATTAGACCAGATGGAGATGTAGAAATTCCACAGGTAAAATTAGTGAAATAATTACCATGACATAATGTACATTCATGAACATTTTTCTCTGCTAATGATTTTGACAGTTTTGCTTTATTTGCTTATTTCTTCAGTTTTTCTGATCGTTATTGTATAATCCAGAATAAAATTTTAGTTTAAAACAAATTACTTATCTAAGGCAAATGTCCCACAATCAATTTGAATGTGATCCATCAGTTTTTAACAAAATAACAGAAGCTGTTTTGTGAGAACAATCTACTGATGACATTGACCTCGATTTACTCTTCAAGGCCATTTAGAGCTCATCTTTAAATGGAACCATGTCCAGGTTTAAGTCGATCAAGGTCATTTCCGAATGTACAAATAAATAATGAATGATATTGTGAAAAACATATACACTGTGTTCATTTGAAAACTTCCCACCATGGATTTATCGAAAACCATTGATTAAAAGAAAAAATGCTGAGATACATCAAAAGATTTGTCAACGGGTACAAATTTTAACCAAAAACTACTTCACCCCCTTCCACCCTCTGCCACCCAGGGTCATTCAATTAAAAAAAATTAAATGACAAGGGGTATCAAGTAATATCTTGTTTGAAAGGTCTTTTGAAGTTTATGATATAATTATTATACCGCACATTTCTTTTGATCAGATCTACTCACTGTTAAAATAAATGACTCAACTTCGAAGTCACCCTGTACAGAATGATGTCGTCCAAGAAGTGGCCTATTTAGATTACTAGACAATAGGTTTCTTCCACCACCTGTAAAAGTAAAACAAACAGTTGATGACTTGTTTTGGATGAAGGAGGGCAATTTCTTAATCTTCCAGTCAATTTAGCTCTACGCTTAAGTGCTTCACTCAAAGATATCCTGCAAATGCCCTACGATTATTTTTGTCCGACGGTAAAATTGAGGCTATCAAGTCGAACATGCAAAACGAGTGGTCTTTATCGTGCTTCCGTCAAGTCACTAAATCGTCCCATCGAAAATATCCATAAAAAAGTAAACACGCACACTGATAGGAAAGTTAGACCTGTAAGAGTCGCTGCTCGTCGTGCTAATGAACTGATGTGTATTATTCAAAATTTAGAGCACCATGATGTTGAATGGCTCGATGAGAACGACGTAGACATTCCAAAATCCGATGAAAGCGAGCAAACTCACAACACTGAGCAGCAATCGAAGCAATCCATGTTATCGAAAACTTAGAATCATGGATTCGGGTTTGATGGACTGAAGACTGTTAATTTGAATTTAATATATGTACCAAAAATTTAAAATAAGTTTATGTTAGTAAGATATAATATTTTTGTCCTTTACTCTATGTTGAATACCATATCAGTAAAATATAATCTCTATCCTAAATCTATTTTCTTATTTTTCAAATTATAATTATAACGTTATAATTATAATATTAAAAAAAACAATACATTAATTGACAAATGTTTACGTGAGCATGGGAGGAGGGGGTAAAAGCTTTGCTTACTTCTGCTGACATGGGGGGGTAAATAATTGTAATAAATCTGCTTACGTAATACTTGAACGGCCCCTTACAAGAATTGCAGTGGTTGAATATAAAAAATTTCATATCATATTTGGTTCTTATTTTTATATTTAAAATAAAAAATCATCTTTTGCCACAACATTTAGAACACTACATAGAATTGAATAATCATTACCACAATTACTATACAAGAGGAAATATAGATTTTCATTTACAAAATTGCAATAGTAATTAATATAACTAGCAAATCAATATTCAGAAAGGATTACTTGAATTTAATAAACTAAATAATGATAGAAAGTCTACTTGTAATTTAAAGATATTTAAAAGAAAATTAAAGGAATATTTCATGGACAATGAAAATTCTTAGAGATGCATTTTTTCTAAATATGTGTATGTTATGTAATTGTTTAGTTTTTTTAGAAGAATTGTAGCAATCATGATAAATAAATCTCAAACAACAACAAGTCCTTTATTTTGACCTTTGATTTTTTCAGATCAGTCGATTTTCGAGAAACTTCTTTAAAAATCAGATGGAATACAAAAACACGAAAATATCACTTTTTATTTCAATATGTGTTCAAAATGTTCTGTGTATGGTTTGCCAAACCTACAATTCGCTTATAATTTAAAACAGAAACTACCAACATAAACAGCAATTCGGAAAATGAGACGTGGCAACAACTAAATAACAACCCGAATATATTTTCCGCATTCTTTTCATTAACACAGGTATCCTGGGCGAACTGTATTTATTGTTATACCTGTTTAGTTATTTGTTGCTAAGGGAAAGAAAGAATTAAATTTACTGTCAGTTTCCTTTGTGACAATCTTGGGATAGTGAAAATTAATTTATTTATTCAGATTTTACTTCCAAAATGGTTTTCACACTAGCCAAAAGAGTGGAAATGGTTCTAATTTATGGTGCCCAAAATCAATGTGCTCGACAAACTGGCGTCGCGTTTAGTGCCAGGCATACGTGAAAGATAGCTTCGCGAAGGAATGTTTTGGACCATGTTGCTAAATTTACTCAAACTGGATCTGTTGCAAATAAAAAACGTGATCAGAGTTTTGGATGAAGCCGCTCAAGTTGAAGTTTTGGGTCAATTTGGAATAACTCCTAAACCTGCCATGATATCCCACAACATGTTTTTGAAGATGTACATCAGGCATTTGAACATCACCTGTATCATTGTTTGGTTAATAACAGGCAACATTTTAAACACTTATTGGAATAAAAGTTTTTGTTTTCTATCTGAACAAATTAAAATAAATAAAGATTTTTACAATTTTCCTGAAAACGAATTAACTGATTTTTAAAAATCAAACGTCACAATAAAGCACTTCGAAAAACCTTCCAAACAAGCTATTACTCGATACCCATTGTCATTTAAATTTTTTAAGGGGATAACCCTGGGGGGCAGAGGGTGAAATAGTTTTTGATTAAAAAGTTCTCCCCCTTGATAAATCTTCTGACGTGTCTCGGCGTTTTTTGTTTTCAGTAGTGTTTGATAAATCCTTATACTCGTTTCACATTGACCATAAATCCATGGATTTCTTCATGAACTGAAATCATGGCCAAATTTTAAAAGTACAAAACAGGAATTTTACGTCAAATAAATGCATGCCAACATTGTTTTCCTTTCCAATTCGAGTATAGAACTTTGATTGGACTATCAACAATATGGTTTCTGTTTATGAGATGTGGTTGGCATTATTGTCAAATGATACATGAATTTCTCCATTGATATAAACACTGCAAAAGATGGCAAGGGTGACCTTGAACAAATCCATGTGAATAAATTCGTACAGAAATTGTTGATGTAAAATGGGTATTATAGAATTTTGATAAGTGATGCTTATGTTATTCTTTTAGGAGACTGTAGAGGGATTCCAACCACCCACTTGTGAATCTTGTGGTGGTGTTCTAAAACCAGACATCATCTTCTTTGGGGACAATGTTCCTACAGCTAGAGTGGAAGCAGTAAAAGATACTGTGAGCCATAGTGATTCATTATTGGTATTAGGATCTAGCCTGACAGTGTTTTCTAGTTATAGGATAGTATTGCAAGCTTTAGAAGAAGATAAAAATATAGCTATTGTAAATATTGGGGCAACAAGGGCTGACAACGCTGTGAAGATAAAAATATCAGCTAGGTGTGGTGATATTTTACCTAAAATATGTTGATTTTCAACTCTCCATGTAGTAGTCGACCAGTGTAATTATTGTTTTTATTTGGCAAAAATATACATAAGTTCCTGATCCAATACCACTATTCATGTTGAAAATTAGAAGATTTTTTGCAAATATAGAACTATCTTCTAGAAGTAATTACCGTTATTTGGTTTCTTTAGTTTTCAACATTACAAGATACGTTCAAAAAATTATTACAGCCATTAAAAAAAATACCCTGTTCCATTTAATCTCCTACATTTTACTTAGATGACCACAGAATAAAATACAATTTATAGTGATATTATTTATTGTTATGAAAAAGTATAAAATTATATTAAAACAGAAACAGAATTTCATCAAGTATAAGTTTATTTTCCAGTATTTGGCTTCCTGCAACCAAAAAAGATTGTTTCTGATAAAATATTTTGTTGTAAATCCATCTGCTTCAACTGTTGTTATCAGCGTTACTGGCAAATTGATTATCAATACCTAACTACAAAACTTTAAGTATATCAGTCAATGCAGTGGTTGATGTTTTATATTTAATATAATATTCTATAGTAATTCTATACTAAAATATAGTGTTAAATGAATAGAAATATATCACAATAGATTATTTAGTGATCAATGAAAAATTTATTATGACAACTTTAAGAATCATCTCGACCCAAAATTCATAGTCAGTGTAGATTTTAGGGCTGTGATAGATAGCTGTCAATTCTTCAATAATGATGGGTTAAAATTTTCAATAAATACAGACCAAACAGAAGTTCTGATCTTTGTAAAGTCTTCTACGCAACTTGTACGAGTTTCTTAACAGGAGTTGGAACTTTAACGCCCATCAGTTGACACAGCTGGTTTCTGATTGGCCTAATCTGCTCAACAGGCTCTTCCCAATTGGTGCTACTCAACACGTTCATAGCTTGATCCAACTTTTCTGGGTCTATGTTACTGCTATCTCCATTCACAAGTAAAGATTCGTATAATTTGGCTGACGTAGATCTCCTGACGTAGGACTGGCGATGACAAAGAAGGATCATCAGTTGGACTAAAGCTGTAGCACAGACGTCACCATTTACCTGTAACGAGGGACATAAAGCATTGAAATTATACTTAAAATTCGTGCCAAATTTAAAAGAAATCAAAGGTAACCACTCACTTAAATTCAATTGCACCGCGTCAGAACAAACAATAAAATAGTGAAAATGCAAGTGTTCTTCAATAAGTACACTGGGAACCAAATTTGTTTGATGGCTTGAGTTCAATGTGTACGAGAGAGAAGTGTGTATAGACACATATGTTAGAAAGAGATAGAAGCCGGCTGGATAGCGAAGCTCATCACCTCTTTGCCTAACGACGTTGACGCGGCAATCTGCCACGTTGCCAATATGTTCCACCAGTTCCTTGAATTAAGATGCATGTTGAAAATCGTTGGTTTATTCTCTATACTCAAGTAATGGTTTTATTTTGAGCGTACACATTTTTGAATTGTGTGGAATCTGTTAGGATTGATTCCGGATCGCTCCTAAGGGCGCTCCATTTTAGTTCGAAATGAAAGGTAAGGTAATTCTGCAGAATTGTATCATTGGATAGCTTGGCAACACCGTATCGCGTATATTCCAAGGCAGGTTTCCACCTCCATGATCATGGATTTGCGATTTTGGTCAGTACCCATCTAGCGCTCATTAGGGAGTGTCGTCCTGCTTTTAAATGGTTTTCACCTGCGCACATGCAGGCAGCAATAGCGTGTATTGCGGAATTGTATTTGTTACATTTTCCCACCGCCGCTGTCGTAAAATATAACAATATCTCAGAACGTGTTGATTTTGTCACCCTCGGTGGAAGTCAAAAATAATTCTAAAATAAAACAGTCGCATTAAAATTGAAATAAATAATTATAATCAAAATGAAAACAAAATCTTAGCTTAAATTCTTGAATTGTCAGTAACCTAACATATTGTAGAAGCCTGTGCGAACATTTTCTGGTGTAACATATTGGCAACGCGGCAGATTGCACGACCTTCTGCGTCACCACTGCTGGGCAATGTGGTGATGACCTTCGCTCTTCAGCCTAGATTTTATCAGGTTGTGTTTTTACCTGAATAAACTGACAAAGAACAGAAATCCCATCCAACAATTTATAAGTATCTTTACAACCAGCAATCTCTTTTTGAACCAACTTGAGTGTTTTCTTGATGAAATCAGCACTGTCCGACTGTATGACTGGCTCAAGACATCCAGCGTCGAAGAACTTGTCCAAGAATCTGAAGATAGGTATGGTAATCCTATCTACTTTGTGATGATCCATGAAAATTTTGAGTATCACATCGCAAATTCTGTGCAATTCCCCTACTCCTCTCGTTTTCAGTTCAGCTTTTAATGAGGTGAAAAATGATGCGCTGGAATGCTTCACCTGTGAATAGCAAAGGAATCAATGTCAGTAACTCATGTTCTTTGGCGTTTGTCAGTAAAGTTCACTCTTATATTTTCATCAAAATTAGGTTAGTGGAACGGTAAATGTCCACGGGGAACGTTACCACAAATATGGACTTTTGTTGGCCCCGATTGGAGAATATGCATCTTAACAATTCACATGGTGGGGGAAAGATTGGAATTGTCACAGACACGTTTTGCTGATGGCCGCTGATTTCTCACGATAGTGACTTCTGCCAGCCTGCGAAATCATGCTTGACATTTTTTGTGGATATTTATGAAGAACAATCTATACACAATTAGTGACCTGAGGCAATACATTGGTGGAATTGAATCCCAATTATGCCAAAAGGTTACAGGAAATTTTAGTCGAAAAATGGTCATGTGTAGAGTCTAGAAACAGCTAAGGGGGCACTTGGAGAATATTATTTATAAAATATAATACATTCTGATAATATAAAGCGTTTTTTTTCAAAATTGGCTTTATTTAAAAACAAACTCTCGAAGTATACATTGGGACACTCTTCAAATGCATTAGTTTAAATTATTAGTCGTTTTGCTTACCAGCGAGTCTGTTAGACCTCCAATACTGCATATTAGTCCTAACATTACATTATACGTGTAACTTGGCAGATAGACCAACTGGACAAATTTTGGAAAAGTTGCTGATCCAGAATTCCAGTTTAGGTCATCACATTCCTCTTTTATAAAAATATTCGATACTTCTTGGTGATGAGGTAGATTTGGGATCGCAGATTCACTAAGAAAAAAACAGTACAGGTCAATGCAAGTTCTATGTACGAGGTCTGCAAATTAAGTGATAAGATTGAATTTTTTTTATTCAAATATAATTACAATTTTATAATCTCAACCTCCAAATAACTTCCTTCTGACGCCACAATGCGCTGGAGACTGTTCTTCCACTCCTCATGGCAGTACTGGAACTCCCATAAATAGCCTTCAGCTGGTCGGTTACAGGAGGCTGAGGAGTCACAGTAATGTTTTTATTGGCTAAAAACTCTATTGACATTGCTGTGTGACAAGGAGTATTATCGTGATGCAACACCCACTTGTTCTTGATCTCATGAACGGTGGTGTGTGTCAAATTTAACTCTTCCCCGATCATTCTGACTGTTAACCGACGAATCTGAACTCACAAGATCCGGGAATCTGTCGACATTTCCATCGGTTCTTGAAGATGAAGGCCTTCCGCTTCGTGGTTCATCTTCAATCGACCCTCTCCCTTCTGAAAATGCCATAAACCACCGAAAAACCTGGACTTTTGACAAAATACTATCACCGTAGGCCTGCTGAAGTTTAGCAAGAGTTTCTGTTGTATTATGGCCAAGTCTTTAGCAAAACTGTTGCTCGAAATTGAAGTCGCTCATTTTTAGAACACAATAGGAATAACCGTTTCACAAAAAAATATCGCTTCGGACAACCAAATGACTCGAGCGAGTTCAATCTTGTACTGAAGGCGGATCACACGATCCCCTGTCTCCCCTCTAAAACCATCTCCTCCAGTTTTGCCAGATTGAATGCTACGTTGTCAGTTCCATCAATTATTTTACAGACCTCGTAGTCTTACAAGAGTACAAATATTCACTTTCAAGCCGGAAACACGTTATTGTCATCTTACGTGAACTCATGACCAAGTTTGCTTGTTGTTTTATTGTACGATGTATGGGTCCCAACGGTGACACTTCTGACAATACAATTTGTTCATATCTTCCTTTCATTTTCTCATTCCTATACGGAAACTTATGAATTAAAATCTAAATTGATGGATTGTCATAGATGCCTGGTCAGTTAGAGCATGTTTCTAAATACATACGTTTCTTTGTATAAGTGGGAGTCCACGTTTTCGTGAGTGCATGTTTTAGCTTGTGAGTTTGCGTAACAGCTCATGAATTCACTTGTTTGTAACAATAATTTGTTTTCGAGTTTGATATTGCATAGTACCTTATAATTAAAGATACTTACTTGTAAACAAAGCTATAAAAAACCTTGCCAGCTAAAGCCCTAGTTCTATCGATTTTCTCTACAGCCTGCTGAGCTACGTTCGGTGCTACCTTTTTCATCAGATCAGCTGTCAAAACATCGGGCATTCTTTGCGTCGCTAGTAACGTCAGTGTTTGTAATCCTAAAACTGAGGCTTCCCGCATCCAAGCCCCTATATCCCCCCTTTTATCTTGGGTATAGTCTTTCAGACCTTCCAGAAATGTGTTGTACATCAGTAAAATGTGGTCCTCGGTGAATTCTAGAAAATAACCGCATAAGAAATCTATCTGCAATATAGACTATATTCAAAACCAAGTAAACATAGTTAGACACTACGAGCGTGATTCGCGAAATCTAAATCATCAGAGTGTAACACTCTTGTAACTAGAACCTTGAGTAACGATAAGACGCCTTCGCAATACCGACGCTTAGGTCACCAGTATTACGCGCCCGTTTATGGAGCGTGCTTCCGTTCTAGAGCGTAAATTAAATTTACACAATCTAGATAACTTCGATTTCAGCTCACTCTGGAAGGCTTCTAGAATTCACCGATTTAAGTTAAAAGTTAAATACCGGACCAGATGGCGGAAGCAGCCAGACACCATGAGACAGCCGACAGTGTGCGACGCGATACTCTAGCCGACATGGTTATTAATTTGTCATAAATTAGACTTTAAACAGTAAAACGGTGTTTTCGTTACAAGAGGATGAATCCTCGCCTGCAATGACTGCTGGATTACACAATTTCATCTTGTATTAGTGAGCGGTGCGACAGAAACTAGTAGGTGTGTAGGTATCGTCTAAGAAACTATCATCGCTGTCAGTTCCTCCTAAGTTGATGACGATTCGCTCATGTCAGATATTTTTACCACCCAATGACAGCCCTTCGATCAGCACTAACAATTCAGATATCATTTATTCTGCAGTGCTGTCATAAGAAATATGGTTTGAAAGCTGTTTCAGCATGTTCATGACTTTAGACTACTACAATAGCTTATATAATTTATTGACTACTTTATACCGGGTGTAAAGTTAGTAGTGGATCAACGAAAGTCAGGTGATAGAGGGACTCAAAACATATCGAATGAACCCCTATACAGTGCTTTTCTTTAATGTCCCCCTCCCCTTTGAATTTCTGAACGAATCAATTTAAAAAAATTAACCTTGTAATGAATTTGATGCGTGGATACCATATTTTAGAGTAAAATTGACAGATGAAAATGTCACGATAGCCGCTGGGCGTCATCTTGGAATAAAAATTATATGAAAACGAGGGTCTTGTGGCACATCATTTTGAAGCTCCTGACGAGTACTTTATAACCCTAGAATATGAAGTCAATACCTTTACTTACTACAAAATGGTGGTACATTTAATAATTACCTGGATACATTGATATTTAACTTGATAATTCGAATAAATACGTTGAGTTCAGTTTAGAAGATGATGGAAATGGTTGCCTTGAACTTCTTGACACAATAACAGCCGGTCCGTAATTTCGCGTCGAACATTTTCAAACATGTTATTCTCAGCCGTATATCCAATGTTGAAGCAGCTTCAGTTTCGTACACCTTTTGCTTCAAATATCCCCATGAAAAAAGTCTAAACGTGTCAAATCTGGCGAGCGAGCTGACCATTCTACAGGACCTCGACAGCCAATCCAACGACCGCGGAAATTGTTATGTAAATAATTCCTAACTTGTCTTTAGTTGTGTGGTGGAGCACCATCTTGCTGGAACACAATATCAGTATCGAGTTCATTAGGATTCGAAGATTTCGGTGATTAGAGGGTCAATAGTATTTTCCAGCATATCAAATAGAGTTCCCCGGTTAAAGTTTGTTCGATGAATAGAGGCCCCACAATATGATTTCCCAATATCCCAGCCCAAAAGTTAATTTTTTTTGTGGATATTGAGTATGTTTCCCGGAAGACGTGAGGATTGGTGTCACTCCAATAACGAAAATTTTGTCTATGCACATTACCGTTGAGAAAAAATGTACAGTCATCACTAAAACAAATATTTTCGATATAGGTAGGATGCCGTGCAATGATTCCCGTTACCGATTACCATTTGAATTTTGCCACAAGACCCCTGTTTTCATATTTTTTTAAAGAAAAGGACTCTATGCGTGGTCCAAAATTTTACAGTTCAGGAGATATTTGCAATTTTTTGAAATTTCTAAAAAAACGGGATAATGCACCTTCAATCGCAATTACAACTAAACCATTAGGTTTTGGGCTGTAATTTTTTTTGAGAAGAGTTAAATGGTTAGTTTTAGCAATGGTTATGCCACTTTTTAACGGAGCTAATTAGAAATCCACGCAAAACATCTTAAATTCATTTTTTTGTGACAAATCTCTTCCATCCCTCAACTTTTGCATGAGCTCTTAGAGGATGCACCTTTGGACGTTCGAAGCCGCATGTATTTTCAATGCGATGGTGCCCCATGCCACTTTGCACGGGATGTACGGCATTACTTTTACAGTGCCTTTCCTAGGCAGAGGTGGAGGTGGACACATACGATGGCCTCCAAGGTCACCCGATTTAAATCCTGTAGATTTTTTTATATGGAGGTTTTATAAGGGGATAATCTATACATCTGAATAAACAAATTTCAACCAACTGCGCCAGAAAATTGATGAAGCAAAAATAAAAGTTATGGAAAACGCAAATTGATTTTAAAGACTACAGGACAATTTTATTAGGTGTCGCTTGTGTATAGAAAATAATGGAGGCAATTTCGAACATGTTCTTTAAAACTTAGCTAAATTAAATTATCTTCCACATTTGTCGGCAAATCGCCATAATGAGCGGCTAAACACAATAGGTTCTGTACTTGTAGGTGGTAAGGATTATATTGCGTTTCTTACGTTTATCGCATCACAACAACGAATGTGACCAGCAAATAATACAAATTAACATCATTAAACGCGATTATTCGTTTCTTTTTTAAACAGGTATCTACAAGATACACAAAATTCGGAATTTGTAATTAACTTTACTGCGGACTTTGGAATAATAAAAAAAAATGATAACTGAAACCGTATTATTCCAAATTATAGCACCATAAGTGAGGTAACTATGGAAGATATTGAAATATACAACAGTATTTCTATCAAAACATCTGCCGAGCTGTCTGAGTATGTTTACCCATGTGGAGAGTTTGGAGCAGATATAACATACGAGGACCAATTTAGTTGAGTGTCTAGAACTACCCACAGTAGCTTTACTGGTCCTGGCTTTGTTATCCACCTATCAAAGGAGAAACTGATATGATGAGTCTTTCATTGAGAGACCGCCTACTGACAAGAAATCTACAGTTACCCTGTTCCAAGCCTTCCATAAATGTGCTCCGATTTAAATGGAACAGCAGTACAGAATCATCAGCAAATAGAACGCAGGTGCCATTAATAATATTCTGAGGCAGGTCGTTGATGTAGATCTAGATAAAAAAACAGCAGGGGGCCAAGTACTGAGCCTTGCTATTTGTTATCTCCAACACCACGGAGTCTTCGGTGCTGACGTACGACCTATTTGTTAGATGAGATTTAAAAAGCTCTAGCCCTATTACATCTTACACCGTAACCCTCAAGTTTTGAATGAAGTATCGCATATTTTTGATTAGAGTAAAAAACATACAATAACTGTATACACCTTAGGAAAAACCATTGTTATACATGGGAAATCATTTCTTGGCAACAGCGCATCGGCTCGTCTACTTTCATCGCTATTCGTACATATTTCCTACCGTTAACCGCAGACCTGTATCACGAATGAGAATAATAGGCAGATACGCTGTGTTGCCAATTTGAGTAGAGCTTCCCGAATTGTGGGGAATTTAGAGTTAAGTGTTGATTCATTCAAGCTTTTAATCAGCATGGCCTCTAGGCTAACGTCTACGTTAGAACTTCATAAAGATAACATTGAAGCTGAATGCTGCTGGAGTATAGTGTTTCGAATATTCAAAGCGGAGCGGGACACTATACTCGTTCAATGGGTCATCAAGCCACAGTCTTTTCAACAAAGAAATTATTTTACGAAAATGCGTTATATTTTTACGATTTTGTCGTCACCAAATCTCTGTTTCTCAAAATGTACGTCTATTGATCTAGTATTTACTCAACATTACGGATTTCTCGAAATACATTAAAAAATGTGACCTAGATACCTAACTGCCCCAGCTCTTTAAATATAACACCTTAAACCAGGGTTACCTGGTGCTCAGTCACGTTGATTGTCATGTTGTACTGCGCAAGACAGCAAACAATCTGGCGTAATAAACGTTAGGAATCATCAGGTATTGCCAGATTCCCGAATACCGGGCACCAAAGTAACCGTTATAGTTGTCCTTCAAAGTTGTCAAATCGCCCCTATGGCGCAAATTCGCCACACCAGGCAACTGTGCTATAAACAAACCCTGTTTATCACTACTATTTGATAGTATATGGTAGTTGTAGCCATATCTAGCGGTCCATGATTTCTCTCAATACTGTTGTATCTCTACTGGCAACAAGAATAGGGATTACAATCATCTATACAACAATATACAAACATGAAAAATATGATTTGAACCATGAAACATTATTACAATTTTAATAGTTTGAACTTTTTTCATTTTTGGAATACTCTTATGTGGAATCCGCAGCTATTTTTCCCGAAATTTGGGTAGACTTAGATTTCTTAGAAATATGACATATTGGTATCGGCAACTCTGCGAATGGGAGAAACAAATCGCATTTGTTGAGCGCATCCGTCTAACCGGTAGGCGCCAGCGCCCGTTCTGCCATCTCTCTCTTTTATTACTCTTCTACTTTACCCCGTTGTCCGTTACACTCCGACGCTGCCAGATAAGATCCTACAATCGAGTGTCTTTCACGCTCCTACATCCTTTTGTATATTTCCATCTCTCTTCCTCATCATAATGTATAATAATGGTTTTTCCCATACTGTATGTGATTCAGTAACAATTTTACATCACCATTTCCCGTCCGCATTCCTTTGTCGTTGTCACCTGAACATGTCATGTTTGACTCTATTCTGGACTGGGAGAAGAGGGGGGAGGTTAACAAGTAGTGCTTACCCTTTCCTAAATGATCACTCATTGTGTTAGCGATAGAGGTCAAAGCTTTGACAGCATCCCGTCTACTTTCAGCCCATTTTACAGTGGCAAGTTCAATGACAGTGGCCTCTATCAATGACGTCACTATGAAATCGTAATTTGGCGCCAGAACAAACTTTGGTAGTGCACCTAATGCTAGGCAATGTCCCATTCTGTGAGCCTGTACGGTAGTTGCTTTTAGTTCTTTTGCATAATCTTTCACAAGTTGGTTGTATTTTTCTGACTTGTCGCTGTAGTATTCATTAAGAAGACTGGGAAGTGCGTTTATGGCTGCCATTCTGATGGTAGCGACGTCATATGATAGGCATTCGTTCAGGAGTTTTAGCCAATCCTCTGAAATATTAATACAATAAAATGAGAAAGTAGAAAAAAATAATTGCAAAAAATAACGAAGAAAAATGGGTCCCTTCGTCTTTTATTTCTTACGTCAATTAGCGAGTAAGTATTGTAATCGCGAAAATTTTCGAAAATGAGATATTATGTTGTTTGAGTGTTATATGGCATGTATATCACGAAAAAGCATGTCACTCATTTCCGTCGGTCTGTATGTCCGCTAATCCTTTGTCCGTCTATACCTTGAGAAGTACCACTCGGATTTTGATAAAGTTTTCGCATAAGGTTACTACTATGACAAGGGCGAAAAAGTTTTGTGATATAAAAAAATTGGTCAAGTGGCGGCGGGAAACGATAAATAAAAATCGCTCAAAATTTTTGTTTACAAGAGCGTACCTGGGGGGGGGGGCAACGGGGGTCAGCCGCCCTCCCTCTTCCTAGCTCGGCAAACATTAAATGGAGAGCACATTTTTTACAAAAATTAAATTGTCTATGTTAAATATAAACTTAAAATCACCCTATTTGTCTAATTCATTGCAGCAGTTACGTCGGTGGATAGCTTGAGCATTTTTCAAGTTTTTTTTTGTTAATCTCTACAAAAGCTGTTGGTTACTATTTCATATTTAGTCTTATGCACTTTTCGAAAAAAAATGAAAGATTTTTGCAATAACCTTAACCATGTTAATCATGTTTTTTATGAATTGATGACAGCCTTGCATAGAAAAATACAGTTCAATCTACTTGACGAGATTTTTTGTGTGAGTATGCACTAGATTGGTCAAGTAGTGGAGTAATGTCGAGGCATATCTTGTAACATTTTTGCATTGACGCTTTTTGAAAAAAAAAAAACCCGAAAAGTTCAAATATGTTAACCTCATTATTACGTATTCTTGTGGTTTCCCAACCTGCCCATATAACATATAAGCCCTCAAATGTCGATCTGATATTTAAACGTCGCGTAAATTGGTGCGATAACAACTGCAGGCAACACTAAAGTGGAAGTAGATATTTCATTTAAAAAGAACAAACAGTATTTTTGCAATACAGGGTATTTCACAACTTATCCGACCAATTTCAACCACATATGCACTGTTACGACAGAAGTTGATTTCTCAAAAAAAAAAAAATGTAATAAAAGTCCTACAGAAATTAAGTTATAAATCTGAGTTTCAATAATAAATTGAAAAATAAATATCTGTATTTTGCGTTCATCTTCGTGATATTAGAACACGCATTATTGTAGCAAATGTACCAAACAGCTGACGAAAACAAAATATCAGACATTTTTTGTTTTTAAACAAGGTTTAATCTGTATCATGGGTGACCTGAATGAAGAACGGTCGATTTTTGTGAAGTTAAATAAGAAAGTATTTTGTGAGTTTATGTTTTTAGTTACTTATTAATGAAAATGGCACATGTGTACACTAATAAGGAGTTGGTGAACATTGTTTTAGAGTACGGAGAAGAAGGGCCAAATTCGCGAGCGGCTTCTCGTTTGTATGCACACCGATTTCCGAATAGGCTAATACCACCATCACGAAACATTTAGTTTAATTGTTTTACGTGCAGATTAGTCGCGCAAGCTTGCTTTGCAGTCAATGGAAACAATTTTGAACAGCTTTTATAAGTAAGTGAACTGTTAAACTGTATTATTGTATTATCTCGATTTATGTTGGACTTTTATTACGTTTTTTTTTTTTTGAGAAATCAACTTCTTTCGTAACAGTGCATATGTGGTTAAAATTTGTCGGTTAAGTTGTGTAACACCCTGTATAAGTTAAGGATCTGCAAACATAATTTTTATGAAGGCAATATTATCTTTTACTTCATACGCCAACTGGCGAGGAAGTATTGTAATAACAAAAAAATTGAACTGAAATTGAGGGAAAAACAAACACACTCATTTCGATCGCTCGGATTTTGATGAAATTTTCCCACAAGGTTACTACTATGCCAAGGACGAAAAAGCTGGTTTTTGAAAATCGGTGGCAGCAGACTGGGGGCAAAACATTTTTCAGAGGTCCAGATTTTTTTGTAGGGGTTAAAATTCGAGGGTTGAGGGGCTAGGGGGTTGGAAATATTATATCCTTAGTATTAGTCAAAGACATTCTATTATTAAGAAGCTTCTGATCCCGGTAACAATGGGAAAAATAAATGATAAAAGTCCCATGTATAACGTGCGATGCTGCACCGTCGTGGAATTGGTAACAAACTCCAACTGGTAAATCTGCAGCGGTGTCGATACTGACACACCGGTGCAGGAGAATTTATCTATTTTAGGAATATTTGGGTATTAGGAGTACGTACCACTCTGGCGTTCTGCGATGCTTTTGTAAACGGTGACTTAACTGTTTTTATATATACACACAATTTTTATGAATTTGATGATCATTAAATGTATACCACCCATTCCGCATAACTTTAAATTTGTGCTATTCGGTCTATGATGACACGGACTGAAAAATTGACATAAATGAGAAACACGAACTTGTGTGATCATATCTTCAAGCAACAGAAAACTTGTGAACTGAAGTTCGAATATTATCGCGAGTTTAATCCTTCCATCATTTGGGTAGTCGTAGATTTTTAAAATTGATTCAGTGGCGGCGGAATTACGGACAAAAAATGAAAATCGTTGGAACATAGTATTACAACCTATCAGAGATTCCTGCTTATTTTCAGACATTGTTTGGAGGGGTTTGAAGGTTGGAAGCTGTATGCTGTAAATGGTTGTAAATTGTTGCATATTTGATGTCAGTTCTATTATTAAGCAACTGCTAATTTCAGTGATACTATGCACCTGTTAGACATACGAGGGTTGTTCCAAACATAAGGTTGTTGGCGTCATGTTTGTCGGCTCGCCCACCACCGATCCCAACAACAAGTGCCTATATGCGGCGCTCAGTACCGGCCCGACAGCCATGCGCAAAGGAGCCCTTCATCGCCGTCATCGTCAGGTGCGAAATACGTGCGGTCATTCGATTTTTGCACGCAAAAATGTTACCACTCATAGAAAATCATCGCCAGTTGAGTGAAGTATATTGGGAAACGTGTATAAGCATTCAACATGTCCACAAATGGTGTAGCGAGTCCTTCGATCTCCGAGAAAGTTGTGGCGAAGATTGAGCAAATCTTTCTCGAACTCGGGAATTAGTCGTTGAAATTCTTGAAGCTTCTGGTAAAAAGCTGAGACGGGCAATCCAAACTCGTCGCAGTTATTGCCCATCCTCCTAACAGCCCTGACATAGCACCTAGCGATTTCCATCTGTTTCCGAAATTGAAGGAGCACCTAGGCGGTCGACGGTTGGAGACGGACGAGGAGTTGCAAGAAGCAGTTACAAAGTTTCTAAACGTGCTGGCGGCGAGCTTTCTTGAGGCGGGAGTGCAAAATTGGATTACACGTCTGAAAAAATACGTAGAAGAACATGGCGACTATGTAGAAAAATAGCTTAAAGATCAACGTTTCCAATGGTAAATTCGTTTTTTCAAAGAAAAAATTCCTTGTGCCTGAAAAAATGTGGGAACCTTATTTTTGAAATAACCCTAGTTATAAGTCATACATACTTTTTCTACATCTGCCATCTGAATAGAAATATGACAGATTTACTTTATATAGTTTGATATGTAGAGGTCGAAGATTCATCGTACCTAATCACGATTCGATTTCGCCTTTTAACACGACTCTACTAATCCCTTCTCTTTGAAACCTCCAACGAAGGCGTAGGAAATATAGTGTCCATCTACTTGACGCCATTTTTTTATTTCAAACTTACCAACGACGGTCTGATTGTGGAAAGGCACTGCAGCCAAAGAACATTTTTCAATGAAGTCCGAACAAGCATGTTTCATGAGTTCTCCACCCAAACCTCTGAAGTACATTCTTTCTCTATACCAAGGTATCAACGATCTGGTTTTATCCAACAACGTTTCCGTCACTTTATCCAGGTAGTTCGTTTTCGAAAGTGCGTGTATGACTTCGCCTATAGCTATCGTAGCACCATGTCTGCTATTAAGATCGATGGAGGTGGTCTTTTCGAACAAGTTGGGTAGCGCAGTTTCGATCATGTAATCTAGAGCCTAGAAAAACATGTGATTTTAAATAAGAATAAAACAAGCAACGAAATATGAGAAGGTTGGTCGCTATTGTCTGACTCCCTTGCAGATACGTATTGACAATAAACCATCTTAGTAGGCTAGTTTAGAGACTAATTAGTCCAAGGAGTATCCTCGCACTTGATTGGAAAAATACTTTGTTTTTTTGTCATAATCTTGTTAAAAAAGGACTCCTTTCAATGAATCTGCATGTTTCCAGGCCCTAAAATGCGTCAAAAATCGTTTGAACATTTCTCCTGCTTGGAAGACTGTATATCTAATCAAGGTCAGGAGAATTTTCTATAAAGCTGGTGCGTCAAGAATCAACTCCGTCTTAATATAAGTAAATATCGACTAGGAAAACCAACGCTTTGTTGTAAAATTACACAATGGATAAATCTTTTCTTGAGCGTAACAAAGATTCAGGAATCTACAGGGTTTCCTAATAGGGAAATAGGATTTTGATGTGGAGGTATGTTAAATATAAAATGTATGCCAATAACCCGGCAACAATTAATCGATCAAACGAACTTACCTTAAGTGAAGTTCGATCGTAATTATACGAGGGTCCAGTCCGAAGACATCACTTTGTTTATTTACTATGTAGTCCGGCCCTGGAGTACTAGCCGCACACCAAGTTAAAAGACAAGAGATCCCCGCTCCCGTCCCGTCGCGCCGCGGTCTTGCACGTTGAGTCATTTGTTAAAAGAAATAGTACTTGCTCGCAACTTGGGAGGGTTGAAAAAAAAGGGGTGGGAGTGATGTCTTCGGACTGGACCCTCGTATAATTACGATCGAACTTCACTTAAGGTAAGTTCGTTTGATCGATTAATTATACTTTAGGTCCAGTCCAAAGACATCACTTTGTTCATTTACTATGTAGATGTTTAAAGATAGAACACAGTTGCGAGCGATCTGATGGTGTTATAAAGTGGAATCAAAGTGTTCAGAAACAACAAAACCATATATTTAGTATTCCTATGTAACAAACATAAAATAAATTCTCAAATTGTAACCTAAAGAACGTTGATTTGAGAGACAACTGAAACACAGGAAATATGTAACAAACTCTTAAGAGTATTAGAACATAACTAATCAGACCAATTTTATATCTAGGATTGCATTTGCAAACTCATTGTTTGGTTGTAGAGGACGATTATAAAATCTTGCAAACGTGGAACGTTGCGTCCAACCAACTGTTTTACATATATTATCTACGGAAACGCCTTTTCTTAACGCCGCAGAAGTCTCCGCATGCCTTACTGGATGAGGCGTAAAAAGTGTTGTGCCTACTCCTGCAGAGGCAAGGGTCTGTTTTATCCATCTGCTTAAAGTGTCTTTAGACGCCCTCCCATGAGGTTTTTCCCATGTCACAAATAGGAAATCGTTATTGGGTTCTCTTAAAGAAGCCGTTCTTTCAATGTATTCTTTCAGGATTGTGGCCACGCAAAGAAAGGGGTTTTGTTGAAAAATCGGGATGTGCAGAGTGGGTTGAGGTTTTCCAACTCTACTGGTTTTAATTGGATCCGATATATTAATAGTTGATTCACTGTGACCATGGATTATATTTGAGAGACGTATAAGAGGTCTGGAGTCTTTCTCCTGTTATCAAGGCTTATAACGTCGTTAATTTCGGTGACAGAGTTTGAAGACTAAGCGGTGATGATAACTTCTCTAAATAATTTAGAAGGGGTATAGGGTCCCAGGTGGCAGTATACTTTGGTCGTGAAGGCCGTAAGCGAGAGATGACTTTTTTGAAGCGTTTAATTATCGGATTAGAGGCTAAATCCTTTGAGCAAATTAATGGAAGGGCAGAGGTATGGGAGTTAAAAGTACCATACGTAAGGTTTTGATTATTTGTCAATTCTTGCAAGAATGACACCACTTCTTTGATTGTGGGATTAAAAAGCGAAATGTCATTACTGAAGCAATAACCCCACCATAATTTATACGAACTGTTATATTGTTGTAATGTGGATCTGGAGACTGAAGAAATAATTGTAGCTATGGCCGATTCAGGAACATCTCTACTCAAAAAAGCCTGCCTGATAACTTCGCTGCCACCAGGGTAAGGGTTTTCGACAGTGGATGTAACCTAAAAACCGGAGAAGAGAGTAATTTAGGTGAATGGTGAAAATATATTTCTTGGTTGATCATTAGCTTACGGAAAAGTGGGTACCATGGTTGCGAAGGCCACCAAGGTACCACTAAGATTCCGACAGCCTTATCCTGAATGATTTTTTGTAGAGTTCGAAGAATTAATGTGAATGGGGGAATTGCGTAAAAATAAAATCTATTCCAGGGAATCGTAAACGCGTCAATATATGCAGATCCTGGATCTCTACGCCAGGAGACATACAACTTGCATTTAGCATTTGTATGGGAAGCGAAAAGATCAATTTCTAGGTTTCCGAAAACGGTGGTTAACCGGTCGAAGGCGGTTTGACATAACGACCATTCCGTTTCAAAATTCGAACTCCTGGACTCGGTGTCTGCTATAACATTATCCTTCGAAGGGATGTATAAAGCGAAGAGCCAGAGGTTCCTTTGCTCACACCATTGCCAAATTTGTTTTGACAATGAACAGAGGCCTGGGAATTGAACACTCCCCATTCTGTTGATGTATGAAACAGCTGTCGTGTTGTCACATCTAATTAGAATATTGCGGTTTTTCAAATTTTTGGCATAGCACTGAATCCCGTACAAAATAGCCCATAACTCCAAATTATTTATATGTAACCGTTTTTGAGAGTCAGACCAGAATCCATGGGTTCTGTCATGGCCACAACAAGCACCCCATCCTGTAAGTGATGCGTCGGTAAAAATTGTTATATGAAAGGAATCATACCTGATGTCGTTGAAGGCTTTTGAAATATGATTTGTCCACCAAAAAATATCTGGCTTTATGCTTTCAGGGATAGGCATACCTGCATTATAATTTCCATTATTTCTTTCTAAAGCTAGAAATTTTTCTCTTTCTAGTGTTTTGCAATAAAGAAACCCGTATTTTACACCGGGACAGGCAGACACTAAAAACACCAATAAACCTTGCCCAGTCACGAACTTTACATGTCTGTCGATTCATATAATATGAGGCTAACCTGATTATGTGATTTTTCTTTTCGTCAGGAAGTTCTATTTTTAAATGGACACTATCTATCGTAAAGCCTAGAAATTTTATGTAAGTGGTAGGTACTAGGATGCTTTTGTTTTTATTGATTATAAGACCTAACGATTTTAAAAGACAAGTGGTTGTGTTGACATGTTTGAGACAGGATTCATAAGAATTCCACATATTCATTTAATTGTTTTAGATTTAAAATAAACCTTTTTCCACCGCTTATTTTGCCTGCTAGGAAACATGGAGAGATAAATTGTTCGGGCCTTGACTCAGATTTGAGTATGGCTCCGGACCTTAACAAATCGTTTATAGCTAATCTTACTAGCGATGTTTCTCTGTAGGGGAAAAATTATCTTTAACCAAGTGGTGGCATGATGGAAGGTTGTCTTTAAAGGGAATCCTATAACCTTGAATCCAGGATAAGACTGTCAAATTTGAGGTTAGTTTGGACCAAGAGTCCAAATAAAACTGTAAACGGCCAGCAAACGGAACTTGTTTTACCTTCAGCGTTTCCTGGTTTGCTGTTGTCTGTTCCGAGGAAACTGTGTCGAGGAATGGCCCTTGTATTGCCTCACCTCCCTCTTGCGGTAAGACGGGCGATACCTGTTTAAAGGTCCTGCATTCTTGGACGAGCTGCCCCCCCTTCTTTCGGAATGATTGGAGGCCCGCGCTGATTGAGAGCTAGTGCGTGAGGGGATAGAAGGCAAACGTAAGTCCTGTCCTGACTTTTCCAAAGATTTCAAATTTTTTGCTCGTTCACCTAAATCTGGCCCAAACAAAAATTCACCAGGTATGGTATTTTCAGTCAGTTCTTTAACTGATTTGTTAAGTACTGGGCTAATTAAATATTTCCTTGTTTTCGAAATATCGTGGAAAAGAGCCGCCAATATTCGTGCAGAATCTGTCAAATTTGATAAGACTTTTTCCCTGATGTCTTTAGGGATGCTGGATTCGTCTTCCAAGATAACGTTGAGTGCTTTTCCCAGGGCGGTTAGTCCGTTACCAATGTGCAATTGGTACCCGGAGTGAGTGGAATCCCTAGTTAAATGTGTGGATGAAAGAATAGCTTTCACTTCGGGATTTACTTTTGGAGGACGTAATAAAGCGCAATTAGATGGCACATTTTGTTTTTCGCTAAGGATAGAAATATCTTCGACGGATAGCCCGTTTGCCAAAATATGGGACCACCTGGAGGCTAGGGCACCGTGAAGTTTAAAACTAGACGTATTAACCTTTTCAGGATCGGCACCCAGAATATTTAATGTGTCCTCTGATAATGGCATACAATCGGCATCGTCAAATATCAAAACATTGTCCATACTGTTTTGCGTTGTTGGCGCCGCTCCCAAATCTGGCCCTGTCAGTACCTGAGCTTCCGGCCCGCACGGGGAACGACCAGCCAGGCCTACCTGACGCTGTGCATTATCAGCTGGGCTGGATGAATTCTGTTTTTTCTCACATATTCCCGTCTCTCTCTACGTCGCCTCGACACGCTCGGTGATCGACTACGACTGATGCTACTCCGCGAACGGGACCTTGAACGTCTACGGCTCAGCCGAGAACGCCTAAAGTAATGGGGCGAATCGGCACGAGACCTCGACCTGCTGCTTCTACCCTCAAGTTCCTGGTGTAAAATTTCCCTGATAAGATTCCTCAAGGAAGTGGGAGAATTAACCTCCAAATCCCCGTCCCTGCCGCCAGGTTTTTCTGTTAAGTATATATTATATTATATATAACGTGCTACTAGATGAGCAACAAAACAACCCATTGTTGTACATACTTACCAACCTACTCACCAAGCACTAAACCGATTTGAAAAGGAATCGTGTATTTTACGTGTTTCCTAACGCACAAACAAGCCGGGCGACCGTACGGCTGTAACACCAAAAACCGAATGACTCAACGTGCAAGACCGCGGCGTGACGGGACGGGAGCGGGGATCTCTTGTCTTTTAACTTGGTGTGCGGCTCTTACTCCAGGGCCGGACTACATAGTAAATGAACAAAGTGGTGTCTTCGGACTGGACCTAAAGTATAATTCAAGACCTTGAACGCAACATTCAATTAAATATAGTGGTCATACCAGTCGAAATGCTGCACAGAGTCATCGAAAGTTTGTGTGTCCGGATCAACCAGTGCAACACAGCCATTTGAACGTTGTATTGTTTAAATCACAAATGGTATAAAATATACCATCAAATAAAGCCACTGAGTATGCAAATGGATCATATTTTAGTTGTTTTATTTCAATTTCAAATCCTATCGTTCTTACTGGGAAACCCCTTATTTCGATCAACAGCTAACTTTCAATGAACATATTAATCAAACTATTACAAGCGCTTCCAAAACCTATAGCTTTGTTGTTGTTGTTGATAGATTGTCACATAATACTTTCACAAATACAGTTTCTGGTACCACGACTAACATCTAGATAAAATGATCTTTTTTTATGTCAGAAGCTGAAATAAAGCTACTGTCGGAATCGTCAGTTAACGTGATGTGTGTGAATGCTAATAAAATAGCCGACGTATGCGATATATTTTTTTGTAGCTTAGGCGAATTGAAATTCTAACTGCGTGCTCATTTTTAATTTACTTACCCCTCTTTCTGTTGAAATATAGCTATATTTTTTGTATTGATTTACGAAATTTGTAATTGCTTTTTTACAAAATATCTCATGGTTATTTTTTTTATAGTAAATTGCTCTGTCAATGGTGTTAAACTGTTAGGCAATAAAGGCTTATTATTATTATTATCTCTCTTGTCTCTCTCGCGCTCACACAGGATATAGATTAAGCGCGCGCTTGATTGATAATTAACAAACAAACATTTACAGTAACAATACTTCTTAAAATACTTTGGAATTTTATCTTTCACCTTTTCAAATATTAAATCGATTTTATCCTGAAAATTATCAACATTATCAAAAAGACCATAAGAGTCTTTTTTCATCAGTGTGGCCCAAAAAACGGAAAAACACGTTGACCAAAGCAAAGAAAACCGTTTCTTGAACTTTGAAAAGAAATGTTTAAGCAATTTTTAACGCAACTGACCACATGCAGATCTCATTAAAAAGACAAATTTTTCAATAACTATACAAAAAAATAGAATAAAACTGTTATTGCAATGATACAAAATAGTTTTTGGACTAAATAAGATTACATTTTAGACTACAATGTACAAAATGGCTTGTGTAAGACGTTTAAATAAAAAAAGTCGTTAGCACTTCACACAAAAAATGAGAAAACTTCTTAAAATTAATTTCAACTTACAGTGGCTGTCAAGTTATGCAATGCCTTAGCGGTCAGTTCTCGAATAGCAGTATCCCAATGATCAACTTTTCTGTCAAGTAGGTGCTGAATAAGAGAAGTTCTGTACTCTTCGAACTGTGCAATATATACGCTGATGTTCAGATATGCGTTTGCTCTAACGCTAACTGAGAAAAAATCGGCAGTCGTCAAGATATCAATACCATGAGGGAAATTTCCTTGTCTGCCTACATTTTCCTGGAAGGCGGCTGAAGCAGCTCGTCTACAGTTAACCTATAACAAAAAAAAAACAGCGCATGACATACCTTGGTGGAGAATAAGGCCACATTATGTCACTCCCTCCTATGCGGCTTACGACATAAAAGTGCTCGGCCAAAAATGCTCCTCTTCACCGTTGTACATTTATAATGTTTCAGTACTAACTCTGTTATTAGTCCACTCATATTAGCAAATTTCCCTGGAATAATTGTAAAGTCTGTTTTTATTAATGCAAGTTGCTCAAGGGGGTATTTAAAACATGGACGCATAAAATGGGGACACCAATTTTTGTGGGAAAACTTTTTATTCTACAACAAAGAATGAGAAAGCGCGTGTTTTGGGATTCAATCGAAAATGTTGGCAGGAATGAAAAAAATCTTCAACTAATATTTTTAGGTATTTATGAGGCCTACAGATTGAGACCACACATAAAATATCCGACTAATAGTAAAAAAGTTATAGCCGAAAACCCAGGCAAAATGCAGGTTTCGGCACTCGCTGCTAATGCGATGATAATTTTACGCAGCTACTTGAAACTCTTCAAATCCGTAGGCTTCATACTTTTAAGTAACCACAGCAAAATTGGAATCGATTGATCAAGTAGTCTGAGAATTTCTAATTGTTTATTCCATACACCTGTCTTCCGGCCATCACTACTAGTTTACTGAGCAATATACAGGGTTCATTCAAAGGGCATTTTATATCAAAATACAGTCGTTCACCTTGTCGACATAAATCACAAACCATTCCGAAAAACGGGTTACGTTTTTTTCTTCTAAACAAATTCAAACATTTCGTATTTGTTAGTAATTGAACAGATTCGCTACGATATTCGAAAAACATACGTTATTATACACATTTTAAAGTAAGTAATATATATAAGCAAACAGAACATTGTTTTTCATTTTAGATCACGATATAATCATAAAAAGTCTAACAATAATTTATTTGTATAACAATACATATCAGCATAAATCATTATTAAATATGACAATAATGATTCTTCGTTTTCATCGTCATCATCGTCTTCTTCTTTTCTTTGGTACGCAGCAACTATCGGAACCTCAGAGGCCCGGTTTTTCAATCGCAAGTCAACTTTTTAGTAAATTAACTATCGCCAGGAAGTTAACTTGTGGTTACTTGCAGATGCGTTTTTCAAGTATTTTGACAGCGTCAGTTAACTTACCAGAAGTTCAACATATATTTATGTTACAGCCCTGTATCTGCGGTTCTTAGATATCGTGTTCTATGCGTTTTGTGGGCTCGGCATCTATGTAATAGAGAGCAATACAAGTGGCACAGTTACGTGGAAACAGGAAAGTTCAGTATGGCAGAGCATCGAACAAGAATTCCAAGCCGTAACAGGGTGCCACCGAGAGGCAAAAACGAGATACATATTTCAGTTTAAAGAAAAAACAAAAAGCAAATTTGCGACAAACAAAAACAATATAATCAAGACAGGGAGAGGTTCATGCCAATTGCAAGCATTCGATCTGATTGATACACAATTACAAGAAATAATGGGACCACAATTAGAAGGTTTGACAAACAATTATGATGATGACTTTAGAAGCCAAGAAGAGGTGGTTACTGAACATGGTAAGTCTCATGGCTGTTTATTGAAGCATTTTTGTAAATATTCATTTTTTAGTTCATGATGCAAATTACTGTGATGAGAGTGAAGTGGTTTTCAATAATGGGAAATGCAGCGCCTATACTCCTCAACAACTGAAGAGGCCCAAAACTACAAAGCTATCATGTACGAAAACGGTACAAAATAAAAAATATATTTCTGTTAACTATCTACTAATGGAAGAAAAGCTGAATTTTTTGAAACTACAAAAAGAAAAATTCATCGAAGAACAAAATAAAAAAATGGAAATATATAAAAAAAGGTTCAGCTGTTAGATTTACAGATCAGTGCATTGGATAAGTAGAAAACAAAGGATTTATTTTGTTAATTTCTGGAATATTTTCACTTTCACTAATTTTTTTTTTGTATTTCGCATTTTTGAGGATAATATGTTATAATAATATAATAAACTGTTTTCAGAAAATCGTGTTTATTTTCATTCTGTAGTTACAATAAATAGGGGATAATTCATATGTCAATTAGATGAGAGCTATGGCGAAAACTGTAGGTGTCCAAAAAGATCGACTGAGTGCCCATTTTGAGGCTTGGGACATCTATTTTCAAATGCCGTGTGCGCCTTTTTTGGGCACGACTCTTATCCACTTGCCATGGATTATCACAGATCTTATACTAAACAACTTTCATCTAGTATCGAGTCATTCACTGAGCATCATTGAATGTATTGAATCGATTTACAAATTTGCAAAATAATTATTAATAAGGTAAGTTCTAACATTGTTGATTGCATTTTGTGGCAACCTAATATTTACAGGATCTGTCTTCACATTATCTACATGAACCATGTTAATAGCATTTTCCTGTTCAGGACTAATAGGGGGCATAGCTTCATTATTAGGACACGCAATATTATATAGCACTGCTGTTCCTAGAGTAACTGCTTAAGCTGTATCTACATGAACTTTGAAACCCATAGCTAGTCAGGGAAATCTTCTTTTCCAAACTTCATAGCTTCTCTCTATAACATTGCGACTTCGAATGATAGATTCATTGCATAATTCTTCAGCAGGAGTTGTAGTTGTATTTAATGGTGTCATCAAATGGCGCTTAATAGGATAACCTTTGTCACCAGCCAACAAAGAGTTTCCAAAGTGACCTGATTCAAATTGCCTGCAGCGCTGAGAATTTCCGAAAATGTATGAATCTGCGTCAGAAACAGTTCAGTGAAAAAAACTGCTTTCGATTTCTGAAGAGCTCTGCATGGCTTCCTCCGGGAGAAACACTTTTTATATGCGTGCAGTCAATTGCACCTATGCATCGAGGAAACCTAGCTATGTTATTTATGAAAGGTTTGCTTTGCCCTGGCAAGAGCCTCAAGAGTGCCCGGCCTTTTTATGTAATTACTTCTTTTACTCGTTAGTACTTTTAAGAATCTTCGGACTGTTTTGGATGCAGTTGATTTGGAAACTGTACAGCAACAGTTAAAAAACTTCCATTTCGCAGTGCTAACAACAGCTGCTGTTGGGGCGTTAAGCAGTTATTCCTGGAATGACAAAGTCATGTAAAAATATGGAAATAAACAATAATATATACATCTACCTGCTTGTAGGATATACTAAATCTTCATAGACTTCGTCCAGGGGAGTTTCTACAGTCCTTTTTGTAAGACGAAAACTTGCGGTTTAAATATATAAAACCTTACTTTTGGAATTACCCTCGTACTCATTTGCATGGGAAGTACCCAGTTAATCTATATGACACCCAGTTTTTTATAAACTATAAGATGAATCAGAGATATACTATGAGGATAGCACCAACATATCAGTCATAACTTTTTCCAGGAGTTCTCTCCGAATTGATAAGATTAAGCTAATTTGAGTTTTACTATAGCGATTGTTGGGATTTTCGTATCATCATGAAAATCAAAAACATTCAAGCATAGCGTTTAAGCAACGATACATAACTTCCAGACTTGTCTTGGCTTTGTTCTCAAGAAGTTAAGATTTTCTTTATCGCAAAGCTAAATGGGAAACACGAATGAAGGAGAGTCGGCCATGGGAAATACCAATACAGCAGAAGGAGGCAAGACCAATAAAGAAAATATCAATAGGGAAAATACAAATAAGGAAAGTACCAATACGGAAAATACCAATGAGGAAAATACTAATAAGAAAAATACCTATAAGGGAAATACCAATACAGGAATGTTTTCAAAACATATTTCATTACACTTCCCTCCATACAATGCTGAAAATCCAGCATTGTGGTTTCGACAAATCGAAAGTTCTTTCTATTGCTCTGATATTAAGGACGAGATCATGAAGTAAGTATACTATATACAGTAAACTCATTCAATGGGGTATTCTCTGCATAAAACATTTTTAGTAGCTAAAACCTAAGGTGTCTACAAAAGCATTCAGTTGAACTTAAGGAGATTGGTTTCAGAGAAAGAAATGTAATATTTATAGTAATGCAATAGTTACTTTGGTAACATACATCTTTTATTCAACATTTTAATGCAACAATAAATACTTATCAAATGTGTGATCAGAATCACAATAAATGATACGTGAAATAAGAGTGCGGTCCGACAAGTACTTAAACGAAAATTTTGGGAAAGTGGCGATTTATTTCTCAACAGTCTCCTTTTAGGTCGATATTCTTGACCCAGAGATGCTTCAACTTCTTTAACCCATCTGAAAAATACGTTTTCTGGAGGTCTGCAAAGTAGGCCTCCTCATTCGATTCAAATTTCTGCCAGGAGAGTGACTTTTTCAAGTTTGGAAACAAAAAGAAGTCGCACGGGTCCAAATCTGGATAATACAGTGGATGTGGCAGTATTTCGTAGAATAATTCCACCAATTTGGACGATGTGACGGCGGAGGTGTGAGCCGGTGAGTTGTCAGGGTGAAAGAGCACTTTTTTCTTCGACCAATGGGGCCGTTTTCTCTGCAATTTGGCGTGGAATCGGCCCAATAAGTCGGCATAGTAGAGTCCTGTGACCGATTTTCCCTGCAGGTTGTCGATGTAGATCACACCTTGTGAATCCCATAAAACGGTGGCCATCACCTTTCCGGCCGCTAGGACAGTATTCGCCTTCTTCGGAGCACGTTCGCCGAGTCAGGTCCACTGTTTCGACTATTCCGTGGTTGCGCTTGATGTCTGGAGTGAACGAACGCGGCACCATCGCACAAACGGCTTTATCATGCCCAATATTTCATGCAGGATATCACCCACGCCGTCTTTGTAGATGTCGACTGTCTCAGCTATCTTGCGCATCTTCCATCGGTGGTCTGTCAATACTAGATTGTGGATTTTTGTCCGTGGTATATCCGTTTATGGTTCGCCTGGGCGTGGCTTATCAAAATCCGACGTGCGACCACGTTGAAACTCGTTAAACCAATTTCTGACGGTCGCATCGAAGGAGAAGAGTCACCGTACACAGCACCCAAGTGCTCTTCAATTTCGCTGTGCGATTTCCTTTCCAAAAACAATAATCGAATCACCGACCGATATTGCTCTATTTCCATTTTTCTAAAATCCGCGGACACGCCCGCTTCCACACGCGGTCAAAACAAAACTACGCGACCGATCCATCTGAAATTGACAGTAGCCGTCTACGACAATGTACTACACGATAGTAAATTTCTCTTACGATAGTAGCGCGATCGGGCGGTGAGGATAAGTACTTATCAAACCGCTCCCGTATCTCACAGCCTGTGTGACATATCTCAACATATTCTAACCTTATAACTATTCATTCACTGTATTACACTTGAAGTAAAACAAATGTCGAAAATCCTATTAAGCCGTTTGGGCGGTAGCCCTCTAGATATGTTAAAGATATTCTCCGGGATAAAAAGTAACCTAAGTGCTATTTCAGACTATAATTTATCTCTGTACCAAATTTCATTAAGATCCGTTGAGTCATTTTCGCATGATTGAAACAATCACATTTTCTCATTCATGATACTAGTAGGGAGTGAGGATGATCACAATTTGAGGAACGATTAAATAACGAGAAACTATGGGATATGAAGTTTTTAAGTATATCTGCAAAAGTGACTCGTCAGCTGTCAAAGTTGAATGTTTTTTCGGACAAAATATCCCGTAGCTCCAGAAGTCGCGATCCAAAGCATATAGTATGCTGTATCAAACTTGTTGCTTTAAGAGGTCCTTCAAAATATTCTAAAACGCACAGGGAATTCCATTCAAAAAATCCACGCGTCTATTGCCACGTATCTACATAACAAAATTATTCAAAAATGTTTTATAAAGCCTTAAAATCAATGCGTATCCCTATACAAAAATGCCGATATCCCTATACATTTAAAGAACCCTACTTAATAATTATTACTGTTCCATTTCCAATAACGCCATTTGTTCATGCACAGGGAAGATTTAACATTATGAAAAGAATCGCTGTTCTAGTGATAGATTCAGGTTTAAACCAATCGACATGAGTGATTTAAAATCAATGTTCGACTCTCTGAAATCAAATGCCTTGGGAAGTGATGGTGTGTCACTTCGAATGCTAAAACTATGCTTTTTGTGATTTCCGGTCATATTTTACGCAACATAAATGCCTGCTTAGATTAAGGGATTAATTCCAGAATCATGGAAAGAAGGATTAATGTTACCTCTAGCTATAATAAATGAACCAACATTATATTATGATTTAAGAACAATTTGGATTTTACCTGTCCTGTCCAAATTATTAGAAAAAGCAATGTACGCCAAAACGTACGATTATATGTCTAAACATAAATGTTTGCCTCCCAAACAATGCTGTTATCGAAAAGGACAAAACACTGCAGGTGCTCCAATAGGGACAACCGATAACATTGTTAGGGCCTGGGACCCAGAGATTATCACATCGTTAGTTTTTCTTGACTTCTCTAAGGCATTCTATGCCAGAAATCATCGTCTTCTAGTAGCCAAGTGTAAATTTTGTTTTTTGTTATTCTTTCTCTATTGAGATGGTTTTGTTTCCAAAGTTCCTCATTTCCTCCGAGTGCCCCAAGGGTCAGAACTTGGGCCACTCCTATTCATTTTGTATATTTCTGATCTGCATACAGCTGTGAAATATTGTAATATCCAATTCTTTGCTGATGATTCACATATCTACAGTCATTTTTATAATCACAAGGTTCAAACTGCCGAATCTGAGATAAATGAAGATATAAAATCTATTAGTATGTATACAAAGAATCATAACCTTCAGTTGAACCCTTTAAAATCGAAAGTCGTCAATTTTTCACCAAAACTGTTTGGAAGCCATGCCAAAAAAATTTAAAGTAAACTTAAATGGTGAGACTATAGAAGTGAGTAAGCTAAAAACTTGGGTGCAACTTTATAGGACTGACAATTACGTCTTAATATACAACTAACAAAATGTGTGTGAATCTTTGGTAATGACCAATATTAGTTATTGCGATTTAGTTTATTTTCCATTTCTCTACTCAATATCTATCACGCGTCTCCAGAAAATCCGAAATTCATGTTTTAGGTTGGTCAGTAATTTGAAAAAATATGATCACATAAACTCTTTTTTCAAAAACATGGAGTTGGTGAGAGTAAAAGAACTGCGTGAGCTACACTTACTTACTTACACCCACAGACTTTTGCTCTCATCCATTCCGCGACTTTTGAAAAATAAGCTGATATCTAGAAGCAATATTCATTCTAGGAACATTCAATCCACGGAAATACCTACAAAGCCCCTTCACATGACATCATTGCTTCGTAAAGGATTCACCTACAACGCAGTTATTTTTTACAATGATATACCTCGCGCCACAAAATTAGTATCATATATGACGAATTTAAACAACATATGAAGTAATTTATTTTGAATAGAAAAACATATAAATCAATCGCTAACATTTATCTGCTAAATAGAGACGATTTATTATTATTATGAATCATCAGCATATTGTCCACTAACAATGGAGCTCTCAACCAATTACACACTAAACTAAACACTCACCATGTATATGATTTAATTAGTATCAAAAAATAGACAAAAGCATACGATTCTCAATAATGGTGTTCTTGTTTAGGTACCACATCCTTGTCAGTAGACTGGAGCCATGTGTGGTTGAGCTAATGCAAGAATTTCTATTAACTACTAGTGGTGACATAGGATTAACCAACCAATATAACCAGATGAAATCTAAGATTATCGGTCTCCAAAAAACTAAAAATGAATTAGATAAGCAACAAATTGGAGATCGTACGCCTTCAGAGTTCTTGAGACACCTCCAGCACATTGCTAGCAAAAACCCGCTATTTCCCATGCATTTGATCAAGGCCATTTGGGTAGCAAGTGTGGGCCCATATGTCAAAAACGTTTTGCTCTCCGATCCAAACGCGGCATTTGAGAAATTGGGATTCATAGCTGATGTATTGTATGCGGAAGCTCAGAGGAAGGCTCAACAGGAAGCGAAGAAATCTCGCCAAGAAACAAAGAAACTTCAAGATGAAATACACTGCAGTTGTTGTAGAGGAAATAAAGAGGTGACCTTGAAAATCGAGTGTGTCAAGTTGTGTGAGGTAATAGATAATATGGATTTGAAAAAACCCGAGACTCGTGACAATTTTTCACAAACCACGTTAATTTAAAATATGTTAACCATATAATGTATAAAACTACTGACGTATAAAAAACAAATACATATTATATTACTTTATCTTCCTATTGATCTGTAATTGTACACAGGGTGTGGCAAAAGTATCGTATCTGCTCGATCACTCTTTGGGACTACATTTCAGAGGCAAATACTTCCTTAGCTATCAGATGGTGACACTGGAATCGATCTTGACCTTGAAGGTCATGTGGAGGTTTACTTCAAAATTTTAAATGTAAACCCATATTCTTGACCCCGGTCATAAAACACACGAAAAAGTTTACGTTCGCATATGACCTTGAATTACTTCCATACAACTTTTATTTGAAACATTTTCCATTAAAATATTAAAATGCATTCCAGAAGAGTTATCGATACTCAGCATTAGTGGTAATTTGACCTTGAGGATCAATCAAGACCAAATATGAGAATCACTCAAGGTCATGCTTGAACGTAAAATTGTCCACTCATTTCATTACCGGAATCAAAAGTAGACGTTTACATTTGTAATTTCAAAGGTGCCCTTCAAATAACCGTCTAGGTCAAAATCAAGGCCGAATCGAAGGTCACCGACCGATAGCTGAGAGATCATCCTACAACTCTTATCTGAAGCGTTTTCCCCTAAAATGTATTCACGAAGAGTTAACGAGTTAACAAGTTATTTTAAATGCCAATAATAAATAGACTCAAACGGGTATTACATATCTTGGAAAGTCACATTTTGTCGTTTTTTACATTTCGTAGGTTTTTTGTGATATATCGTAGGTTTTTGTACAAGATGTTAACTTAGCACAAGCTGCTGTATACTTGTTGTGAACTCGTTTTCTAGCTGTACGTGTTGCATAAACGTCAGCGAACAGGGATCATAGCGTGCAAACGTGGAATGAACTATTTGCACTCTAAAAACTTCCTAGTGTGAAAGATGACATTTCGTCGGATTTTTCGGAAGTTTTTTAGGTTTTTTACATAATACCCCTGACGGACTTGATGCATCAGGTATTCAGCGCTATGGCGTGGAACAGGTTATCTACCACCGTTCTACTGGGCCTCTCAGCCCTGGATCTCTAGCCAATTGACATAATTCTGTGTATTTCCTTAGATTTTGGGACTGTTGTGAATCTTGCGGATTTCGTAAATTTTATGACGTTTCTGTGATACTTGGGAATTTTGGGGACTATCAAGGTGTAGACACATACATTTTGTCCATTCGGGGTCCCTCATAAACCGCGCTTCAGAGACACCTTGAGTTCCGGAGCTCTAAGCACAGTGCATCATTTTAGACACGCATCTGCTTGTTTATATTTTGTCAAATGGCTAGATGAATAGAAGGGTAAGAGGTGCGAGCCCTGGGGACATTCGGCACCACCAACTAACGCTAAATACATGGCGCATACATTAAGTCCGCGTCTATTTATTATCGGTATTTCCATTAGCTTGAATATTCGCGTATTTTTCGGTCTGTATATAACCATCCGCGCACGGGAAAATTCAACAATTCACAACCGACTGAGAAGCAAACAAGTAAAACTCAACCCAATAATAATATTGCTAAGTCTGCTTATCTGACTGAAAATCAGTGGGAAATGTTTATTATTTACGTCTTTAAACAGTCTTGTTTGTTTTCGAATGACGTTGCATATATGTGGCGATTCCACCGACGATTCAAGCATTCGATGCTAATTACAACTAGTACAAATAAACTAGTTAGATCACGTCTCTACATTGAAGATATCGTAACAAAATGAAGTTCTCTTGCTCATTTCTGGGAGCAAAATATAGAGTTTTTAGTGCAACAAAAATAACGAATCGTTACGCCTTCTGATAGGTTATTTTTGTCAGCAACGGCAAATAACAAATGTCGACGAAAAAAGAGTTTTTATGACCACTAAAGTGAACCATGGTAATTTGATAGTACTGACTACTGTCAGGTTGCTTAATTTTATTCCGATTTTGACGTAAAGCTGACCCAAAAAATTTCAAAACTTTCTTCAACTTTTTTTGTGTCCAAATCGCACAAGAAATGAATACGTTTAGAACCATTGAATCACAGAAGGAAAAGTGGTGACCACAAAACCAGCAGAATTACAATAAAACGCTACCTTGCCTCATTGCATACGGGGTGTTTCAAATTGGACCCTCATCATTGGGATCTCGGAAACTGTAAGAGATACGAAGTCGCTTAAATGAGGCAAAGTTGCTCATTTAGGTTATCAACAAAATGGCGCTTAGAAATATTCGAAATTCAAAGTACTTCCGGAGAGTCGGAAAAAACTGAATTTTCCCAAAATCGTTCTAATTTTCTCCTGACTTTATTTGAAACTTGCACATTAACATTGTCACTTTTTCTTCTCTACAAGATGACATAATTAGAATTCCAATATGACGTTTCAACTCTTGTCCTCCAGCATCAACTTTTTTTTTCTTACGGACGCCATACTTAATTTTTGGGCAGATGAATAGAGTTTTAATTCTGATTCCAAAAATGTATAATGCGTTATGACGCATTATACATTTTGTCCAATGTCTAAAATTCAAATACAGCAGTCCTAAATTCAGTGATGTTTTTCCTCAGTTGGCCATGAATATGTTGTTGGATAAAAATTATAAGGAAATAAAAGGTATGGTGAAACCTCAACACAACATGAACATTTTATTCGTGGTAATAACAATATGTAATAATCATAAATAAGCAAAGGTAAATCATAGTAGATGATTAAAATGTCCGTTATTTCGTAGGCAAAGGCGGACTTGTACATTGTTCACTGCTCGGTTTAGTTGCTATGTTCAATTTGAAATCTGGTCTGATATACGAAACAGATGAAATCTGATACTTTCAAGGCCTATCTAGGAAATTCTGTTTTTCTGGAATAACTAAGGTTTGACAATGTCAATGTTTGACGCATTATACATTATACATTTTTGGAATCAGAATTAAAAACTCGATTCATCCGCGCAAAAATCAAGTATGGCGTGCATAAGAAAACAAAAGTTGATGCTGGAGGACAAGAGACGGATCAAAAGTGACAATGTTAATGTGCAAGTTATTTTGAAAGCCCACAACAAATAAAGTCAGGAAAAAATTAAAACGATTTTGGGAAATTTCGGTTTTTCCCGTGTCTCTCCGGACGTACTTTAACGGTTTCAGGCAACAGCGCTGAATAAGAAAAAATAACAAACGAAATAAGCAGAGTATTTCGTTATTACCTTCAGCAAAACAAAAGCTAAAAGCACTAAAAACGTAAATAAAAACTCTCTAATAGGCATAGGCCAATGTTTTCCAAATGTCACTGGAGTACCAATTGTCGATGTTGCCACTGTGACATTACTATATGTTTCCACTTGTAAAAATGCCATTTAGTTAGGCAGCAGCGGTGGCCGCAGTAGTAGACTCTTCGGTCTCCTGATCAGTCGCCGTGCGCTGTGCGGGTTCGAGTCCCGTCCCAGGAGAAATTTAAATTTTTCTCTTGGCTACGGATGTTGTGATTGTCCGTAGGTGGTCGACGGTCTCTGTCTGTCGAACGCGGAGGTACCACCCGGCGGATCTCGTAGGCGGAGCCAGAATGTGTGCATGTTGCATGCACACGTGTTTCCCTCGCCAGCCTATAGCCCCACGGTACCCAATGGGTGTTTAGGCCTTAGGCCTTCGTGGTAGTTGGAAGTATAAAAAAAAGTTCACCAAGAATGCACTACCCAAATGCAAATTTGCTAATTTGTTTACATGCTGTACAATAATGACTATCAAAAGCAATATTTTAGGAAAGCCTCATCATCTGACTGCAAAAATGCTTCATTTCGTTAAAATAAAACTAATATTCAAAAAGTTGGATAAAAACCTAAATGTTGATTAAGCGATCTGAAAATTTATCTCAGAGGTTTTTCTGGTCACAGATTTAGAGTATGTTTAAAGGTATTTTCAAAATGGGGAAACCTGTATGTGAGATTCAGTATATTATAATCGATAAAACCATATTGAAATAAAACTTTATCACAAAAACGAATCATTCTATCAAAACAAAAACATACTTGTTCAGATAAAGGATTATCCGTTATTTTGGGACATTATTACACAGTGTGTACCAAAAGTTGAGCAATGTTGCATTTGGGCTAGTTCGCCTCTGGCGATTTTAATCAGTTAATTGTTTTCCATGGAACCATCATGATTGATCTCAACTATACTATTATAGTTGTACTCTGTATAGACAGTCGAATATACATCTTTGGGGATAACCAAACATTCCCACTCTGTCACTATACGAAATTTTTTGCTAAATTTCGTACAAAATTTTGTAGAAACTGTTCTAAATAATATCATACTGCGCGTTTGGAGAGGTACAGTGGTTGACATAACTTCAAACACTTAGGTACATTAGTTGATGTTATCAGTTGTGTTCATCAGTTTCGCGAAATCCTCTGCGTATGCTGTTCTACTTATAGGTTAAAAACTTAAAAGATGTCATCATCAAAAGAGCACTGTGACATATTACAAAACGTCTATGAGAAATATGATTGTTTATATGCTGTAAAAAGCAAGGCCTATAAAAACAGAAAATCCAAATAAGCTGCGTTGGATCATTTGATCAGAATAATTAAGAACTAGTTAGGTTTATAAGCCTGTGGATCCTGCACTAGAAGTTCTTTATTCAGCATAAGGAGAACACATGCTCTGGCCCCTCTCCCTAACCAAATGGCAATTAGAAGTTGACAGGTATAGTTTTTTTTCTACCAACTGTGCATGATTTCGTACGAAATTGAGGGCCGTATCATCAGTCGTACCTACAATTATTGTAGGGCGCCTTTATGGCCTCCTTGATTTTCATTGTTTTCTACTTTTCCGTGTCAGCGCTTTATTTTGAGGTCACAAATACCTATTTGTATCAAATTGTTCATGCTTTTGATTTATATCATGTTTTATCGACCTGAAATTTTCTTCAATTCAGAAAGAAAACATAATTTCACAATAGGAGAGCACTGACGCTGACACGGCGCAGGTGCAACCTAGAAATTTTTGAAGGAGAGAAAAGACTGACAATCAAAGATGCCATAAAGGCGCCCTACAGTTGTAGAAACGTCCCTCAGAACAATAATCTCTTTACGTGTCAGACAGGATTGTAATTTGCTAACAAATTGGGACCTAAATTCAGTAACAAATTTTCTCACAAAATTTGGTACTAAATTTAGCACAAAATTTCGTATCGTGACAGACGGCCTTAAGACATTGAAGGTTGCGAGATATGATGATGTTGACTAGCTCTGTAGAGTGTATTTCTGATACCCACAGGAAACGTAAATACCATGTATCGAACATTTCGTTTCAACATGTCTATCTATACGAATTTCTACGGTGCTTAGTATTGTGCCAAAATCTGACAACACCGAAAAACGGGAGAAGCACAAGCACGTAAGCTGTTTTTTGTTCGTTTCTAACCGCCAGTCCACATAACACAAAAGCCACAAAACACTCTTTCATCTGCTACCTTGATGTTAAACATATGATTTTATAGTGGATACCAAATAAAATCCGATGCACGTCATAGGTGATGTCATTCATAAAAATCATGGTTACCAACAGTTGACTACATTCAATGTGACATTTCTACTTGAAGTTTAAATTTCCCCGTCTCGATTCGGTTGGTAGTACCGTGCAGAGAAATGTGAGGTTGCCACTTCTCATTTGTTGACATCAGTTGCCATTGTCCTTTTGTCGTACTATTAGTTCTTTATTGTTTAGTTTGTGAGTTTTGCGCTATTTAAGCTTTGAATCGTTGCCTTGCCAATTAAAAATTGTTCTTTTCAGAACAACAGTTACTGTGAAGTGGTGTAAAGTATCCAAAATGCCAAAACAACTTAACAGTCGGTATAAAGAGCTCATATCATGCTTATTAGAATACTTCGAACGGGAAAGGGATAATAATGGCCCACTTTTGCCTTTAACTGCTGTAAGGGAGGTGAGTTTACGCTTGTTGATAGCATAAGTAATAGGAACATTAAGGTTAATCTTCTTTTTCTTATTTTTAAAAAACGATGTACTCCAAAGAGAGTCACTAATATTTCAAGGCTCAATACAAGTGGTATTCGTAATACTATTTACAACATGTATGAAAACAGTAAGTTGCCCAACAAACATATTTTGAATTAGAGAATGTATAATTGTTTTTTTGTAGAACAACATGTAACACTGTCTGGCTTGTGGGAGCAATTAAAAGCTAAGCAATTATTTGAGGGCAGTCGTATGTCGTTAAGCAGACTATTAGAAGAAATAGGCTTCAAATGGGAGAAAGATAACCCCAAACGAGGGCTTATGGAACTTCCCAATATTGCATCTAAACGTGTTAGTTTTTTCAGATCATACATACAAAATAAACAAGAGGCTATTTATCAGTTTGTCTTCTTAGATGAGACTTGGATTTTCCAAAATGGCACCGTTCAACGTTCATGGCAAGATAATGACAAGCGAAGTGTTAGAAGTACCAAAGTTGATGGAAAAAGGTGGGCTTTCAAATGTATAGAAAAATAAGCTATATATAAAAATGAAATGCATTTGTAGGTATATCATAGTTCACGCTGGCAATGAAAATGGATTTGTTGAAGGTGCGTCGCTCATATTTTCATCGAAAATCCAGCTTAATGATTACCATGGTGAAATGAACCAGCAAAACTTTTTATATTGGTTTGAAAATCAATTACTAATAAGTTTGACCCAACCCTCTGTGATTGTTATGGATAATGCATCATACTATAGTATGTTATTAGTAAAAACTCCCAATAGAGCTCATGGAGAAAGGCTGAAATTCAGAATTGGTTAACTGAACAAAAAATACAGTATCCACATGAAGCATTCAAATCTGAACTTCTAACGATTGTTGCACAGTGAGCAGAATACCCAATCTTTATGCATTTTGTTCCTATTTTTTTTTTAGGAATAAACCAACCCAAATGTATGTGGTCGGTAACTTGGCAGAACAATATGGACATAAAGTTTTACGGTTACCTCCATACCACTGTATTTTTAACCCAATTGAGCTAATTTGGGGGATTGCAAAAAATTACTATAATCGGCATATTGGAAGAGATAGCCACACTGAAAATGACTGCCTAAAAATGTGGCAAGAGACACTCCAAACTATTACCCCTGATATGTGGAAGAACTCCATTAGACATACAGAGGAGATAATTATGAAATGGTATAGAAGGGAACAAGTAATGGATAGACAGGAAATTCTTCCCCTTATTATCCATGTTAACGATGACTCTACTGATTCCAGTGATTCAGAATAGTTAAAACATCAAAATATATTCTGTATAATGTAATCAAACTCCGGAATAGATATACAACTTAACCATACCATGCGGTTAATATCAGGCTCGATAAAGAGTACTCCTTGCCGCTAGTTGCCGGTATTGTGTAACATCGCATCACCCGAGTTCTTTCTTCTCGTTGATGTGAATTGAAAAAGTGTTGCAGTTCCCATATCATAAATAAATAATCAAATTAATTAAAATACGAGAAAACAATTTATGTTCTTTAAATATTTTGTGTTTTTGAATACCTACCAAATCAGGCGTTTTTATTCAGAAAGGAATTTAATTTTACAACAAGTTTATTTATTTTTAATATAATGGTACTGTAGTAAATGGTAGGTATATATAAACAATTTATTTTATTAAATTTATTTGCTTAAAAGAAAATGTGCAAATTCTGGCAACAGCGCACAGCTCCAGATCGATGACGTGCATCGGATTTTATTTGGTATCCACTATATTAGTGTGTTTAATGTTGATATTGTCGCCATTGCTACATTGGCAATCCTGGCCGCGCATGCTCATTTTCTTAAGTTACGTTAAGCGTTAAGTCTTGCATGAACCCACCATAAATAAATTCACATTTCACATTACATTGTATATTCTAACCTAACTTTGAGCTTTAGTCAGTGTATATGATTTGTCCTTTTAAAGTACAAACAGTACTTTTAAGCACTTCAGGACCTAAATACTTCTAACCTAACAAAACTCGAATCACCAATCACCATCTCTTCAGCATCAAGATGGGTAATTATCAAGTACAAGCTCTACAATGTGTATCCACACCTATTCCGCCATACAATTCCCAAAATCCTAAATTGTGGTTTCTACAAGTTGAAAGTGGCTTCAAATCTACATGGATCAGTGACGACAAGACTAAGTAAGTACCTTTCTACCATTTCATTTAGGAAAACATTAGCAATCCTGTTGTCTGATTTGAAAGAAGTAAATAGAAACCTAACCATATGTTACAAGACTATGTTACAAAACTTATAAAAGCTCTACAATTTACAATCTTTTTTTAATAGTTCATAAAGGATTTATACCCTATTTCACGAGTATCCATCATGGTTGAATGACAGCTGGTTATCTAGTAATACTTGAAAATTCCCCATATCAGGACACATAATTCTGACGGATCCGTCAACGCCAGGTAGAGAGAGCCATATCTTGTTTTGTTTTTTTGTATGCTACAGATTCATTTTGTACTTACTAAAAGCTCTTTTATTTAGAAAAGTTAATTTGCAGACAAAAAACAAAACACCACAAACAAATTTTACTAGATTTATACCTGATTCATTATTGCCAATGTTGCAGTCTAACACAAAAATGTCACTGGCTAATCAGCTATTCAGCTCAGTAGACGTCAAAGCATGATGGATACTTGTGAACTAGGGTGTATTTGACATAAATCATCCCAAATCTGACACTTTTTGATGGTTGATAGGTTGAAAAATAAATATGAGGGAAATCCCAAGAGTAAGATCTTTTCTTTAATAGTTCACAAATGATTTATTTTTCCAATAATATATGCTTGTTATAAAACATACAAATTTTGGTCTATTTTTTCAATAATTGCCATTTTGGTCGATACATCTGTGTAGAAACTGTGACCCTTTTTCATTCCATACCAGCCTGCCACTATGTTCAAAACTGAATCGCCTTGCGAAATGTTTTTTTAACTTGAGGTGCAGGTGGTAGTCACTGAGTGAATGTCTGGACTATATGATATTTGGGAGATGATTCCTGTCCTAATCCAGAAGAACACCTGACTAATGGGCAAGCGCAACATTCCTTTTTTCCAGCTCTGAATTGAGCATCTGAGCTGTTTTTAGTGTTTCGCCATATCTACGTTCTGGTTCCTAAGTTCAAGAAACATAGTTCGCCAAAAAGTGACTAACTGATGACTAAGTGAAAGATGAGGGTCAATGCTTCCTAAGTGCCTGCAATGAGGTGGTATGGAATGGTATTCAAAAACTGCCACAGTATTTCCTAAAATCCATAACCAAGCTTTATAATCATGTAACCATTACTGGAAATAAATGTTTTTTTGTATTATTTGGATTATCCTGGCACATAATTTATGCTTTCTGAAGGGCTATTATGATCGACACTGAAGCATGACAATTAGAGTAACTTCTAAGCTATATTTAGCTAAGTTTATCAATCAAAATTTTGTCGCAGCAACATAAAGCAGCCCAAATATGGGACTTTTTGATTTTTTTAGATAAAGTTTCTACAGCAAGTACACATAGCATATATCCATGCATTCAACCAATGTTTTCACATGTCTGAAGTTTAAACACCGCTCCTACACTCATCTTCCAACAGGCACACATCAAGCTCATAAAACTTCTATTTATTTTTTTCCAGGTACCATATCCTTGTCAGTCGCCTAGAGCCAAGCATAGCTGAGTTAGTTCAAGATGTTTTGGAAAACAAAATGACAGAATATAATGAATTGAAGAAAAGGATAATTGCTGTTCAAGAAACAAAGAATGTACTAGAAAAACAAGTAGTTGGTGCTCGTAAGCCTTCAGAATTCCTCAAGCATATCAAAAATTTAGCTAATAATAATCCTCTATTTCCAAAACGTTTCGTCAGATCTGTATGGGTCTCAAAACTGGATCCATATATTCAAAATGGCTTGCTAAATGATCCAAACATACCAGAAGCAAACTTGGCAATAATTGCTGATATAAAGTATGAAGAGGCACAGAAACAACAGCAAATAGAGGAATCACAAGAAAAAGACTGCAAATGCTGTAAGAGAAAAAATCAGGTGGCATTGGAGATTAACTGTGTGAAATTATGTGAGGTGTTAGACAATATAGAGCTAAAAACAGAGACAAGTGAGACTCGTGACACTTTTACACAAACTGAGCTATTGTAGGATAGTTTTTCTCTGACAAAAATCACAATTTCTCAACAACACATATATTAATAATCGTCTTTTAATTTGGGCAAAGTTTATCTAAAGCTATTTATTCCATATGATTTAAAAAATCCCTGAATATTTGCTACCTTGACCATTTTTTATGCAAATCTGTATTGGTCTATAATAAGGCTCCTCCACCTTTTAAATATGTAGTTAAAACTAAACAAATTCAGATCACATAACAATTAGCTACTTCAATGAATCCATGCCTATGTTTCAAATACTAAAGATGTTGAACTAAGTTTGCCTATAGGTAGCATACCACAAATAGGTGAAACTCCAGTCCTAGGTAAGGTTTTTTTGGCATACTTTTTGCCTAATATCGGAATCAAAAACTACATGGTATTGAGTCTCCATGTCATTTTTTAATTCTGCAGTGTCTATTTGTGTTTTTTGGCATGTATTTTTATTTTTGATAACTAAGGATATTGTTTGTATGTTTCAATAGTTGTAGGTATTTCAAAATGGTTATTACTATAAATCTTTTGATATTCTTATACTTCTATAATTATATTCTATATAATAAACAATAGAACATTTATTTTACCATTTATCCTAATACTTAGGTGATCAATACAAAATTTATTAACATATGGTAATATTAGTGAATAATCTCGGAAAATCTAGGATCCCTAAGATCGGGCATTCCCTTTTTTGATACACTTGAAAAAGAATGAAGAAGCAACATGTTATTTATCAAAAAACACTTTTCCTTGGATCTCATATTCAGAGCTACTGTCTTGCGCTCTAAATTTGCCATTTCTGGGAGAAATACATACTGATCATGCAACCAAACCGTATACGATAGGTTGTTGATGTTGCCATTGTGACAATTCTATATGCTGAAAACTAAATTTGTTTGACGGCTTGAGTTCAATTTTTACGAGAGAGAAGTGTGTAAAGACATATGTTATGAAGAGATAGAAACCGCCTGGATAGCTAAGCTCATCACCGCGTTGCGTAGCAACGCTGAAGCGTTGCCAATATGTGCACCAGTTCCTTGAATTAAGATCCATATTGAAAATATGCGTTAGCTTATTATTTACGCCCAAATAATGGTTTTGTTTTGAACATACATATTTTTGACTTGTGAAGAATCTGTTTAGGATTGATTCCTGATCGGTCCTAACGACGCTCCATTTTAGGTCGAAATGAAAGATCAGGATCGCCACAAATTCTTCTACATTGTATCATTGGTTCGATTGATAACACCGCATCTTGTACATTAAAGGCAAGGTTTCTTCTGTCGCAAAATGTAACAATAACTCAGGATGATTTCACCACCATCGGTTTAAATCAAAGATAATTCTAAAATAAATTAAAGACTAGGTCGCATCAGAATTGAAATAAATAATTCAGTATCCTAACCTATTGTAGCAGCCTAAGCGAACATTTCCTGGTGTAACATATTGGCAACCCGGCATATTGCACGACATTCTGCGTCACCGTTGAAAGGAACGTTGTGAGGACCTTCGCTCTTCAGCCGCCTTCTCTCTTTCTAACATGTGTTGATACACTTTGAACTCAAGCCGTCAGACAAATTTGGGTTTCCCTGTAGTATGCATTTGTAAAAATACCCAAAATATTTTGCTTATGGAACAAAATACAACGGATGATTCTTCAGACTGCTTCAAGACTATTTTGCCTTTTGACGATTTTCGAAATTTCGTCGCGTTTAGGAGATACCGTCTCTTGAAGAACCCTACTGTTTTTTTTTCTTGAATAACATTCGTAGAACATCGTATAATAAACAAAATTTTGACAGTAAAGTAACTAGTCGAGACCTCACACATTGGTGTTCACGGAAAACAATTACCTGGTGTGGTTCGCCAGAGACGGCGGATATAATATATAGCCTGATCCATTATCTGCAAAAATTTTATTTTTGTTTCATTTCGATAAAATGCAACTAATCCTCAAAAAGGTGGATAAAAGCCTAAAAGTTGATAGAGTGATCTGAACATTTACAGGTATATATGGGGGCTTGTCTAGTCGCTGGTTACGAATCTGTTAACAACAGTCCAGCTTTTTCAAAACAGTCATCGATATGCAGGACCGGCTTCAGAGTTTTGGGCGCTCTGAAGCAAAAGATAAAATACAGTGAGGCACTGCCGGTATGTGGACATGTCATAATCGATAAAACGATATTCAAATAGATTTTATATAAAAAAATCATTTAATCAAAACAAAAATATATTTTTTTTAGATAAAGGAGAGTTTTAAAAAATATTGGTTTGCGCTACTATTACACAGGTTGTAAAATATTGAGCAATATGGTATTTGGAAAGAAGAACTGATGTTTATCAGAGGCCTCTATTCATCAGAAGCAAAAAAAGTAGGCTAAAAAATCACCCCTTGAATTTTTGACCTATGGTTGGAAACACCCCATATATTGTATAAGTCTGATATACCGGGCGCGCCATTTTTTATGCCGGTATTGAAACATCGAATAACTTTGATATTTACCAACTGAGTGATTTGGTTATACGTGTTTCTGAATCGTCAATTTACTAGAATTTTATTCATGAATCGCTTTACAACCAAACAACGCGCCGAAATAGTCACAGTGTACATACATTGAACATCGTCGTTCAGTGGTGTTAACGCAACGTGCATATCGTCGAAAATATCGTGGCAAACAGGCACCGTCTGACAACACTATCCGTCGTTTACAAACAATAACTCATAAACATTTCTAATCTTGCTAACATAAATTTGGTTGCTATATGGAATAATTGTGATAAAATTCATCCAAACAGTCACTTAGGTTGGTCAGCCAGGACGTTCTTCTTCGACCTGGGGCTCTTTCTCATTAGATTTTCCCCTGTAAAGGTTAATTCTCACTATACATTCCGTTTCCATTCCGTAACCGTTCCGCAAATTATTGAAATTAAATATTCGCCTTCGCTTAAAGCAGGCTAATTGCGTGTGTATGTACATTATCCGTAAGGTATACTGTGTATACAATCACATTGTACGGAGCGTTTACGAAACTGATATGGAATGGAAACGGAATGTATAGTGAGAATCAACCTTTAGACATAGGATTCCAAAGTTTCAAAATATTGAAGTAGCACAGGAAACGTAAATACAATTAAGTATTGAACATTTCAACATTTGGATCTTCACGAATTTTTACGGTATTTGGTATTGTACCAGATCTGACAACACCGGTAAATCGGGAAAGTACACGTCGCCAACGTAAACTTATTTTGTTGTTTCTAAAATCACGTTCCAACGATGTGCTTTAGATTATGCGTAATTTATTCTTGGTTGATGAGGTTTAATATACTCTTTCAGTAGAATCCGGTGCCATATTCTGAGTATTTCGCGACATAAATACCTATACATCTATTCTAACAAAACTCGAATAACCGTCTCCCCAGTACCAAAATGGGTAATTACCAAGTACAGGGTATACAATGCATAGCTACACCTTTTCCACCATACAATACTCAAAATCCTGAATTGTGGTTTCTACAAGTTGAAAGTGGCTTCCATTGTACAGGGATCTATGACGACAAGACTAAGTAAATACCTACCTACCATTTCATTCATGAAATCACTAGCAATCCTGTTGTCAGGTTTGTAAGAAGCCAATAGAAGGCTAGACATAAGAAACATCACTCATATATATTAGAAGACTACATTAGAAAATGTGAAAAGCACTACTTTCGATTTACAATCCTTTTTAATAGTTGATGAAGGATTTATATTCCAATAATTTAAACATTGTTATAAAACTTGGCACAGTGACATAAAGCAGCTCAAATCCAGGACTTTTTGAAAGTTTTATGAAGATCAAGTATCCAGAGCATTCAGTCAGTGTTTTCACGTCTGAAGTTTAAACACCTGCTAATACATTTATTTTCCAGCAGGGCACACATCAAGTTCATAAAACTTCTAATTTTTATTTGTTTCCAGGTACCATATCCTTGTCAGTCGCCTAGAGTCAAGTATAGCTGAGTTACTTCAAGATTTTTTGAAAATGAATTGAAAAAAGGATAATTGATATTCAAGAAACAAAGAATTAACTAGAAAAACAAGAAATTGGTTGTCGTACGCCTTCAGAGTTTCTCAGTATCTCAAAGATGTAGCTAATAAAAATCCTGCATTTCCAAAACATTTACTCAGATCTATATGGGTGTCAAGTCTAAATCCATATGTTCAAAATGGCTTGCTAACTAATCCGAATGCACCAGTAGAAAGATTGGCAACGATAGCTGATATAAAGTTTGTGGAGCAACAGGAAAAATCTCAAAAGCAAATAGAGGAATTACAAGAAAAAAATTGCAAATGCTGTAATACTAGTAGCAATAATCAGGTGACATTGGAGATCAACTGTGTGAAGTTATGTGGCAATATGGAGTTGACAAAAAAGAGAACTGAAATTTCACACAAACCACGCTATAGTAGAATAGTTTTTCTCTGGCAAAAATCACAAACATTGCTCAACAACACATACAATAATAAACACTTTATTTGGGCAAAGTTTAGCTTAAGCTATTCCATATGATTCAATAAATCCTCTGAATATTTGACACCTTGTTTATTTTATAACCCTCGCTAAAAGTCCAATGTAATCGTTTACAATAAGGCTCCTCCACCTCAAATAGTTCAATCTGGCCAAATTCAGATCACATAATTCTTATCTACTTCAATAAAAAGGCCTTTTTGATGGATTGGCATCAGACGTAATTTTTTTGCCACAAAAATCTATGAGAGCGCGGTTCCAGTCTAACTACAAAATTCTAGTCTTGCATGATAGACCTCTTTATTTTCGGATGCTATTAATGTGGTTTTTGGAATGCGTTTGCCTAATATCTCAATCAAAAGCTACCTGGCACAGTCTCCAAAATCCCATGCATCATGCGTGTGAACTTTTAAAGAGGCAATTGTCATTAAACATTCGGATTGTTTTGATTCTGCAGTGTCCATTTGTATTTTTTAGCAAGTAGTTTTGTTTTCTATCACCAAGGATATTTTTTTTTATGTTTCAATAATTATAGTTTGATTATAGGCATAAAAGATATGGTATAACTATACTATACATATCTGTTGAGGATGTGTTATGGATATAATTAGTTTTTTGATATCCTTGTAATATTTCTATAATAATGGAATGTGAAGCTGATATTATTGTTCATGCTAATACTTAAGTGTTCAACAAAAAAATTATTACTAGTAGTCCCGGGGAATCCAAGTCCCGAGTGTCCTGAAATTTCACTTTGAAGCGGACTGAAGAAGCTGGGACTAAATTTGAACATAAGAATATAAATTTGACGTGTTTAAAACTCCAATTCTTGTTAGCATCCTATTGCTTATTTTGCGGCGGTCACCACTTACTAGTTTGTTGAGTGATTCATGGATAAGAACATTGTTTCGTATAATAAATAATCGAAATGTAATACGGTATTTTACATAAACTTAACAGGCCAAACATTTGATATGGTTTTCAAATTACTCCCACATCAGTCCATTTCACTTGGTTTTGACACCAAAAGTGGATTTGACCTGAAAATCCCTGTTTTCCCGATTCCCTTGATCGCTAGTTCAGAAATTCTATAAAAGGGCATTGTTTCTTTCATTACTAGTTATAGGCTGCTAAGGTATCCAGTGTCCATAATGTGAGGATTAAACCAATAATCAATAATCTAAATACTAAAATAAATATTGTATTTAATAAGTGTCGTCCAATAGTTTGATATAATAGTATACTTCCCACGTCTGCGGCACTACGGCCTCTGATATATGCACAGGAGATTGGTATACATAAATCGGCATAAACAAGACCTAAGCACTCACCATTAAAAAATCTAAATTGTTGACATTCATAAAAAATGGGTCAAGTATATTTACAGGGTTCGATTGGTATTGAAACTTAACTAGGCATGTTCACTAAGTACAATATCTGTTGGAGATACAGCTTAGTTTAAATTATGAGAAGCATACTGAGGTATTTGGGAAAAACTAAAATTTGGCCAAATCGTTTTCATATTTTAGGATATATCAAAAAACTAATGGAATTTTTTTCATTTGCACTTTTTAGGCACTACATGATGGTGTTTTCAAATTTTGTGCCTGAAGTTTATTTTTTTATGTGGTCCAAAAAAGTACACCCTGTATCTTTTTCTACGAATTCAAGGATGTATCACATGTTACATTTGTTTTCTTGGTTATAAAGAAAAATGTGATTTATTTTTTTATTTTATTTAAGTAGATTTTGCAAGCAAATGCTTGATGTAAAATTATGATTACTGGTAGATGCATATTTCATAATGATATGATGGGGTAAAATTCTATAAAATGACGCTTAATCTAGCGATATTTAGAATAACGAATACGTTTTTAACATAATTTTATTTTATTCACAATAGGTGTTCATATAGGTTGCCATTGCTTTCTAAACATAAATATGATCTTCTAACAGCAGAATTCAAAACATCACATAACATTTCTGGTGTAATCATACTGAATGCTTCCCTTACACATTCTCGTAACTGCTGCTCAGTTTTAAAAGTACGCTGATAAACTTGGTTTTTAATAGAACTCCAAACAAAAAAGTCCAGAGGAGTTAAATCCGGGGAATGCGCTGGACAGTATTTTTGTAATTCAAAATGTAGCAGGTCAGCTTGTCGAACTTTTCGTTATCTTTGACGATAATACATCAATATTAACAAGTTTCTCAACGGCATGGGAATACGCCCCAAAGAACGCAACTTTTTCGTAATTTAACCTAAGATGTATCTCCCACAGATATTGAGATCCTCATGCTAGTATGCTCTGGACATCATGAACTACAGACACTCTTAGGCCCGATTCGTCAGTCGTTCCTACAATTGTAGGACGCCTTTATGGCCTCCTTGATTGTCATAGTTTTCTACTTCTCCGTGTCAGCGCTCTATTTTGAGGTTATGTCACAAATATCTATTTGCATCAAATTGTGCATGCTTTTGATTTGTATCATGTTTTATCAGCCTGAAATTTCCTACAATTCAAAAAGAAAACATATCTTCACAAGGAGAGCGCTGACGCTGACACAGAACAGGTGCAATCTAGAAATTTTTGAAGGAGAGAAAGGAGTATGACAATCAAGGAGGCCATAAAGGCGTCCTACAATTGTAGGAACGACTGACGATACGGCCCTTAGTACCTTAGACTCCCTTTTTATGAAAGTAAATTGCAGTGAACAGTCATTACTGGGCATAGCACCTAATGGGGTACCTGCCGGCTCAGATCATTTGTTAATGTAACATCTGAAAGTTATCATCCTACGATTTTCATGCTATTAAATCTTCACGTTTTCTCGTGGCTAAATAAAACCACATACGTTTTACTGTCGCCAGCTTTTGGAGTAAAACAATAAAATTACCTCTTTATCAAAGCAAGTAACAACCAACAAGGCGCTAGCAATTTCCTTCACGTGGGCTGCTAAAACGTGGCTTTCGTATGCCCTGGAAAAAGACCAACACACGTAACAAGCTGCGTCTCGAATATGTGACCCAACTGAGGAATAGCCTCTTGGTTCATCGTAGACCAACGCTTTTAGAACTACTGGAACAACTTGCGGCAACCGATCCGGCAGTAGGAGGCCTCTTCGTCCTAAAAAACACTTCTATTGTTTTTTCATGTATAAATCCGGCTCGATCGCACGATGCCGCCCCATGGTACTTATGGGTACTAATAATATAGTGATAATAAGTGCAGTAGACTAATTATTTACCCAATTCAGCCAATGCCAAGCATCCACCATGCCAAGCTCCATCTGATTCTCTAGGGCTAAAAAGTTCCAAAATAGTACCCACAACTTCATCACCCAAATTTTTAGGAAGCCTTCCTGTCACCCTGCCAATTCCTTTAGCAGCTGACCACCTGAAAGTTCAAACAGTGAACATTTAGGTAATGTTCACACCATAGGCAACCCAACGACAACTTGACATTAGCTTGTTTAATATTATTAAAACAATACAACACTAGGCGGAAATGTCTGAGGACACTGTTGTGTAAAGTTTTTTTCACACTGTGTAATTCAGGAAATATGCTTTGATGTCATCTAGTTTGTCCAGCTTATTTTTGAATAAATTGACAGTTCTTGTAATTGTTGTTTCTTCACTAAGAGAGTTCCAGGAGTATGTCAGACGACCTGAAATAAAATTTCTCCTTATAAACTAGATGTTCTCTCTTTCTCTAATCTTCTGGAATCCCCTCTGAGATGAAGATTCTGACTCATATTAGGATTTCAAGGGTACATGAGTAGCAGTCACCGATGATCTTGAATGTCCCCTCGTAATCTTCGCAAGTGTTGTCATATTACGTTGTTCATATGGCAAATTTCGAATCTCTGGTGGAATTCGCGATATTTTATATTGCACCCTTTCCAGTACTTTGATGCCTTTAACAAAATACGGACCCAATATGCGGTGTGCATGTTCACGTTTGTCTTTTTTTGCCTTTTCTATCATACCAGGAGAATGTTTTTAACAGCTTTTTCAATCAAACATATCAGCGAGTTGAGTTTTCTAATTTTGTTGGTACTGTGAGCTTCCCATTTTGAATGTTGAGCTATTATAACTCCTAATTATATCTGGTATTGTTCATATTCAATTTCCACCTGCCATATACTGTAGTTTAAATTTAAGATTTCTCTTCCCAATATGAGGTCCAAGTGCAGAGTCTTGTGGAACACCACTCATCACTGGATGTGGGTCATTTAGAAACTCATTAGCTCTTACTTGGAATGTTCTGTCACTTAAAAATGGCGCTGCTCTATACAATCTGAAAGCTTACGCATACACCAAAATGCTCAAGGTGATAAATCCAACACTTATATAGAACTTTATCAAAAGCTTTTTCATAATCAAAATATATACGAGCCCCTTCCTACTTCAGTTGGCCCAACTGTTGAAATCTTAGTTTTTTTCTTATCAAACACAAATAATAAAAATGTAGCAGGGTGTTATAGGTTTAAAATATTAACAATGAATATTTTGATAATACATAGTAGAAAACACCAACTTTATCACTCCCTAATCAAATTTGCAGCATAAAAATAACACATGTTGCAATTACAGCATATCAACCTATTTTCATTTCAATGCAAAATAAGTCTATAACGCATAGGTGGCTGTGAAAAATAAAAGCCATGACAATTGTTTTTATTAATCACTGCTGTCAGAATACGTTTAAAATAGTTTTGGGTAGTTAAGGTTTTCAAAATGGGTAGAGGAAACTTTATTAGAGAGAAAATTCGGTTATTGATAATTAATTTTTTTAATTCTGGGAAATCAAACTCAGAAATTGGCACTTTATTAGACTTATCGCGGTACAGTGTGAGAAATATTGTTAGAAGATATAACGTAACTGGTTGAGTTAATGTTAAGCCACGATATGTGAAAAAAAGTAATATCACAAATGCCGACCGAAGAGCATTAAGAAGAATAATCGTGAAAAACAGGCGTGCCAATTATTTACAATTAAGTGCTCCGTGGAGTGACGCTGTTGGAAGGAGAATTTCGAGGTCCACAACTCATAGAGAGGCCTACAAACTGGGACTTAGCACTTGCAAGGTAAGTTTTCTTATAAAAAAAAAGTGAAGTACAAACCCTAAAGTTGCACAACTTGTTTATAGGCCAAAGAAAAGCCACTATTACCTCCACTGCAAAAGAAAAATCGGCTTAGATGGGTTATAGAACATAGACAATGGACATCTCAACAATGCTGTGCAATACAATGGAGTGATGAGGCCCGATTCGAAGTTTGTGTTGGTGACAGTCCCAGTAGAGTTATTCGCAAAAAAAATTAAGCATTCCATGTTGACTGTCTCAAGAGAAAGCGAAATTTCCAGCATCCATTATGGTCTGGGGAGTATGTCATCAAAAGGAGTAGGAAAACTTCATTTTATTGATGGAAATGCGGATACAAACAAATATTTGGCAATTTTAGAAGAATCGCTTTTACCAGTGATGGAAGAATGTTTGACATCCGGCCAAGATTTTGTTACCGCAAGATGGTGCAGCGTGCCATACCTCAAAAAAATCTATAAAATGGATGGAAGAAAATAATGTACCACTTTTGAAATGGGTTTCTAGCAGTCCAGATCTGTCACCTATTGAAACTTTGTGGCACGAGATGAAAAAGGTTCTACGACAACATCCTGCTCGTACAATCACCGAACTGAGACAAAAGCTTCAAGAAATATAGGATTGTTTTACACCAAATTTTTGCCAAAACTTGGTTAACACTATGCCCCAAAGAATTTCAGCCGTAATAAAAAATAAAGGTGATGTTACCCAATAGTAATCTTTCAGTTGTTGCTTTGTAAACTTCGCGCATTTATTCGCACATTGTTTATTTGTTCAGATATTCTAGTAGTTATAGGTCTAAGTGATTTCAAATATGTATTTTTTACGACTAGAGTGTATCTAAAATGTTTTTGAGAAAATAAATTGTTTTAGAAGTAAATAGTTTCGTCATGTTTAGTTTATAAAGGCATATTTTGGTACAAATCTTGAAGTAGGCCAACTGAAGTGGGAAGGGGCTCGTATATGAGATTTCCTTCGTCATCCATAGTTGTGTATTACCGTAAAATAGAGAGCCACTACCACCAAATCACTTTTAAGGACTTAAAATATGGTGGACAAATGCTTTTATCCGGTTATTAGTAATATTTTAATGGTACGACCGGTACATTAGCTGAAGTGTGACAATGACGCCCACAAATGACATCTTTCATCAACTGGTGGGCAACTGTAAACTGATTAATGACTGCAGCTCCAGCAGCCAGTCGGAATTTCGTCGCGTGTTTCTGGTGTGAACGCTTGTATTTGAATACATGTGGCAAGTCAAGTTGCGTTCGGGTTGTAGTTGCAGTCTCTGAATACTATACTATGTTCTGGTTCTCCAAACCCATCTTACCTGACTATGCCATCAGAGCTTCTCAATCCTTGTATCAACTGATCAATGACCTCTTCTATTTCATCAGGGACTTCAATGTTATCATCAACCTCAGTTTCTTCACGATGATTGTTGGAAGAATTTGCAACTACACCACCATCCCCTGCACTCAAATTTGCTGCTAAAGATCGGTTTCCTCGTTTATATCTCCAAGATGCCAGCCTTGGAGGCAAGAATACCAAACCTAAAAATATAATAGACACTAAATAATAAACAATACACCTGTGGATTGCGTGTATACCGGGTGTTTCAAATTTGACTCTCATCATTGGGATCGCGTAAATAGTAAGAGATACGAAGTCGCTTAAATGGGGGCAAGGTTGCGTATTTAGGTAGCTTAGAAAGTTTCGAAATTCAAAGTACTTCCGGAGAGAGACGCAAAAATAAAACATTTCACCTGATTTTATTTGCAGTGGGATGTCAAAATAATTTGCACATTGACATTGTCACTTTTACTCCTCTACAAGAGCCGCTTTCCAGCGCTTTTGAATTAAGAGTTGTATGCACCGGCACGGGTATTATGTAAAAAACCTATAAAACGTTAAAAACAAAACTATAAAATGTCAATGTTGCAGACTAGGTATTTTTTTTTTGGGGTACAAATAATCATTCCACGTTTGCTCACTAGGATCGTTGTGAGCGTCCATCTATGGAGAAATAGCTCAACTACACACATTGTTGGTTGCATATGTTTTGTCGCTATGAACTTGACTTCTTGCGCTCTCTCTTTATTATTCAGGAACATCTCTAATGTACGTAGTCGTGCCATAAGTTCTGTCCCATGATAATCTCATGATAAAAATGAAACAAGATAAGATATATTTATATGAAAGATATTATTTATTCGACAACATTTTTAGAATTCATAATCAAACAGTTTTATTCAAAATGTCCCCCCTTGGCCTTCACACACTGCTTCAATCTCGCGGGCCACTCATCTATCACTGCACCCACAGCTTCCAAAGGAATAGCTGCCGCTGATCGGATCAAATCCGCTTTCAGGGACTCGATATTACGGTGGGCTTTGGAGCAGGCCAACTGCTCTAGCAGGTCCCACAACTTGTAGTCTAAAGGATTGAGGTCCGGACTCCCTGAGTGCCAATCTTCCGCAGCAATGAACTCTGGCACATTGCTTTCCAGCCAGCGCTGCGTACTCTTAGCCTTGTGAGCGGGGGCGGAATCCTGCTGGTAGACCCAGTGTTGGTTGGCAAACAATGTACCACTTAAAGGCTTGACGATAGGATCCAGTATGTCGCTCTGATAGTTTGCCGCTTTTGTTTTCACGCCCTGTTTACAGAAATGGAGCTGAGTGACCCCTTCGTAGGACACCCCCCACCAAACCATGACTGACGCAGGGTGGTGGCCTCTCTCAACTCTCGGAATGATCTCCGAAGCTTCCTGTGAACTCCTTGCATACACTTTGTCATTTTGTCGGTTGAATTTTTCTTCTATGGTGAAAATTTTCTCATCCGTGAACAAAATCTTTCGGAATCCCCCAGCTGCGTACCTCTCCAAGAGCTTCTTGGATCTTGTCGCCCTGATGTGTCGCAAGGTGGCCGTAAGTCGCTGGCCCGTACGTCTCCGGTAAGCCCCTAGCCCTAGGTCTTGTTTAATGATGCGCGACATCGTCCGGACAGGAATCTTCATTTCCCTGGATAGGATCTTCTGCTTCCGGAGTGGATTCCTTTGAATCCTGGCTTTTACGGCTTTGATGGCTGCTGGAGTCCTTACTTGACGAGGTCTTCCGCTTCTTGGCCTGTCATCAACAGAGGACGTCTCATTGTACCGCTGAATGGTCCTAGACACAAATTTACGCGATATTTGAAGGCCGCGTAAGAGTTCAAAAATCTGACTAGCACTGTGATTACACTTATGTAAAGCTATCACTGCAATACGGTTCTCTGCCTTGCCCCACTCCATCGTTATGCTTCGAGAGATCAATACAAACTGAGGTATATGTAATTACCCGAAAAGCGCTTAATCAACTGACACCACAATGTAAACAATCGGACAAGTATTAACAGGTCTACACTTGTTTGAAAACGAGGGACAGAACTTATGGCATGACTATGTACATTGTGACTCTGGGTTAAACATTTTATCAGTTTTTTACCATCTTCCATTGTCTGCTATCAGTTTAATGTGAGTTTAATAATAATGAATAAACATAACCCAGTAATCTTGACACAGTGCCGTTTTCGTAGCGGTAGAAGAGACCTAGAGACCTAGATCGTCGACGGCTCGCCGGTGCGAAAGGGTCCCGAGGCTGTCTGTTAGAGAAGAGTCATCGATCAGAATGCTGCGGACAAAAGCCACAACTCCCCCGTTCTTTCTCAGATTCCAGTGGACCTCGTAATTTGGGAAGCTAAGATTAACCGGTGCAGACTCTGAGATTTTTGTCTCCGCCAAGAAAAGCATGGCGGGGCGATTGTATTGCAAGTAGTGACGATCAGCATCAATGTTGCTGTTAAACCCGCAAATATTCGTGAAACAAATTTTGTTGTTCCCTCGAGTCCACCCTCCACCCGGACATTCCAAGAGTGGAGTGAGTTTACGACCGGAAGTCTTAGTACTCGAAGGATCGATCATCATCATTTTCTTTGTTGGGGAAGATAACCGATTGCGTAGCTTAGGTGTGGAAACATGCGGACATTTATAAGATACCCTGGGGAAAGCTAGAGGGTGGTACCCCTCCGGTCGACTGGTCCTTGTCTACCACCTTCTTTTTGCGTGTAAATGTTGTTAAATAGACCTAAAGCGGCCCGTTGGCGGACTTGTACCGCCACCCGGCAATCGGTTCTGAGGTATTTCTTAACGCGTGTACAATCGCTTGAACAGGAAAAACTTGTATACTGGATACAACAACTTCCGGAACAAGCATTTGCCACGGCCCCGCTCAGTAAGTGTGCTAAACCTCAGTTATTTCAAATCAAACAGAATTTTCTAAAGTTGGCCTTGAAATTATCAGACAGTAATTTGTTTTGTGTTCTCGATTTATTGCAATTATTATTTTTCCTGACTTAGTTGAGATGGCACTGTAGCCATATAGGAGCATATAGCTTCAGTATCATTTAGGGGACACTAACATTTTCAAAGTAGATATATGATAATTGTGGATAGAAGAGACATATCTGTGACAAATTCTCATAGAGGAATCAATGCTTTCTCTGTTAATCTCGGAAAATTCTTCAGATGCGCGAATGTAACATTGGGTTAGCTACCTTTGAGGTAGAATATGTTAATCTATGGTTTTACTGTTGTAAGAGCAACCCTCAAAAACATAATCTAAAGTCACTCGAGAATATGTTGTGAAGTTAATTTTATTTTTATATTATAATGAAACGTATAAATTGCTTACCTATCCTTTGGATAATTTTATACACCAACTTCTCAATATTTGTCCCACAGTTACTCTTGAAGTCAGCATTAACAATCCATATTAACAACTGACTAACATATGGAAGCATATCTTCTCTTTTTCCATGTTTTAGAATTGTGGCAACACAAGCTAGTGTTCCTTCTCTCACAAAAAGTGAACTGTTTTTGTCTGTGCTTAGTTCTTTTGCCCAATCTAAGAAGGCTGACAGGTGTTTTTCTTTCACATCACTCCTGTTGGAAAAAGTTTACATGAAAAATTCCATCTTGTGAAATGTAAAAAGTATACAGATTTGGAAAATTCTCATCTGTGATTTGGTAAGGCCTCAAAAAATTCAAAATTTAGTGATGAAAAATTAAACAAAAAAGTAGTTTCTAGTACTCAAAAATGCATGGATCTTTTTTGATCTTATATACCTTGTTATGAATTTGTGTGCCAAAAAAGGGGCTGCATCCCTACATTTATCAATAACAACGGCATAAGTTTTGATCATGGCCAATACTCTATCCATAATAGAAGCCCTTTCAGTATCTTTTTCATCAAAACCATCAAACCTAGACATGTGGAATGGAATCATTACTATGATGGAAAGCCATAACAGTAAAATATATCTTGTAGTCCATGTGTTGGCATCAGTAGGATTTTGGGACTCTAGAAGTTTCAGAACTGGCTCAAAATCTGCAACCTAGAAGAAAAAATCATAATTCTCGATTTTTATAACATATTATCCATAGAAAACATAGCATAGTTACTACATTTTTTTAACATTGCTAATTTTTTATTAAATTCTTATAAAGTACATTGTCATACATTTTTTTTTTTGTTTCTCAAGACTATTGGTTCTAATGTTTATTAAATTCTTGAGGATAAAACACCATGAACTAATATATTGAAAATACAGGATTCCTTTCATATGCCAAAAGTAGTGGTGTTGCTAGATATATTGTGGGGCTTATGGGCAACCAATCTGAGGAGCCTATATCAGATTGACTGATATAACTACTAAAAAAACAGGAAAGGAATTCACACTAAAACTTTGTGATCGATATGTGTATGTGGCACTTTTAAAGATATTTGTAATACATATAAATGTTAACAGTGTCAGATTTAAAATTTATTTCAAAAGACAGCATTACCTCATGTGGTAGATGTCTTACTATGACTTTATACCCTCTAACATTAACAATAACAAACATATGCTTGAATGCTAGATGTTTGTGCTTCATTGTATTTTCAGGGCTTCTGACGATAGAAATCAACTTTTCTAACATTTGGTCTAAGTGGGAATCTATCAGATGTGGCTGTTCTATATATTGGTTGAGTATAAAAGAGAATGTTTCGAAGGGTCTTTCTTCGGCGAAAGGTTTTTCAGATTCGGCTACATTTTTGAGGTTATCTATTAATTGGAAGATTTCCTCGTATTCAGTGAAGTAATCCAAGGCACAGCCTAAGCCGTAAGGCTCCTCTTCCTTTTGGTTTTCGTTTGTTTGTTCGTCTGCAGCCATGTCTTACAATACAGTACTTATTATTGCAAATTATGAAATAATTCAATACAACTTTTGTTTGAAGATTTTTCAAAACAGAGAAACGTCAAAATGTCAAAAACACTTGAAAGAAACGTCAAAATCTCTATATGTAGGTCTCTGTAGAACTAGTTTACATCCAAATAGAACTAGTGAAGTTTGTGAGAAATAGATGGCGAAAAGGGCTGATACAATCATTAACGAGTAGATGGCAACATATGCAAAGCTGTTAGGAGGGAGCTTCCATAATTTCGAGACGCATTACAACACATACCAGGGCTCATTAAAATATACTATGCTCTTGATCATTGATTCCCAAAGTGGTCTATATCGACCGATCGACCCCTAGGGGTCTATGACAACCTGCAAGGGGTCTACATCAGCGAAAAAAAATTTGGGGGTCCATGAAATGAATATGGGGGTCCACGATAGTGGATCTCAACACATACACTGATAGTACCTATTTACTTACATCATACTATCTTATAATATCAAAACATTATTTATAAAAGTACCTATGAAGTAAAAAATTTATTATATATGTTTATAAAATTGTGTAAGTTGTAGGATGTTGGTATTCGCTTTGTGGTCGCAATACATTTTGAACTTGTAAAAACCTGAGAGTCGCAGTCTCAGAGCTTCGCTACCTTGCACTGACTTGTTCAATTCGTCACTCTATAGATACGAATGTGGGACAAATACGTTTATTCGTTTCTTGAATCTTGAAAAGGAAAGTGCTAAGAAAATATTTAAAAAAATATAAACAGATAGTATATCACACAAATTATAGTGAGACAGTGTTATTTTGTTTGAGAGTGCTGGAGAAAAGTAAGTACATTATTTTTTATTAAATTTTAGTTTTGTACTCGTAGTTAGCAAAGATAGATAAATCACGCCAATAATGACTTTAGTTATTAGTAGTTAAATATTCAATCATGCAAAATTACACGAGTACTCCTGAATAGTTTCTTTTTGAAAGTTTTAGCAATCGGTAATATAATTACAGTGCAATCTCCGTAATTCGAGCTAATTGTTGCAAGAAGATGTTCGAATTATGGAATGTTTTCGGAAAAATCAAAAAATATTTTTAATATAGAGCTGCTGGATTTTCTGTCTTATTTAAATAATTTAATTTTGCCCACAGATGCCATGTCCGAATCTAAAAAGAAATGTAGACAGTACAGTGTTGATTATTTGAAATTTGGCTTCATTCCATCATTGCCGGACAAACAATCGCCTATGTGCCTTTTATGCAACAAAGTTTTGGGCAATGACGCTATGAAACCATCTAAACTGCAAGATCATCTGGGAATATGCCACCCTTATAAAACAGAGAAAGATTTGAAATACTTTCAAACACTCAAAGATAAATTTCAGAAGAGACCTACACTGAACAGAATGTTCGCTTCGACGTCACAAAGAAATGATGATGGTTTGCGGGCGTCTTACAATATCTCGTTACTTATAGCAATATCCGGAAAACCGCATACTATCGGAGAGAAGTTAATTTTTCCAGCCGTTAAAGAGGTTTTAAAAACAGTTTTACACAAACCTGCATCTGATATCATTAAAAGAATTCCCTTAAGCAACAATACTGTTGAAAGACGTATTGATGAACTGAGTTCTGATATTGAAAGGTTCTTATGTAATTATTTGCAAACGACCCATTTCTCTATACAACTGGACGTGTCAACTTTACCTGATAATGCAGCATTATTATTGGCATATGTTCGTTTTATTATGAATCAAGAAATCTACGAAGAACTGCTCTTCGCAAGAACTTTGATAACCGACACTAAAGGTGAATCAATATTTAATGTTTTGAAGGATTACTTCATTGAAAAAGCAATTCCTTTATCAAATATAATATCAGTAGCTACAGATGGAGCACCTGCCATGGTTGGACGTTATCGTGGATTTATAAGCTATTTAAAACAAAATGTGTCAGGGGTGTTAGCAATACATTGCGTCATCCATCGACAACATTTAGTTGCTAAAACTTTGAGTGTTAGATTGCATGAATCACTTCATTTAGTCGTTGATGCAGTAAACCGAATCCGAAGCAACGCATTGAATACGCGGTTATTTGCGCAGTTGTGTGAAGAAAATGACGAACACTTTCATCAATTACTCCTTCACACTGAAGTACGCTGGCTGTCGAAAGGCTTATGTTTGACAAGATTTTTTGCACTTTTTGAGATTATTTTAGAATTTCTGGATACTAAAGATAAAATTTTAAAAGAAAATTTAATGAAGAGCAAAACAGACATCGCCTATTTAACAGATTTGTTTACAAAATTTAATATGTTTAATTTGCAATTACAAGGCGACAGTTTAAATTTGATTAAAACGAATTCCATCTTATCAGCGTTTCTTGCCAGAGTTAAACTAATGAAGCAAAATATTGGACGGGGCGAATTTTCTCAGTTCCCCAATTTGCCACAGACAAGCTGCCAGGAAGACGACGTTTCAACTTACGTTCAACATTTAAATGCCCTCTATTCAGATTTTGAATCTAGGTTTGAGGATATTTTGACTATGGTAATACCACCGTGGATAATTAATCCATATGGTGACATAGAAGAAACGAATGTCATAATACAACAGGAACTGACTGAACTAAGTACAAACGAAGAACTTAAGGTTCAGTTTAAAAACGGATATCGGCAATTCTGGCTGCAAAACAACATACCCGTTACTTATCCCGTATTATGGAATATAGCGAGGAAATTTTTAATTTCCTTTCCATCGTCATACCTAGTGGAAAGGGGGTTCAGCGCTGTTACCAATCTCCTAACGAAAAATAAGAAACAGACTGGACATCATTAGCCGAGGAGATTTAAGATTAACCCTTACAAAATTGACGTCAAATGTTCATAATTTATTATTAAAGCATCAGGTTCATCCTTCTCACTAAAAATATTGACTTATTGCTTATGTTATTTTATTTATAGTTTATTTTATGTTTATTGGTGTCTGACCAATAAATGCGCGCATTGGGAATAAGTGCCCGCATTGATTTTTTAAAGAACCCCTCTTTATAGAAAATATTTTTTTTTAATTATTCTGAAAATTCAAGGATAGGTACACACTAAAATTCGTTAATTTGTTGCCTATTTTTAGATAACTTAAACGTATAAGAAGCAGAATTTAATCAAACTAACAGTGAAATTATTGTAGAACATACGTTTATGTTATAATTAATAAACGAACTCGCTTATTGTACTATTTTAAGTAAAACACTTTATTTTTTGTATTATTTTTCACTTTTTTTTATCCCTCTTATTTTTTTTTCAATGCGGGCACTTATTCCCAATGCGGGCACTTATTGGTCAGACACCTGTTTATTTAATGTTACGTATATTTTACATAACAGATACAAAATTTTATTTTGAGTGTCTTGTTGCTCCAATTTCCACGTACTGAGTACTCACAAAACTATAAAAGTAGGCCATTTTGAAAACAGTTTCAGGCTAACGTGTCTTCAATTCTTTAGCATGCTGTGTATAGTAAGTACCGTGTGTGTTACCCGCAGTATTACACAGCCTATATGGTGTAAAAATGGCAACATTAGTGTGGTGTTCCCAGCCCAAATGTCATGCAAACTAGTTTAGTAAATGATGGGGGAGTTCAGTAATAGGTCGTTCTTTCGCCGCTAGGCGAGCTGTTCCAGCCCAGTGTTGTTCCGTCTGTGTAAAACTACTGGTAATTCACATTATATGAGCTTTTGAAGAAGTTAAAACTGGTTAATCATCACAAATAATAGACGTCATATTCACGTCCAGCAAGTGACGTAATTTCTCGTCATTTCATGACCAGTAAGTAACGTCATTTTCACGTGCTTGTGCTACCTGGGCCAATGAACATAAAAATAAGTAAATTGACCTACTATGTTGCGGAGTGGTCTATGAACTCCTTGGACCCTAATAATATTACGGCGCGGGCATAAAATGCTTACTTTGTGCCGTAGATACATAAATAACTATAACGAATTGTTATTAACTTTTTCTCCGGGGAGAAATCAAGACATCTACCGGCGTAGTGTCTATACGAGCCAGTATAAGATTTCTCTAATACGAATTTTCAATATTTGGAATTTTTGTTCATGCTGGCTATCCTCTTCCCTTTTGGTTGCAAATTATGATCCAGTATACTCTGGAAAATGACGTCGTACTTCTCATTGAATGTTTTTTATCATCAGGTAGCATATATTTAGGCGTCTGCGCTGCACAAGCGATTTAATAGCAACAGGAAAAGTATGCAAAACAATAGATAAGGAATTTGCGCAGCTCTCTAGTCTCGGATATGACAAATATAAACTCATCTATAAAGTAACCAGAAACTTTGTTACATCAGGTCAAATGCTAATTAGTTTTTTCTATTTCCAATTATGAAACTGGTCTAAAATCTGGTAGGTACACGTAATTTTCACCTGATATTGCGTAAAGCTTAGGTGAGGTACCACCTTACTATTTTATGAGAGGATTTCCAATGAGAATGTGAAAAATTATAAATATCTGTATATTATGTTTATTCATACATTTGAGACTTCGCGTGTGTCGAATGACGCAGAGACGGCCTTTAAGGTTATTTGTTGGGAACGGGATGATAAAGTATTTGTGCTTAATACAAATATGCGTGATCTAAAAATAAACGGATGTTAATGAGAATTACAGACATTTAGTCAATTTGAGGTTTAGAACAATGGTCAAATGTCACCGGAATATTTACACATTTCCCACGCCGATAATCAACTACCTGTCCCCCAAGTCCCAAAATTGGAATGGACGGCATGAGGATAACCGCGAAATATGTAATTAAAATCGGAATGGCCAAATTGTCATTCTCTTAAGCCATATAATTATTCATGATTCTGATTTTCCTCATGTCGCCTATCCCGAATTTGAACTGTGAGGTTTTATTTTCTACCCGTTTGATCTCAAACACTTTCCAGTCGCTCGATGGCTTAGAACTTGTTTGTATCAATTTATCAAAATCGCTTTGCTTTTTGACAGGAGGCCAAAAGACTTCTTGTTTCCTGGATGTTACCCAAACCTCATTGAGTATGTCGC